CGGGACCAAACTTGGCACACATATACTTCGGGGCAGGGAGCGTGTCATAGGCTACTTTTCGTTATCGATCGATATCGATTTTATCGATTTTTTGCAAATTTTGAGCTAGGGGGCTGGGATTTTGCACAGGGGGGTAATCGAACATGCTGATCACCCCCGTGGGGGTGATCAGCGTGCTCGATTACCCCCCTGTGCAAAATCCTAGCCCCCTAGCTCAAATTTTGCAAAAAATCGGTAAAATCGACATCGATCGATAACGAAAAGTGGACTGTGACACGCTCCCTGCCCCGAAGTATATGTGTGCAAAGTTCGGTCCCAATTCTATTCGGAACATACGTACACGGGTCTAGCTGGCAGGCCCGGCGGAGCCGGGCAAGCCAGCTAGTGACATATAAAAAGTAATTGGTCTGTAGTTTGCGCTAAACTTCCCCCTCCACCTCTCCCATTCGTAGTCGTTCTTAAGCTTGCTTTTGTAGTATAAGAATCTGCTCTCGTCTCTGGACTTGCCAGACTCTTTCAAACGAACAGTTCATGCAGACACACTCGATGAAAAATATGTCAACTTGCATTTTCATTTTTCACTCTCATCTTTCAAATCCCACTATATGTTTTGCCTTACTAATACAAGAAATATCATTTATATCAAGCCGAGCTTTCTGAATATTCTGATAACTTATTTTGAGTAATTGTATCTGATGTAACATGCTATAATCCTGCACCTACGAGTAATTCTTAGCATTTGGAAGTGTCAGTAGTTGATATTAGGTTAGTGCAAAAGTTTGTTCTCGCCATTTTTACAGGATATTCTTGCTCTCTTGACGGATTTGCACTGATATGATTCTGCTAAATAGAGGAAACCATTTTCTTTGTAATAGATGTCTTGCTGCAATCTGACAAGTATGACCTTTTGAGAGAGAAGAGAATTCACTCCAGATTCGACCTTTATGTTAGAAGTCTTATGATCCATCTCTATAAAGTGTGAAGAGTTTTTATTAAATAAGCACCTCTGTCAAGAGTTTTGATTTTGGATAAGCACTACAAAACAACAAAGTTGATTATTTTGATATTGTTTTCAAAAATCGTAACTACTTACGAAGATGTTTATTCAATGCAAACTATGCACTAGTGGAAAAAATCATCTAACATCTTGTCATTGAGATTCAAATTTACACCATTTCAAGTTTCATATCTGTGGAAAGTAGTGGACTTTTGCTTCAGAGATAAGCAGCATCCTGTGGATAAGAGTGCGAAAAATACACGTACAGGGTTTCTCAAGAAGTGTGCCTACTGTTTAATTGCTAATAACTCTCTTGTCATGTCTTTTCGGGAAGGACTAGGTATCATTTTGTAGAGCTGGCTTCAACTTAGATTTACAGTATGGAGCCAACTACCGATCTCCCTTCATTACAGTGATATTGAGGTAGGCGCTCGCAGCATTCACTCATGCTGATTTCATTACATTAGTTTTTGCGCGTTCGCAGAGCTTTTTGCATGGCCTTCAAATTTTCGACGAATTTCAGAAATCTGTCGCTGCTTATATCTGGCATAAATTATGAAAAAAGCATTACGGTGAAGTCGAGTTTCATATTCGAATCAGCGACCGGCTTAACCTAGTGTAAGAGCTTTCAGCTTTTTCGGTCCTTTTTTAGAGGGAAAATCTGACCCTCAATGACGCAAAACCCTCTTCGAAATTCCTACCGTAATCCTACAGTGATGAACAGAGTACGCTAATTCGCTTTATGCCGTAAATCTAAGCTAAAACTAACTCTACATAATGTTACCCAAAGATCCTCGAAAGACTCGATGACAAGAGAGTTATTAACAATCAAAAAGTAAGCACATTTTTGGGACACCTTGTTTATTGCAAGATAACTGATGCAATGTTATTGACTCCTGGTTGAAAGCATAAGTTTAGAGCGGAAGATTGTTCCTTCGAGGATTTTTTGATCAAATGTATTGAGGACAAGGACTTACCGATTCATTAATAAGAACAGAACTTTTTGCTTCATACAGCTACAGAAGTTCATTTTAAGCACAAACAACAGCAGAGAAACCATTGTAGCTTCCTATGAAAAGCGCTTTGCTGATGGAAAGGACAAACTGATAATCCCTCAGTTCAGCTTGGTAGGCAATATTATCTTTCAAATACATTTTAACAAAGTGCTTTTTCTTGAGACTTTAGCAAAAAAGGTGATCCGATGTTACATTATCTTCTTGTATTCAGCAAAGTGAGACGGGACTCAGTTTGTGCACCTGACTCACACAAGACAAAAACCGATGTGTGCATTTGCAACTACTCTTAGATGACTGGGTAATAGAAGCGATAATTATCACCTGTTTTTATGTTTCACCTGCTTACTCAAGACATTGGCTGCTTCATATCAAGCTTACATTTCTGGTTTATCTCTTCGCTTAACTTTTTCATGCTATCATTACACCAACAAAACACAATACTGCTTTCAGTTTGTGAAAAAATGCGGTCTTTGCCGAAGTTAGCATCGCAAATCCATATTTTGACTCCAGGGCACGATTCAATTTAACTAAACTTTGCCATTTTCCCATATACGTGCATGTGCTTGTCTGGCTAGGGTGCATGAGCGGTGGATAGCCAGTTTTCACAAGCAGGATGTATGTACATACCGCAATTCACATTGTGTGAGCCAGCGCAAAAAAAGTCGGAAAACTCATGAATCGAAAAAAAAACTTACTACCTACAGTATCCTATTCAGACAGGCGTTTCTACATATCTGAATATACACCTCGTCAAGATGAGTAGAATGGTGCCCTTGTATCCAAAATTTATCCACTTTATACCAAGATAAAGCGCTTTAGTGCGAAATCCGGCGGATTCCGGCGAAGTCCGCGTTTTTTTACAAACGATAGGCGCATTGCATTTCTTCTCTGCACCGCTTATTTGGACGCATCTATGTATCGTGTTAATCATAAGGTTAGGATGCTATCTTCAGAAGTGTCGTACTCTTTTACAAGAGGTGTATATCAAGCAGTTGGACATAGTGGCATTTCTCTGTATGCTTCATGTCGGAAGACTCCGAACCAAGCATAGCGTCCACCTCTAAACAACGACCGTAAGTCTTGCACTTAGAGGACAACTTCGGAATGAAGAATGTGCACTTGTGTATAAGCGCTGCACTGGGTGAAATGAAATCAAGCTACTATAGCGAAATCAAATTATCATACCTGTAGCAGCGCTCCAAGGGCTTCTTTCTTGACAGGCAGATTTTCACACAGACAGCACACGCACACACACCCACACACAGGAAATTAGTAAATAAGATACTGCGAGAGAGTTAACCATATCTGTCAGTGGCGTACCCAGGATTTCGGCTCGGGGGGCTCGTTAGCCACGCACTCCGAAAAAATTTTTGGGGTGCTTCTCAAAATTTTTGCGGGTCTCCGACCCCTAAAATCTTGAAAAAGGGGGCGTGGCCTCAGCCACGCCCCCGAAAAAAATTATTTTACGGTGCTAATTTGAATTTTTAAAAATTTTTTAAAATCATTTTAATTATTTACAAAAATAAACAAGTCACTTGCACATTTTTATAACCCATATAAGTAATTTTCAAAAATTTCGCGACCCATTCTCGGGGAGGGGGGCGCGCCCCCCCTCCCCCCGCCCCTCCCCTCGGTACGCCACTGATATCTGTATAGCATTTGATATAGCTACGCACTTTCTAATCATGTGCAGTCCACAAATTATCCCCATGTTTCGAATTTCTGCTTTAACATAATTGGTTGATTTTGATGCGACGAAGACTCAAATTTTTGCAGATTTTTTGCTTTTTGCTTTGATGGTGTAAGTTTTTGCATATGTAAGCGTTGAAAGCTCGAGGAATCTCTTGAATGATGAGTCACTTATTCAAGTGCTTTTTGAGGAGGCAAATCTGAAAGAAGCAAAATAGTCGGTATAACATTACTGAAGCACCTTTCAAAATTTCTAACTAACAAGGAAGGCATGTTTAGTCAAAATTGCCTTTTTAGATGGGACGTATACCATATTAAAGGGCATCGATTGCTGATTCCAAATCTGGCTCCTTATCTGCGGAGCGTTTATGGATGACGAGTTATGAGCGCTTATGAATGTGCAAGTAGGAGAAAAACAGGCGTAATCCTTTTTCTAGCTCTTTAATGGAGCAGTGATAATTATCAGAGCCCTTTATTCAAAAAATACTCTCAAATAAAAAAATTTACCACATTTGGCTGCATTATTTAAGGGCTAGTAAGATTTTAGCAGCTCATTTTATCCAAAATGCACGTTCAATTTTTGGCTTTAAAAAACGCTCATAAATTCTCGTGCATAAATGCTTTGCAGATAAGGAAGGCAAATTTGGAATCATCGTTTCATGCCCTTCAATATGGTATACATCTCATTTAGAAAGGTCACTTCGACTGAACAAGCTCCCCTTGTAAGAAGAAGCAGCAAGGTTATCAGCCAAGGGTCATTTAGCCCGTCACGCTACTTCTTGGTAAAGAATGAGCGGTAAGCTTGTTGCCTAAAGCTGTGCGGATTTTTGTCAGCCCAATTGATATCATGGCGCTGTGCCGAAAAGTTACTCGATTTTTGAGCGAATCGCTAGCAGTGTCAGTGTGTTCCGAAAAACGAAACTTATGCCGCACGACACCTTCGGCAATACGCAGCACGGATAGGGTCTTTTGGTCGCGTAATTTTCTTGTGTGTTCAAGCTAGTCGGATTTAGAAAAAAATCAGGTGGCCTTCTACACATAAAATTGGGGTACGGTCTATTCGGAACGCAAAGTTTCGACACGGCGACAGCAGCCTTGGTAAGGGCGCTGTAACGGTGCTGTTACAGTTCTGGTAGCAACTCCTGGATATCCAAAGAAGTTAAAGAAACGGGGAAGTTGTTGTTTGTTTTGGTGCGAATGTATGAATCTATAATAACGAAAAAGAATCTGAACGAAATGGGAATCTTTCGTACTACTCATGACCGTAATCGATAACTCTATAAAAAGGCAAGTTTCAGCCAATCTCTGCGCTCCCGCGCTTCTTCTGCGACATCGAACGGTCTGGATTCCAACCAGATTCACTTCCTTTTCAACAAGCGAGGGAGCCGTAGCAGCCTAGCGACAACCAGCAGCCATGGTATGGTCTCCTTTTGCTTCTTGCAAGTGAATACTGTACTTTTTGTAGATACTTCATCTCCAACGAGTACGGCGTCATCGCATTCTATGCCTATGGACCAAGTTGTTCGACGAAGTAACGTGATTATGGTGGCTCCGCACGGGGTGGGTTTGAAATAGACTAGATTAGCTTTTGTGAAGTATATACTAACGATATACTTGAATAACATAGTATATCAGTCTATATCAGTCATCTTGTTCCAGGCTCGAAGCTCACTCAACAATGAGCGAAGAGATTCTGGAGAAAAATCTACTACGGAAGAGAGCGACGAAACGCAAGTGAGCTCACCACGGCCATTTGGACGACAAATGACAGCACCTAGCTTGCCACTTGCTACTAAGCTGCTCTACGTCGGTGAAGTCGTTTGGCAGGTTGGTTTCGGGAACAACTTCCCTTGAGCGCTTCTTCTTGTTCTCGTTTATTAATAATCTGGTACAAAAATAAAATTTGGATGTAGTAGTGTATCAGGTTGATCCATTAGTCTTGCACTTGAAAATGATAAAAGTTCACCGAAAAAATATTTCAAACAACGTTTCAAAATACATTCCATATTGTTTGGAACCTACAACAAGTGTTCCATTTCACAACGCATATCAGAAATTTTATTTGAAAAACCAATGTTGAGTTGAAAAGTCGAAAACCATAGCTATTGACAGAAACATTTGATCAAATTTCTGGCTGAGGATAGTTGTTCTTAAACCATGATCATTTATAAACTTAGATTTTTCATCCTCCTAGCATTTTTAGAGACCATAAATTAAGAAGTCACGACTTGTGTGTTTTTCTCTATCAGCTCGTATTCGTTGTGGCGGTCGCAGAATTTCCGTCAGGGTGGGTGGGGAAGGAGGGGGGAGGACAAAAATTTTTTCGAGTAAAGCTTGTGGCGTTAGCTCGCAACTTGTGGGGTGCTTTTCAAAATTCGGTCCCTACAACCTCAAGATATGAAAAAGGGGGGTCTATCTATGCCCCCGGAAAAATTTTACAAGGCTATTTTAAGGTTTTAAAAGATTCAGAATTTATTTTGATTATTTCCAAGTATAAACAAGTTACTTGCCAGTTCATAACTGATGTATGTAACTTTTAAAGAAACTTCGCCCAACCCAAATTCAACCCTAATAATACCAGCCATTGCCTGCATATAACATAGAGAATTTTTTGTGACCACGTTCCGCAGATGGTAAGGTCAGATCGATAGGTTGGAAGTAATGGACGGCTTTGAACCAGTCAAAAAAAAGCTCTTATTAAGTAGTATCATTCGGCTAACTTTAGCGAAAAGCAAAATCTGCTATCAGTTTAGTCCTTCAAGCTGTCTTGGCAGAATAACTTGTTACTCCATTTTTGTTTCGTTACCCTTGTTTTCCTTGAGTGCTAAACAAAACAACAAAAGATGAACCAAGTACAAGAAAGATTTCCAGATTGACGACACAGTGTATGTTGGCTCGCAGGATGCCGTAGCAAATATGAATCTGCTCTGTCGATTGAACATCGAGTTCGTGTGCGATTTGTGCAATGAAGATGGCGAAGAAGCAAACAGGTACGGGTTTTCTTATCACTGTTTTCATTTGTATAACCCAATTTTAGGAGGCGATACGACTGCCCGTGCTTATGCCCGCGGAGGTCCAAACATTTTCGATATTTCGTCGCAATGGATGTACCAGAGACGGAAAAGAAATGTATTGATGTAAGGCCAGACGAATTTCTTTGCTACGAACAACATGTAGCGCTAGAACTTGATCCACCTCCTTTTCAAAAAAATCGATTTATTTCTTGAACTAACATTGATTTATGAACCCAAATTTTTGTTTCCTTCGAGTTTCTCAACTTAAAAAATGGACATCCAACTTTAGCATACTTGAACGATTTCGCTACAAAGCAGAATCAGTCCTTCTATGAAAAAAAACATTCCTGCATAAAAACAATATGTTGAATCGCATGAGTTTGAAAGAAAAATTCTTCAGTCCAAGGTGAACATGACGGTACTATTCGACCAATTTTGCGATCTCGTCGAAAGAGGAAGGAAAGCTGGAAAGTGCGTTTTGGTGTGCAGCGCTAAGGGAAGAAATAGGTATGTGAGCATCTATCTAATTTTTTCTTATTGCATATCTTGTCTGATCTGATTCTAGAGCACCCGCATTCTGCGCAGCATATCTGATCAGCAAAGAGAGGATGAGTCGGCAACAAGCAGTAGCAAAAGTTCTTGAACAGGTGAGTGCACTTCAGCTAACTTTTGCTCGCACTAAAATCAGGCACTTTGCCTTTTCTTGAGTCAAAAATGATCTGCTTTATAATTTGAAAGCACTACAAACAGGCAAAGTGTGTGCGTGACACATGATCTTAGTTTTGTCCTTCACCCACCAATCTAAGGCTGCGCCTGTGCCAGCGCCCTATCAGCGCCTTTCCAGCGACGTACTATCGCCGTGTTGCCGGTATTTTTACACTTTTTGCCAATATCGGAATATGTGAAATAAATTGACGTTAGCTATTTCGGACAATTGGGCACAGCTACAGTGTCCATTAAATGTAGACATGGACCAACCGGCTTCTCCGCTGAAGGCTTTGCCATTTTATCACTTAGGGCCGCATGCACTAATCTCCCCGCTGGGGAGGGGATCGCAGCTTAAAAGAAAGCTTTGTATTTCGAAACTCCAGATACCTGGATTTCACATTGTGTACCTATCCGTAAGTATTCCTGTTACCCTTCACTATGAACATGTTGAAAAGGAGCGAGAAGCTGTACGAATCCATTTTCCAATTTTTGTATGATCCCTGATGATCCCCGGCGCTTTTTTTAAAGTCATTTTTCTTTCTCCGAAGTTAACGAAAACCTTCCAGAGTTGTACTGAACATCTAACAAAACAGTGCTAAGCATGTTGCTGATGAGAACAAATGAGTTTTTGAAAAGTCGAATTTTTCGGTAAACCTCAAATTTCGACCAGTGGATCATCGAAAATTTCATGACTTCAAAACATCATTTGTTCTTATCAGCAACATGCGTAGCACTGTCGGATTAGATAATCTGCACAACTCTGGAGGTTTTTCGTTAACTTCAGAGAAAGAAAAATGACTTCAAAGAAAAGCGCCGGGATCATCAGGGATCATACAAAAGCTGGAAAATGCGGTTCGTACAGCTTCTCGCTCCTCTTCAACATGTTCATAGTGAAGGAATACTTACGGATAGGTACACAACGTGAAATCCAGGTATTTGGAGTTTCGAAATATAAAGCTTTCTTTCAAGCTGCGATCCCCTCCCCGCGGGGATGTTAGTGCATGCGGCCCTTAGATTTTCAAAAAAGGAGAAACGGACATGTGTTTCTAGCAGGATATGTTCATAGTAGTTGCCAAAAAAGGCTGCCGTTGCGAGGCGAACCTTCGCCAGCCCACTTTTAGCTAGAATGGTTGAATCTATAAGTCCATGCGAAAATTTGTCGATGTTGATTTCTGTTGTCCTAATCACGATAAACTTGATATTGGCCCGTAGTAAATCTCGGTCAGGAGAGATGATCTCCCCTGAGGGGGGGGGGGGGAAGTTTCTCACCCGAGCCATATTCTCGCACCTAAGTGATGTGCCTGCTAGGCACATCACTTAGGTGCGAGAATATGGCTCGGGTGAGAAACTTCCCGCACCCCCCCTGAGGCCCTTAGATGAGATTCCGTCAGGTGAAATGATGACCGCCCACTTCCCATGCTATGAGAATGCAACGTCATGTGACATGTGAGCTTTAGGTCAGGTTCGACAGGGAGATGATTCCCCGCTGAGTCATCGGAGATGATCCGAGCGATGATCTCCCGAAATAATGTGCTAATGAGGAGATTTAGAGAGAATTTCCGTAAGTTACTGTTGAGTAACTTACGATACACGCCAGTTCAACATGTCGAACATACTGAGTGAGCAGCCACAGTGCAAACTGACGATCTTCGACAAGATCTAACAAGTGTGCACATCCCCTCCGCTAGTACGAATCACAAAGTGTAAATGTTTGGCGAACGGATTTTGACTTGTATACTTGCATGAACGTGGCGTACTCAATCATATCAATGTGGATGGTTGGAATCATCAATCAATGGCTCAAATGGGGCAGAGCTGACTCGTCGAAGTCTCAACTGAAGCTTTCCTTAGTTGAGATCAAATGAGGCAGCTTTTCTACAGGCCATCTTCTCTCTAAACGACTTCATGACTCCCTCCTCCTAGCCCCTTTCTCATCTCACAAGGGGGATCGCGGAATCGAACTGACCGATCGCTACAAATGCATACTATCATGAAGAGTTTTGAGCGCTGATTTCAAATCTGCCTTCTATATCTGCGGAACGATTCTGTGAAAGAAGTTTTGGACTTTTGATTGCGGGAAAATTGCCAGGCTGAGAGTAGCCAGGATCATCAAGAATCTAAGAATTTCCGGTTTGAACCTGCTTAGAACAGTTTATTCATGCTTAATGTGATACTGACTCTTTTTGAATTTCATCTTGTAGAGCAACAAGCAATCTGAAAGATTTCCATCAGTTGTAGTCACTCAAAACCACGCAAATTTTGATGACAAAATCGCCAATAACTTCCTTCCCAAGAGCATCCTGCAGATATGGAAGACAGACTTGGAGTCAGCGCTCCAAGCTCTTCGGTATGCTGTGATAATCACCCACGATTTGCGACCCTCCCTTGTCAAGACGCCTCGGGTGCAGCACCCCATTGACTCTATTCAAACATGTTCAGTCAATCATTTTGAGTGTACTATAAAAAAAAAGAAATCAAATAGACCGTTTCCAGATGAACACAATGCGACCAGCTCCGAACATCTCCGACTTCATGCAGAGGGCTCTGATGCGGTACCAGGCTTCGAAGGGCATCCAGGGTGCGCCCGACACCTCGCACACCCTTCCTCTATTCAGCATTAAAAGGACCGCGTGGACCTAATAAGCCGAAGAATCCCATCGCTCGCTTCTCGCTCACGTCAGCTACTATATCTGACATCATATTAGCTGCCTCTTTTTGTTCATTCCTCGACTTCGTCTCATTGTTTTCCTTCAGTGCCATTTTTGAGCTGTGAGAATGTGTTATACGCAACAGCTCATATTTCACAATTCTTCTATGCTCTCATATCATGCGACAAATAATATACAAGCTGCGGTTTTACAAATTTTCGTGTCTTCCTTCTGAGGCTTCTGTAATTTTTTTGAGTACGTTGCCACAACCAAGGTTATAATCAGTTTCTCAACAATGGACCAAACCCACTTTTGCTGATAACTGAACACTATTTTTCAGTATATTCTTGCATATTGTATCAGACTTCCAAAGGGGGCTGGAAATCGTTGTTCGGATTCTATCTCATTGTTATATCTTTTTCTTTGTTTTTGATTATGCTTCTTACATTGAATTGAAGCGGTAACAAGTTTTGATGAATTTTATATATTGCTGTTTACTCTTTTTTTTCAATGGTAGCTCAATATCAGCAGCACATCAGCGTATGGTCCTTGTTAGGAATTTTTTGCATGAGTACATCTGCGATTCACGCGCGGTTGGTCGGACCAGCTTCAAAGCGCTGCTTGTTAACTTTCATCTAGAAAGGTTTTCAAGTGCTTCTTAAATTTTTGCAAGGGCCCTGGGAAATTTGAAAATCTTTATTTATATAAAGCAGAAAATCTGTGTGTTTGTGCGTTTGTGCACATCTTCCATAGTCATGAAGAATGAGCGGTGAAGCTCATTTTGATCTGCTGGTCATCAAGATATGGTAAGGACGGTAGAAACGAAACCATGACAAGTCGGAATCAAAGGAAGGGTGAATTTTGCTACATGAGAGATCAAGTACGATGGACTTGCTCGGTACCGGGGTGGAACCCGAGATAGCTCGTCAAAAATACCGTCCATCTCCCCCCCCCCCCCCCTCCCCCTAATTCCACGAGATTGCTTTCAACAACTCTTTTTTCGCCAAAGTGGAATGGTCCTCGCGGACAATGCAGCAGATACTCAGCCTGTGCATGTATCGAAATGTGTATTCATTGCAGATATTCGGTGATACCTCCCATTTTCGGCGACATATAGTCCCCTACCTCAAAGGCATAGCACATCTAACTTTCGCAGGTTGCTAAACTGCTATTTTCCGTACATTCAGAATGAGTTATGTCCAAATGGAGTATTGCCAGATCGCGTCGCGACTGAAATCGTGCTTTCGGCCTAAGGCATACTTCACGCGATTTCATTCGCTGCTCGATCTGGCGCTGCAGCGAGTCTTCGTGACTGGTCGTTAGCGCGCTTTGCATGGGCCAGACTAAAAGCTTTTGCTATGACTTACGGTAGCTACGCACCTATGCACTTAGGACCCGCACACGATTGATCTGTAAATATCTGGCAAACTGCCAAGTCCGTGGATGTAGCGATATGACGAAATCGCGCGAGGTATGCCTGAGGCCGTATACAATCGCGCGAGGTATGCCTGAGGCCGTATACTAGTAAAAATCAGAATCGCGTGGCAGTGACCAATGCTAACTCGAGCTTACTTAGGCTCTGACCATTCTCAAACTTCCTAAGCCTCATGGCACAGGGTTTTCCGAGAAAGTGTCCTAAAATATGATTGAATTACTTGAGAAAAACAATATGGCCTTTGAAATGTATACTGCTGTATTCAGCTATTCCGAACTAACAATAATATATCTTGTAAATAAGAGAATCTACTCAAACGTAGTGTTGTTCAGCACTCCCACTTCCTTGTTTTCAGAACAAATGCTGTTTATTTCAAATGTTATTTTCAAATGTCCAGAACATTTCCACTTCCTCTTCGATGATTTTATCAAACCGAAGTCTCATTGAAAATAAAAAATCTGAGATCATACAAACACTTAGCGAAAATGGCTGATACAATGTCAGACCTAAACAAAGCTTAATTGACGGTCGGGATGCCTTTTGATTATATCATCTACTGATAAGAGATCACTTTGCACCAGTCAACAACTTCCTAGTTTGAAACGCAAATTCGTCAACTGCTTCCTCTGAAATATGGACATAATTAACTTCAGAACTTCTGTAGCTGGCAATTACGCAAAATTTGATCCTTGAAAGCTAACAAGAGAGAAAAGATGAAAGTTGTTTGCTAATTACTCGATGTTGAAGCACTCACTTCGAAAGAGTGGCGCACAATGCTAGACCAGCGATCGTTTCGATAATCACCAATATACCACTTATTCCGACAATAATAGCTTCGATGAGTAAAACTGTAAGAGCAAGGTTGACCAATGTATACGCTTCATGTAGAATCAACAACAAAGATTTTGCACTTTTTCAGTGACCTGTCATTTTACCAAATTATCAGCTATAAACACAAAATTCCAAAAATGGGTATGTTGCGTCTCTCCACGCACCTCTACTTGAATGCTGACGTTGATTTGTTGAAATGGTAATCATTCTCACTACTGCAAAACTAAACTTTGGAACCCTTAGCTTACCGTAATTTTGAAATATCGCTAGGTACACATGAATCAGTATAATGGGAACGGAGAGCAGCAGTGAGAATGCCAGAAAAGCAGGAGTTTCGGTCAGATTCCCTCGTGCCCCTAAAAGGCCAAACTTTATGAGAATGAAAAGAAAAATACGCTCTCACCCCAAGATAGTCGAATGGCCTCAATCGGAGCAAATGCTAAGATTATCAATAGTTCGAGTACTCGTACATGATATTGGTAGGGTAAGACGGAACCTGAAATATGTAGACTCGATCACAATTGATTTCCAGTAAGCTTTGCATGAGATTTTTGCTCCTTTCAAAAATGGCACCATAATCTTTTTCTTTTGCAACACATTTGCAGTTGCAATATGAACCATAATAATCGGAATTCCGCGCAATCACGAATTTAAGGAAAGGTCGATCCGAAAGATTGTGCCGTTTTTCAAACCTGCGCTCAAACCACGCAGTATAAAGTAATGATAGGTGAATATACATATAAAATTGTTCACAATGCAGAATTTTCTCGTTCCGGTTGTGTTCGTCCCATGGTCGCTCGAATAATTCTTAGTTGTCCAATCCGTGGTTTTTACCCACCCTTACTTCAGCTATGTTTTAGGATTTCCATTTAATTTGAAAGAGCTCTGATAACGGATAGACATAACAGGGTGCAATACAATGTATTTTTTGCATCTATAACTAGCTTTTCAAAATTTCCGAATTTATTTTTGTGATTTTACAAATTCCAGATCAATCTCCCTAGACCCTGAAGCGAGCATCAGGGTGTCTGATGCAGCCTTTTCTCCTATTTCTGACAAATGTTTTTTCTCCACTCGAAAAGGGTTCGAAAATGAATCAATACGAATCTTTTAACACGTCCCAGACCTTATTTCTGAAAATCGAATATACAGGGTGTCCCAAAAAGATGTGCACACTGTTTGATCGTTAATAATTCTCTTGCTTTCATGTCTTTTGCCGAGCTTGAGTACCATTGTGTAGAGCGAGGTTCAACTTAGATTTAGAGTATGGAGCGAGTTAACAGTCGCCTTTCATCACTGTAGGATTACGGTAGGAACTTCGATGAAGATTTTAAGCAGCGAAAGTGATTTTGCCTTAGAAGGAAAATCAAACAAGCCAGGAACTCTTGTACTGGCCTAACTAGAGTCGCTGATTCTAAATATGAAGATTGCTTTTCGGTATGGTGCTTCTTTCATGAGTTATTTCTGATTTAGGGTAACACCTTTTTTCCAATGTTAGTCAGAAATGTGAATACGCCATCAAAAAAGCTCAAAAAACTGGTGGAAAGCTATGTAATGAAATCTGAAAACCTTGCCACACTACTTTTCAGATTTTTTGAAATTATTTCATCAAAAGGCCTATTCCACAGTGACGATGTGTGCTGAATCATACCGTAATCATACAGTATTGAAGAGTGATTATTGATTTGCTCCATACTACAAATCTTAGCTGAGCATCGCTCTACACAATGGTACCTCAAGCTCGGCAAAAGACATGAAAGCAAGAGAGTTATTAACGATCAAACAGTGTGCACTTCTTTTTGAGACACCCTGTATTAGATGGCGCAAACGCTCATTTGCCTCAAATATAGTGTTCAGCAACAATCGACTCTTGGAAGTTTCAAGTTCTGAAGATTCATCAGTTGGAAGCGTTTGTGTATTTTACGACTTCGCAAAAACGGAGACTGTGGGAAGGTGATGTCGAAAAATACTAAAAAGCTAGTGTGCCCAAATCTAATAATTCATTGTATTGCACCTTATTTTTTACGCAGCCCTTGACATTGTTGCTCTTCCGAAAAGTCTCAAAAGAAAATTTAGCTAAAATGAAGGTAGATAAAAACATTGGTTGGAGGTTAGTTGATCTTTCGTTCGACAAAAGTCTCCAAAATGATTCAACAGTGTTAGAAAAAGGAAGATTTCCTGCATCGAACCACTGATAAAAGTGTTCGCTTATCACCAATTTCAGTGAGGGATAGACGAAAAACGGCACGAATTTTCGACCTAATACGAAAGATATAAGAATTCTAATCTTCGGTAAAGACGGCAGCTAACAATGCCCAGTGATTTTTGCTTATGTTGTCTTCTACTCCTACATGCAACCACTATTTTTTTTCTAAAATCAGCTTTGATGCAGAAAACAATGCTTTCTCGAAGATACTTCGATTAAACCTGGATTATTGGCAGGACCTGGATCACTGACTCGAATCAGAATTTTTCAGCACCTTTCGCAATTGTGCTAAACAAAATCACGCATTTATATCGCAGACTACAACCAAACAGTTTTTTAAGGAGATCATTGCACTCGCTTCTGATTCCCTTACTCTAGACAGAATATAGACAGAATAAACAAAACATCTGTTGGCGAATTTGTGTAGAGTGGTAACCAAGAAATTAAAAGGGCATCGTATTGCGGTAGCAACGGAAATCTGGGCAGGAAATATGAAGTGCTGTATAGAGGCAAGAAAGACACTCGGATATGTTTTGAACACTTGGAACAATTTCTCTATGAAAAACTTATGAAAGCTCGCGGCGAAGATGTAAAATTTAGTTTTGTCAAAGGGAAATTTTTCAGGGTTCTCACTGTCACGTCTATGCCGAGGTGGCGTACCCAGGATACCTTCATTAGAAAAAAATTTTTTTGGAAACACCCCAAAAGGGATGTTTCCCAGAATTTTTCCAGGCCCCTGCCTCCAAAATTTCAGAAAAAGGGGGCGTGGTGCAAAAAAATTTTTTACAAGGCCAATTTGCATCTTTAAAAATTTTTAGAAATTATTTTAACTATTTACAAGTAAAAACAAGTCCTCTGCACATTTTTCTATAACACATTTAAGTAACTTTTAAAAATTTCGCGACCCATTCTCGGGGGGGGGGGAGCGCTCGCCCCCCCCCTTCGGTATACTGATCTACCTATGTAAGCATTTGCCATTAGCAAAGACAGTCCTACCTTTGTAGAAGTATAGAAATATCAGCACAAGAAAAACTATCACGGAATATATTCGATGAACATGAAGCAACAGTTGATAGACCAAAGACGATCTCTGCAAAAGGGAAGACTGAAGTCACATTAGAAAGCATGAAATTTCTTTACTCAACTTACCACATTTGATGCCATATGTGAACGTTACACAGCGCCAAATCATCAAAGGTGGTTGCCTAGCAACGGTGGAAAAGATGTGGACTAATATTGCACGCTGGAAGGCCAAATACAGATGCCAGTCTATGTTTATGACAAAATTGCGAGTATAAGCGCAACTGAATAATTTTGCTGTTGACCTCGATTCATTTACTTTTTATATATTTATTTTAGTTACAACGGCAAGCCACGTGAGCAACACGACAAAGCAACCTAACGCTTAAAAATCAAAACAGTGACAAATAACATGACAAAAAGCTGCATTTAAAAAAACACCAGGAAGAACAACAACATACGTCAAGAACACTACAACGATGGAAGCAAGTAGTTCTTGAGAATAGCTCTAAACTGCCCAAGTTTTACGGAAGCGTCTGCATTTCAACCTGCTTGCCCAGGTCACGGGTACTCTGTTTACGAAATGTTTTTCCTCTTCTTTCCGTTCTAAATAAAACAATCCTACCTGGACTACTCCTAGAGAGTTCCTGCGCTCGAAGAAATTTTTGAACTTATCGGCAACCAAATGGTAATTTTTGTGCCATCGAACCATCAAACTCTATCTAAAATCAACTATCTCCTTCTCACGCTCAAAATCATTCGGACCCAATTATTCATAAATGAATTTACACTTGTAATTGGACGATTTGCCAGGATCTGTCTATCATTAAGGTCTGCCCTCTCCCCAAAGTATATTTGGACTTACTAGGAAATAAAATTATTGCCCTACAAGGCGAACGGCATATATTAGGTTGGTGCAAAAGTTTTGTCAGTTTTTTTCAATCCATCGGCAAAAACGCTAGGATGAAGATAAACAAACACCTCAAAACGTATCCGATGCAGAATTTCTTCTTTCCAGCTGCTAAACTCCCATTGTGTTTAGTTGCAAGAGTGACGAGATATTTGCTGGAAATTACAACACTCGTTTTTACCACGTCTTTCGCTAATTTTCAAAATTTTTGTCTGAGACTTTCGGAGGAGCCCTAATAACCATCAGATAGGGCAAACCTTTTGCCAACAGATGCAGTTTTTTGTAGCCCTGCGGCTTGTCTTTCAGAATTTCTACGATTTTTTTTTTTGAAGTGATTAATTACATTCAGCCTACATTAACCTCGTAAAACATAAAATGCTAAACACTTCAGCCACCATTCGATACAACTTTACCTCCTCGTTCTAACTCTTTTTTTGCCCAAACAGGTGAAATTTGTGGCGAAAATCGCAGTGTTTCTCAATTTCAGGACTGCGAGCTGACCTGTAATCTATGCTTCAAAATCTTCATAATTTGAAGCGAAAATCGCACATTTACTTTGTAAGTATTGGTAGTAATAATCGATTGTTGAAACCTCAGTATTCTGTAGGTTTTGCAGTGTTTGGTGCAATAACAGGTTTCTACACTTACTTTTACAAAATTATTTAACAAAATATAAAAAAGCAGCTGAAAAAAGAAAAAAATAAGTTAAGCATAAGTTGGCAAAAGTTTTGCCTATCTGCTGGTCATTAGGGCTCCTCCGAAAGTCTCATATAAGGATTTTGAAAATTAGTGGAAGTTGGATATGGTAAAAACGAATGGTTGCAATTTTCATACATTTTGAAGTGTTATTTTATCTTCATTCTAACGTGTTTGCCGACGGATTGAAAGAACTGACGAAACTTTTCACCGACCTAATAAAAGCCAATCGTGCGCGAATGCGAAGTTAAGATATACATTGTGACCTCGGGCGTTAAATAGTTCAAGCACTGCAATGAAACAAACAGTTCTGAGCAGATACTTTCATGGAAAAACCTCCTATCTGATTTCATCCTTAGATGTGAATGTCATTTACTGCCTTGTCATTTATTGCCTATGCTAGCCAGTACTCAGACACTGGGAGCGGACGAGCCGCGGCCCCAAAAGGCCTTTTTGGCCCGGCCGCGGCCTTAATTTGGGGGCGTGGCCAGTATACTTAGGTGATTCGAAAATTTTTCATTGAATGAATGAATATCGAATAGATTCGAAAAGGAAAAATTTCGAATAAACGAATATCGAATAAATTCCAAAATAAAAAATTACGAATAAACGAATATCGAATAAATTCGAGGTTCAAAAATTCTCGAATGAATGAATTCCGAATAAATTCGGGAAATCAGAAATATCGAATGAATGAATATCGAATGTATTCGAACATTGGAAGTCGAATTTCGAATAAATATTTGAAGAATGATTTGTCGAATAACTAGAGCAACCATATCTCAGACTTGCCGACATATCTGGCTAAAGCCGACCCATTCATAATCAGCACCCTCGTTCCTCTATACCAACTCCTAGCTTACTTTCCGAAAAACGCTGGAATCGATATTTAGATTTCGGTTTTAATCAGCACATCCTCATTTACCCCCCCCCCCCCCCCCGTACCAACTTCCAACCTCATAAGTCAAGATTTTCCAAAAATCGACAAAATCGATAAAGTAAATTTTTACTAGCACCCTCACTTACCCCTTTGTACCAACTCCCAGCCCCGCAGCTCAAACTTCTTCAAAAATCGATAAATTAAATTTTTATCCATAATCAGCACCCTCTCTTACCCCTTTGTACCAACTCCCAGCCCACAATGGAGGGCATTTATCTTTTCAGTAAGTTGTACACGCTAAATTTGTGGTAAGCTGGCGTTACATTTGAAGACATCTCGTAACTGGCAAATCGCATACGACGATCTAAACCGTTTATCCTGCACTACAAATGCGATGTCCTTTACTCAATATACATCAATTCGCAAAAAATTTCTAAGGTAGCGAATAGAGGCAGTTGCGCAATTAACTTGTGCGAGTAAGAGTGCTCACTAATGTTGGCTTTGCGTATCACAAGCATGAGCAATGCAAAGAAAGAAAAACAGGCATTTCAAAACACTTTCAATATAGGACATCGGAACATAAGCTTGAATTTGATAGCTTCTTTGGAATTTGGTGCCAATAGCAGTGCGAACAATATCATTGACCGAAAAAGCATCAATCAAAATCCACATATGATTTTTTTTACTGTCGCAAATAGTCGGAAGAATGCGACCCTCCATACAGTTCAAAGGTCGTCACGGTTGAAAAGATGCGTTACCGAGTTTTGCGAAAAAAACGCGGACGAAGTGAGCTTGATACTCAGCAGTTGGCACTGCAACAAAGTCGAATAATCTGAATACGGAGTTCATTCGAATACGAATTCGAATAAACATTCGAATAAAACATTCGAATAAAATCTACTCGAAACTCCGTTTTTTGATTATTCGAGTTTTCGAATAATATTCAAAACTGTCGCGGCTCCGCGATGCGAGCGCTCCTAGAAGTAGGAGGCCGGGAGCACTGATTGCTGCCGCGCTACACGGCGGCGATGACGGCACTTTCTTACGTTCGCCGCAATCGCCGCTGGACCTCTACTCGCCTTGGCGCGTTGCCAGCCAAAAGGCTATATATAGCGGCGGCGCCTCATTGCAGCGTCTGTTCGCTTTCGTTTTCGATCGATAATCTTTTCGTATGTTTTCCACTGTGCTCGTGCCTGGCAGTTAGCTCCCGCTTTTGATGTCTTTTGCGTTAGCGGTCGAGCGGATCGAAAGTTGTACATTGGATTGGAATTCAAGCCTGTTGGAATTGTTTCAGACGAGCTACTTTTGCAGCTTTTGGAGTTTAGAATATCAAGATTTCACAACTTCGGGAGCGGAGAGGTGTCGCGCCTGGTATCCGGCGACGCGTGGCGGATCTGTATAGGTGAAGCCTCGGGAGCATTAGCATGTTTAGATGTTATATAGACGCGCAACATCGGTAGCACGGGATAGGGCACCCTGTCCCGTGTTGGGGTCTTTCTTCTTTTAGTTAATAGTTTTGTAGTAGTAGTTTAGTATTCTAGTGTCTAGTTGTTTTCCTTTGTGTCATAAGGATAAAGTATAAGTAATTTAATAATGTTTCTTCACGCGCTAGGGCAAGTTAGTAGGCTAGGTTGCGTCGTATGTATTAAGCGGGCGAGCGTGCGGGTGTCTCGGGTAAATTTAGGTGCTTAGGGCCCACCGAGCCGCCACATGGTGCATCGTCGCCGAGCGCATGGTGGATGCGGTTTTCCCGTCCGCGTACGGAGTTGGGTAGCCGCTTTGGTAAGTTTGCGGCTGGTAGGTAACATCATACTAGGTAGAGCGCGCCGGTTAGCGCAGTTTTAGGCTATCCCATCCTCCATGCGTGCGTAACGATCCCGTAGTCTACCACGCCCCGCACCTAGTTTAAGTCCAGGCAAGTAGTGGGTAGGGCATGCGTTCAGGCGCGTCATTCAGTTGTCAGGTAACCCATTGGTTTTGCAGCCTTAAGCGTAGCCAGCGCGTGGGGCGACCCAGTAGGTAGTTGGTGGCAGCAACTTTCCAGCTATAAGGCCCTGTGCACAGCGCGTTGTCTTGCGCAGGGATGGGTATGATAGTGGACTAGGTCTACCTGCGAGTACGAGGTGGAGTCGTCGTGGCGGACCTTACGCTACTGGAGCACACGCCACTGGGGCATCACCGCTGGGAGAGGTAACTGTTGCAACGTTCGCCATGTCGTTCTTTCACGTAGCCTTGACGAAGCTGTTTGCATTGCTTTTGTGTTATTCGCGCATTTGCTACGGCGTGCGATTCTGCCCTTGCTTGACAACCCTATCTGACTCTTGTCTTTGCGCCTACTGCGACCCCTAGCGTCTCGAGTTCAGTCGAGACGCTAGGGGTTGCAGTAGGCAGTAGTATATTCCCTTTTAGGGTTTTAGGTTAGGTCTTTATTAATGTATTTACTCGCGTCATGTATCCGTCTTCTGTATACTTTTGTTCCGCTGGTTTTTTATTTTCCAGAGACATCTCCCCTCGGTCACAAGCTTCAGTTCGTTCAAGCTGACGTTAGGAAGACGAAAGTGGACAGGCCAACCCCAACTACGAATCCCCACTGGTTGAAGGAGAAGGAAGCTTTGAGGAACAGGCAGGATCTTTAATCTATTCCATCTTGTTACAGATTTCTATTGCGTTTTTTTCCTTTGGGCTGTGTTTATTCGCGCTTTAGACTGAAGTTGGAACCGTTTGCGCTTTTCATTCTCTAGCGGGCCTTATTTATTGTGTTTCGCTGCGGAACTTCTGTCGCGTCTCAGGGCCCACTCCTCACCTTTCCATTGTTCGGCCAATCAACAAAATTCCAGCTGTATGAGCGCGCACGCGCTGAGGTGGACTGCAGCGATCTTTTACGCGTAGAGATTGAGCTTGGATCATAACGCGCTCTTTTGTTAGCTTTTTTTTCTGTTGTCCGTTGCTAGTTTGGATGCACTGTAGTTCGCGCAAAGCTCAATTCTGTTTTCTGGCCCCAAAGCGCATTAGATTTGGGTAGCGCTTATGTTTTCTTGCTAAAGATTTTATTTCAGCTGCATAGCAACCCCCGTATTTAGGTTCCGCGTTTTTTGCCACCTTCTCAGTCTATGTCCCAGCCAAATCAAGGTTTCCTCCTGCTTTGTTGTGATTTCCACGCACCGCAAGCGCTTTACCGTTGTAATTCATCGCGTTGGTTGCTGCACGCGCGCTTTTTTCCTTACCATCTGTATGTAGCGCGAATGTCATGCCGCACTTCTTGCACCCCCCTGACTTAGGTTCGCCTGCGTCCCCTTGCCGCGGGAGGCTGGACTAATGTCCATTCTGGAGCGAAGCAGCGTAGCGTGTGATTTCTTTCGCCTTAGGAAATGCAGCTTGCGTTTGCGCGTCCTTAATTTTGTTCAGAGTTGCGCGCTGGTGGGGTTTCAGAAGGCATGTGGCTGTGAATGCAAGGACTGTTTGTATCGTACGACGGGTACAGCACAGTAAGCATGGTTCCCTTATAACACCCGTGGCCTCGTAATTTTAATGTGTTACAGCATGAGCCTGTGGGTCGCAGCGTGTCTTGGTCAAGTGGAACCACATTTGCGTAGTCGTGCATTTCGTGGATATGGTCCTTCTGGTCAACTAGCAGCAGCCTTTGCCTACTGTACATAGTTTGATCATATTTAGCACCTTCGTAGTGGTAGAGTTTTGGTAGTATTCAGTGTATTTAGTCATTTAGTCATTTTATGTTTATGCTTACTTATTCATATTCTTGTTTTTGTTAGACATATTTCATAGGTACTCACTTCATGATTATCTTAATTCTTTTCAGCAGTGATACTTGGTTAGTGTGACGTGCGCTCATTAGGTTTTAGCACTTTCTCTTGCGCACAGTAGCTCTTCTTTTGAGTTGTAGATGTTTTATGTCTTTTCTCGCATGAGACGGGTTATCTTCAATCCATTTACTTTCGACGCGCTCTTACTATGCTACCGATGGATAACCCTTACTTCTTTTTCGCTTTATCATCCAAAATTCCGGCTAAAGGCATTAACCGCAGATCCCCGGTGCTATCACGTAACCACCTCTCGAACGCCCAAGTCTACTGCTTCTGGGGGGAGTGTCGCGGCTCCGCGATGCGAGCGCTCCTAGAAGTAGGAGGCCGGGAGCACTGGTTGCTGCCGCGCTACACGGCGGCGATAACGGCACTTTCTTACGTTCGCCGCAATCGCCGCTGGACCTTTCCTCGCCTTGGCGCGTTGCCAGCCAAAAGGCTATATATAGCGGCGGCGCCTCATTGCAGCGTCTGTTCGCTTTCGTTTTCGATCGATAATCTTTTCGTATGTTTTCCATTGCGCCCGTGCCTGGCAGTCAGCTCCCGCTTTTGATGTCTCTTTTGCGTTAGCGGTCGAGCGGATCGAAAGTTGTACATTGGATTGGAATTCAAGCCTGTTGGAATTGTTTCAGACGAGCTACTTTTGCAGCTTTTGGAGTTTAGAATATCAAGATTTCACAACTTCGGGAGCGGAGAGGTGTCGCGCCTGGTATCCGGCGACGCGTGGCGGATCTGTATAGGTGAAGCCTCGGGAGCTTTAGCATGTTTAGATGTTATATAGACGCGTAACATCGGTATCACGGGATAGGGCACCCTGTCCCGTGTTGGGTCTTTCTTCTTTTAGTTAGTAGTTTTGTAGTAGTAGTTTAGTATTCTAGTGTCTAGTTGTTTTCCTTTGTGTCATAAGGATAAAGTATAAGTAATTTAATAATGTTTCTTCACGCGCTAGGGCAAGTTAGTAGGCTAGGTTGCGTCGTATGTATTAAGCGGGCGAGCGTGCGGGTGTCTCGGGTAAATTTAGGTGCTTAGGGCCCACCGAGCAGCCACAGAAACCCTCTTTTTTGATTATTCGAGTTTCGAATTTTATTCGAAAACGGAAGAACTCCGAATATCGATTTTTGAATACGAATATATTCAAATGTTTTATTCGAATAATCGAATTTCTATTCGATTCGGACCCAAGTATAGTGGCCAGGTTGCGGCCGACCCGCGGCCCTTCGTTCACGTCACTATCATTGCACCGGCCGAGCAGCGGGAGAAAGTGGGCTCACCGGCTCAACCGCGGCCTTCAGTGATGGGGCGGAACATTGCGGTGGCTGAGCCGCGGACCAAAATCTGTGTAAGAAACTCCGGCCGAGCAGCGGCGAATGTCAAATGAAGGCCGCGGCTCGTCCGCTCCGAACGTCTGAGCGAAAGGATACTTGCGTGAACGACGCATGGTCAAACTGCCCTCGATGTCCATGGTAGCCTAGAATGTCCTCCCAGTCTCCCAGGCAGGAATGAGATCAAAATGTTGTCTTCCAAGCAACAATGGATAGCATATTGGCGCTATCCAATCTCGAATCGGACTTGGTACCCGAAGCTGCTATATCAGTGACCCTAGTAGGCCTTTGTTTTTTACCTTGTATTTTCTTATGTGCCATGGTAGCCCAGGGACCAATTAGGCTGAGCTAGAATGAACTACGGACAACCAGCTGCGACTGAGCCAAGGCCCACCTATGGCCGAGCTGGAGCTCACCGCCGACTGAGTCGAGGCCTACTCTCCGGCCAACCTGCGGCGGCTGCGAAATTCCAGCCTGTAACAGGCCGCGGCTCGTTCGCTCCCAGTGTCTGATCGTAAGTAGGAAGCGTCTGGGCTAAAGTTGTAATTTAAGTAAAGCAAAATTGGTTCCATTGTCAAATTTATGCTTCAGCATCTGCCTTTTGAATCATTGCTTTTTTTTTTCCTGGTGCCAGCCTTTTTTATGCAGAAACGTAAGTAAAAAGGCTGTCTGCTTCAGATGAACGAATGAAACAGGCTCTCATTTGTATCGGCCAAGACAGTGCCTTTACATGAAGTACAAGTTAGTTTTTGCAAGTCATGCGAAGCAGAAGGCATGCTAGAACCGCTTCTGATATATTTAGAAATCGAAGTTTAGCACGAGCCTTCAAGTTTCCCTGTTACGATTGTATGGCGTATGCTTCATCCTTCCTTCTCACAGTCAGACTATAGGCACACGCCATTACTTGATCTAAATACTTCATCCACTTCATCCACTTAGTGGTCAAGTCAATGAACCGACCAAACAGTGATGTGGATCAGGAGGATCAAATGGAAACTGAATCAGGTATGGCGCATGTCAGGACCTCAGTTTCTGTAAAGTTCGACATAAGTAGGGACGGAGCTATTTATTAATCAAACGGCTAATTTGGATTGAGACTTTCTTTTGTTATCCTCAAAGTAATGTGTCTACGCTAAGGCTTCGACTTCCCAATCATATGGATCTTTTATGTTTCCTCCCGAAACGATGGCACCCTGAAATGAGAGATGTGAAATATTGTCAATTACACACAAACAAACCTCCTCAAGTAACTTATAAATGTAAGAATAGTCCACATGGTCATGATAATGAAGTTTGTCGATGTACTCAAGTACTCGCCATAGCTCTTCCTTACATTTCAAAGGTCCAAGCATGGTTTCCTGGAAGTGTATCCAGTCAAGAAAGAAAAGATTTTTTGCAAGAAGCAGAAGCTTACCCTTCTCGTTGTTCTGCACTCTTCCTTAACTTTTTGAACTTCGTGTTTGTCTGCCATTCTCTTCCAAAGAAGACCTAAATTGGAAATCTTAGAAGAAGTTGATGAGAACTTTCGCTTCGCAACGGTAGAATAATTTGCCTGGCTGGGGCGATTCACCTCCTGGAACAGTTAGATCCAGCATGAGGTAGAACCATGATTCGCAGTCATCTTTCGGTCCCATCTCTATGCCTCTGTGACATGCTAAGGAAGCAAAAGGGATGGTGCCCTGGAATTGCAAAGTATAAGCTAAATATCAATTCTGATGCGTTATCAGACCTTGAACCGCACAGAAATCCTCGGTGTTTTCAACTCATTTTTGTCGTTCAATATACGACGAGCGATACCGAAATCCAGGATGTACACCTAAAGTGCAAGAATCTTCCAAATTGTTAAGCCTTGTGGGTGGAGCTCACTATTCGTTTCTTCTCCCCTAATCCAATGGCATAATTTGCGGGTTTTAAGTCTCTATGTATGAATCCGTATTTATGGAGGTCCTCACATGCTTCAAGGCACTGTATTGAGGCCCCTAGCCCTGTTGATACGGAAAATACCTGGGAGAAGCAAGAGAATCGTCGGAATTAGTAGAGGGGGCAGCTGTGCTCACTTTCTCAGGTCTGGCACTTTTCAAATCGGCTAGACTCTTTCCAACCAGCTCCATGACGAGGAAGAAAAACGTTTCCTTCTTCCCTCTATCAATAATTGCAGTGAAATGGGATTGATGCCTTTCGTTGGACACGAGTTTCAGTATGGCAATCTGGAAACTGTCCATTTTTCACAAACTGAATTGTTTTAAAAAATGGTCTTAAAGGCAGTGTCCGGGCAAAAAGTCGATTTTGAGATTTTATGCTCACCAGGGCCTATTGGCTATGCTGAATCCAAAAATCACACTGGAGGGCGCGAAAACGGCGAAAAAGTGCCCTAACGCAGGAAAAAAATCAGAAGTGGTTTTCCCCACTGTGGATCCACCCTCCCGGCTTCGGGAGCGATCTTCTCAATTTCGCTAGTCGATCTGACATCTCCACAGGACCCATGCGAATGCGTGTCTTGAAATCTGAAGCGAGAAGATCGCTCCAGAAGCTGGAACCGTAAACTCACAGAGGGGAAGACCCCGCCCACTTTTGATTTCCCTCCTGCGTTAGCGCCATTTTCCGCCGTTTTCGCGCTCTCCAGTGTGGATTTTCGGTTTCAGCATAACAAATAGGGCCGGGTAAGCGCAAAATCTCAAAATCGACTTTTTGCCCGGACACTGCCTTTGATTAGATTTTTTCCCAATGCCCACCCGCTGCCACTTCTTTGTTAGCTAGTAACTACCGGTTAGACCATACTTCATGGGTCTGTAGCCGAGTTTGTGTCCTCACAGATACAAAAGTTGAAGCCGTTTCAAGATTGTAAAAAATGAAGTCTTGTATGTTGCGTAGATCGAGGGATTCAGTTGTAAGCGCCTTGTCTGGATGACTGCAGCTTTGTTCTCTCCGACCGATGAATGGCTCTCTCCGCTTGAAAATGAGGAACCAACCGCTTTTCTACTATCAAAATTGTAGCTAGAATTTGCCTTTTTGGCCTCTCATTTCCAGCGTATCGGGGTTACCCATTGGTCGGATGTCATAGAAACTGATGTAATACCACCGCTCATTTCCATAACATCCCACTAATAACCCGGACAACCTCAATATGAGAAGCTAACGTGAAAAGGCAATCTAGCTGCATCTTCTTCATCAAAATAGCAGTGTATTCTCCTCATTCAACCGAACTGAGGCATCCATTAAACACTCGTCGTTCATTTGGACGCGTCAGATGTAATTTTTGCATCTGAGCAAGTCTTGTCAATGTATTCAAAAAGCAACCTCCATTTTCAATTTCGAGTGTCTCCTCGTCTCGATTTTCTTTTCAACTTTCATAGCAAACATTTTCGTCGGATCTTTATGGTCATGTACCCTGCAGCATCAGACAGAGTTGAAGCCACTTTGTAGCAGTTCCAAGAGTACCTGTAGACTGCGCCAAATCCTCCAGCTCCTAGTAACTTGACGACTACATACTTGTTCTTCGAAGATTCTATTATAGTGCCCTGAAACAATGGAACACATTGTGAAAGAGAGCACGTTTCAGTGGAGAGAGCAGGCAGATCCACTAACGGGAACGAAGCCGAGATCGTCCTCATCCGAGTCACTCATCGCTAAAAATGAAAGGAACTCTTCATGAACTCCGTTTATATACATCCTGATGGATAATAACTAACAATGTAAGACGATAGTGAGGCTGGGACACTTCTAGCGATATGTAGAATGTGTCAAAAGCTAAAGCGCGTAGTTCTTGTGTTAAAGCGATTCTTCTGCTTATCGTTACAGTGGCATTGTAGTAGTCTCCTCCTCTAACAAAAACATATCCGAACACAGCCGCCATATTTTTGCATCTAAGCCTATTTGTACCCAAGATTGACCCTTTACGATTCACGAGCGATTCACGAGCACACGCTCACTGCGAAAGGATTACTCTTTTGTTCTCAACTTTGTTCGTCCCTGTGAGCTATTCTAAGAATACTGAATCGCACAGCATAGTTTGCCTCAGTTGCTTTAATTATGCGGCTTTTATTGAGAAAGCTCCTTCGTCAGCGCCATGGCATTTGTACGGTTTATCGCGCCCCACAGCGAACTCTGCGCGCGAATGTGAACGAGAATTTTTTGAGTTTTTGAATTCATTTCATTCTTCTTTCTGTAAACTGTCAATCTTATAGTGCTGCTTTTGTATTCTGCTAAAGATTTAGAAGAAGAGCACCTTGGACTTGCGTGAACAGAGCTGTTCTTCATGGGTAAGACGAGCAACTAGAAGGCAGTGCCATCGCAAATGGATTACAAGAGTGAGTTTTTGTGGAAGTTAACAATTTTGTGTTACTACTATGGCTTTCTATTTAACTTCATTTGGAGAATTTGGGAATTTTTTGCACGTTTTATTCGAGGAGGTCGTGGTTTTTCCCCGCAAAAACTTTTCAAGACGTTGCGTGGTGATGTTTACAACACTAATCTTTTCCCTTCAGTTCAGCTCTCAACCGCTCAGTTGGAGCCACCAGAAGAACAACGTCGGAGGTTTGAAATCGAATGCGAATTCGTGCAAGCACTTGCTAATCCACACTATGTGAATTGTTAGTTCCTTTTTGCTATTACTTTTGTAAAAATGTTGAGACTTTCTTTAACTCGTGAAAATGTTATGTCGGTCCCTATTGTTTTCCCATGTTCCTGCTACCCTCACATTCCTCGGTCATGTTCGGCCCCGGACAGACTTCACGCGATTTGATCGTCGCGACTCAGTCGCCGACATTTCCATTCATTTTCATTTCACATTCAAAAATTTCGGGCTGGAAAAGTATCACAACCGAAATGCAAGTTGATCGGCATGGAATGATGTTGTAACAGTTGTCTCGTCGCGATTCAGTCGCGACGATCAAATCGCGTGAAGTCTGTCCGGGGCCTTCCACAACCAGCTCAGTGCGTAGGATCAACTTCCGACCGGTATTCACGATGCTAGTGGGTTAGCGAACCCAGCAGAGCTTTTCGTGAATACCGATTTCAGTAATTGCAAGTCTTTGCAAACACAAATCAGTCAAAGAAGTCTCATAAAGAAATTACCTACGCATATGAAGAGATCGTGTATTCTGTCTCTTCACTGCTAGTTTTCAGTTCTTGCTCAACGCGGCTTTCTGAAGGAGCAGCATTTCATTAACTATTTGAAGTACCTGCTCTACTGGAAACAACCGGAATATGCGAGGTTTGTTAGCCATTTGACGATCTTATGATTTGTCACTTTTACACCATGTATTTGAGTCTACATTCTTCTTTGTCTCGTTGATTGTAGAACTGTAGTATTGAGCATCAGTTGGAGTTAGCTATAATTCCTCATATAGAATACAGAATGCGCCATCCATCCAAGTCGATGTGTGTCTTCGACAGTATAAGTAGGGTCTTGCCCATCACGTCTTTACTCAAGTTACATCAACAAAGTTGTTTGAAAGGCACCGCCATTCTTGATCCGCTTGATCCACTTAATCCGCTTCGTGCAAAACGCGCGTCACTAATTTGTCATTTGGCGTCGCGTATAGCGTATTTGCCGTAACCATACGAAATTCTTTTTACCTACGCATCGCCAAATGACAGACTGCTATGTGCGCGCGTTTTGCACGCGTTCTGCACGAAGCGGATCAAGAGGATCAAGTATGGCAGGTGCCAAAGCGCGAAATTCGCTGCGGTGGCTTAGGCTGGTATACCGAGAAATATCCTCTGGAAACGTACCAGCCCAATCAGCGATTTTACTCTGACGCGTTTTGATGTGACTGGCGGGAGCGCCCATATTGTGTTATTTTGTACCTAATATGTTGAGAAAGCTGCTTGCATCTGACGATGCTTGCTTTGTGGCTTGTCCGTGTTTGCATAAAAAGAGCTCTAGAAAAGTGAGATTTCCTTGTTTTCTGGATTTTTTACTTGGAAGCAGAGACATGTAATGAAGTGGGAATTACAAATACTTATCGAGGATTTGGACACAGCGCTTTTACATTGTATAGGCGATTCATGACACGGAAGGACTAGGCGACGTAGCATCCGAATAAGACAGTTTGCGCATGGGAGAGTTGGCAAATGGTAAGAAAAAGAAAGAACGTATGAAGAGAGATGCCGATATGTCCGCAATGTCTGTGTGTGATGAATCGCCGATCTTGACTGGAGCATTCAATTATAGCTTTTAGTGTTTCTGCTATCTAACAGTTCATCCATTCAGCTATTCATGAATTAAAGCCCTTCCTCCTTGCGAAAATGTTTCTTTTTGACTAAACTTCCCTGGCAATTGCTAAGCATAAGCCTTTTGCGTATGCTCTATGCTAAATGCATGTCGTAGAGGATTCACAACCTTCTAATCATTGCAGATTTTGGTAGTTACTAATGTTCAATTTCTAGGGCTTTGAAGTATCCTCAGTGTTTGCACTTACTGGAATGCCTTCAATGTCCAAATTTTCGCGAAGCACTCACTTCAGGTATCGATACAGTGTTAAAACATCACACGTTTTTGGAAGTCTATTGTTTAAGGTGCAAATGCCAAGTTCATAGAAGACCAACAAGTTCTGCAGTGGTTATACTATCTCCGTAAACGACAAAGACTGCATGTTAGTTTCTCATATCCATTCTAATTCAATTTCTTCTCATCATCTGCTTAGGTGAATCCTGACGCGGCAGAAAATGCAGAAGGGAAATCCCATGATGACACCGATGAGGAGCTAGACGGGGACGATACCGGGTCCAATACTGCACATTAATTAATTACAAATACGATGAACAGTCTGCGTTTCCTACATTCTGGCTAGTAGATGGTACTTGGTTAGAGCTAAATTTTTCTCGTCCTAATATAGTCTCTGCATTTTAGTCATTGAGAAATTTGAAACTGTAGATAAAAACACTGGATCTCAGTTCCTTTTATAATCTTTTATTGACATGTCAGTCATGTCTGCAAATTTTTCTTTGAAATAACAGACAACAGGGGACCAGCAGCATAGAAATTTGAGATTGTCAGCATCACGGATCTATCTATCAGTATATCCAGTCTACTTCATTTGAGGGAAAGACATTTGTGGTTTGATCTCCGTCAGCTTTTCATTCCAATATTGCGTGACAGTTTTCCATTGTGTGTAAAAGGTGATACCGGCCTAGAAATGGCAATTATATATCTGAAAATAGTTCGCAAAACCTTACCTTTCCATAGAAGTTCATGTCACCAAGGAATGATCCACGTGAACCAGTGAAAGAGAACATGGGAAGAGGTACGGGGATGGGTACATTTACGCCAACCTGTCCGCACTCTACTTCATGGGTGAATCTGAAAGTACCAGTAACCGGCGGATAGTTCAAAATATTGTGGGATACGCACTTTCTAGCAGTAGCGCCGTTGGAAGTAAAGATAGCAGTTCCGTTTCCGTAAGGGTTGTTATTGATGATTTCTGTTGCTTCGTTCAAGTCTTCGGCCTCCATCACGACAAGCACGGGTCCAAAGATCTCTTCCTGTGACGAAGTCAAATTAATAAAGCTTCAACACAGAAGGAACTTACCTTGTAGCAAGTCATGTTTGGTTTCACGCCAGCAATGACAGATGGACCTACGAAATTACCGTTCTCGAAGCCAGGAACCTTGAAGTCACTTCCGTCTAGCGCAACGTTTGCGCCTTCCTGAATTTTTATTCAGCTTGGTGATGGCTTATATCAAGACCCATCTTACCTTCTTAGCTCCCTGAATAAGTCCAACAACACGTTGTTTGGCGGTTTTAGAGATCAGTGGGCCAAGATCTGTTTCTGGTTTCCAGCCTGGGATTTGATTAGCTTATCTTAGTAATGATATAGAGGATTCTAACCGACCAGCATTGACGTGGAGTTTCTTGGCCTTCTCTACAATGTCTGGAAGCCAAGAGCGAGCCTCTCCTACTAGAATAGCCGTCGTAAGTGCCATGCACCGTTGCCCTGCTGCTCCAAACGCCGCAGCTGTCAGCTAAAACTAGTAATATAGGCCTTCAAACCAATGTTAATTTCCCTCATTGAATGAGTTCTTAGGGCTAGTCTTTCTGTATATGATTGGAAGCGAACATTCTACAAATTAACTACAATTTTCTGATATGCATGGACTTGCTTTGTATTAATTAGGCCGACTATTACTGCTATTACAGATAGAATTTTTCGACATAATATAGTCAAACTGAATTGTGAATCGAAGCACTGACCTGATTCAAAGCTTGTTCTTTGTTGCAGTCCGGCATGACTACTCCGTGGTTCTTTGCTCCCATGTTGCACTGAACCCTCTTTCCACTTTTAGCTCCTCGCTCGTAAATGTGTTTACCCTTAAAACGCAGTTGTTGACATGAGAAGACATTCTATATTTCGAATTGTCGCTGTAGATACATTCAGATTTTGAAATATCGCTGTAGATACATATTCTTTCTCACAGTATATTGCATCGTGACTTGACGGAACCTTGGCGGACGTATAACTGCCATTCTCAGGGGAAGGGAGAGTGTAGCGGGCAAAGTTGTGAGATTTCAAGACTTATTGAAGGTTTTCAGAAGGTTAGCCCAAATGTAGCTGATTCTCAAAAAATCTCTAGATATCCTAAAAAAATTGTACGGTTTTGTACCTGTAGACCGCATTCAAAATGTTGGATTCCATTTCTTAGGCTTGTAAAAAATTGCGTAATGCGTGTCTGGATATCAAGCAACTTACCGCTGTATCAGCTCCTACGAACGATATGGCACGAATATCTGGGTGGTCGCAAATGAAATTCACTGCATCGTGTTGTCCATGGATGACATTCACGCAACCATCAGGAATTCCAGCTTCCTTGAATGACTCATTGAATTTGCACAGGCAAGATTTCAAAGGATCTTTACTTTTGCAAGTTTAACAAGCATCATGCATGCTCCCGGATCCTGTTCTGAAGGCTTTAACAGCATCGTATTACCAGTTGCGATAGCTAGCGGGAACATCCACAACGGGATCATTGCCGGGAAATTGAAGGGACAGATTCCAGCTGTGACCCCAAGTGGCACGCGGAATGAGATGGTGTCCATATCTCGAGACACACTGAAAATTTCCTAGTTAAATCGCATGATCAAAGCTTACATCTATGGTGAAATTACATATTACTATTTGAGCTGAAATTGTGAGTTTGCACCTTTGAAGATGCTGCAATCTTGTGCAAAATAGCAAAATCGTCGTATTACTGTTTTGGAACATCTTCTCGTTTTTTCATGTCTAAGCAACAGCTAATATAATACACTCATAGCTGAAAAACTCAAGTTCGAGCTTTAGCCCTGGCCGTTTTTCTACCGTACTCGACAACGCTGATTGGTCCTCTAGAGAAAAGACCACGGTTTGGGCTGGAGTTTTGAGTTGAATTTTTTGGCCACGAGTGATCGATCCGTAGAGGTACCGCTCGGGGATGGCTAGCTAAGTCCCCGATCAGTTCACATGAGAAATACAGAGACGCATATTTTACTGGATTTCGACTTTTGGTGGGCAAAAGTGTTTCTATTGCATGTAATCGTTAAGGCGGGTCATTTTGAGCATACAGCTCCTTCCTTCTTAGCCGGAACTGTTCGAGACACATGAAGTTTCGATTTTACACATCGCTAGGCCCCTTCAGAGTCCCATTCCCATGACTGGGAAATTAGCAAAAAGAATGAAACCCACTTTGGAAGCGTTTCTCCGAGCATAAGTGATGGCACGCCGCAAGCATGTTCGACGACCTATGATTGAAGCAAATTATTGAGAAAATTTTTTCGACTTAAAGATCTATTGAGATACCTGTAGGCCCCTCATGACATCACCTTCAGCGTCAGGCAAAGTCTTTCCTTGTTCTTCAGTGATATTCTGAGCAAGTTTCTTCATGTCACGTTTGATCAAGCTTTGAAGTTTGAATAGGCTCTCTTGTCGATGTATTGGTGAGCTAAAATAAATGTGATCTCAGCAAATTCTATAGAATCAATGGTTTTTACTCACACTTTCTTCCACGAATCGTAAGCGCTCTTGCACGATTGAACTGCGGCTTCCATTTCTGCTTTTGTAGTCTTCGGAACCCGTGCAATCACTTCATTTGTGGCCTACATACGGATATTGTACTCGCTTATCAAAGCACAGATAATTTGAACTTACGGGATTTGTGAGATCAATCCAGTCGTTAGTCTTCGACTCAACAGTGTGGCCGTCTATCCATAACTTCACAGTTTTGTCAGTAAATGTAGCATTTGTTGTGGAGAACAACGCACATTGTTGCCCGTACTTGATCTAAATACGACTTTGATATAATAAACAATGCAATTCTTCTCAACGTAACAAAAGCATCAGCGACTCCATGGCCTCTTGAAGAGGGGATCTTCTTCAAGAGGCCATAGAATCGCGGTGTGATGAAAATTGTTGATGTGTTACTTAAATTTTTTGACTGAAAACAATTATACTCCCAGCGATTGAATTATTCAACCCTTTACTCTTTTACTTTAGGCTTCTCGCGGTCAAATACGATCTAGGGTCGCAAAAATTTTGAAGGTAGCCCAAATGAGTTATAGAAATGTGCAAGTACCTAGTTTATACTTGCAAATGATTAGAATGACTTTTCAAATTTTTCAAAGAATTCAATTTGCTTCGTAAAAAAAACAGCTTTTGAGGCGTTTGGGGTTATGGACCCGAAAAATTGTTGGGAAGCATATCAGGATTTCTCGAAGTGCATGTTTACCGCCACGCACTCTAGAAAAAAATTCTGTCGCCTCTCTCCTCTCCCCCCCCCCCCACCCTTCCCCTTCCAAGAACGGGAGCCCTGAGTACCGCCACTGGTACCCATATTTTACTGAATGTTGGCTCTACTCGATTCATAGTAGGCAATAAGTGTTCTGGAATTAAATCAATGGAGCCGATGATCTCTTGAAACATTGCATAGTGATAATCTTTGGTCCCCCCTCCCCCCACAAAAATGTGCGGTGAAGTATATGTTTACATACATGGGTTATAAAATTGTGCAAGTGACTTGCTTATTCTCGTGAATGAAATGATTTTTGTTTCTAAAAAATTAATTAGCTTTGTAACAAATTTTTTCGGGGGAGTGACTGCGCCATTCAGGGGTTATGGGCCGCAAAAATTTTGAGAAGCATCTCAAAAATTTTGTCGAGATATCGCTGAGATGCTGGATAACGGTAGATTATCTAGCAGTAAGTTGCTATAATATTTAATACCACAAGTTTCACATAGTGAGAGAATGTCTTTTTATGCTTATACGCACCTTCGCTTTTCTTCCTAGCGCAATCTCCCAAAATTTGTGCTCAATGCAAGCCACAAAAATTTTTTTCACCATCGTCTTGATTGAAAGGTTGAAGAAAAGAGTCAATCCTCCTGTGGCAACCCCAGGATTTCCGTCGACGCGGCAAAAAGTTTTTCAAATGAAGATGCGTGGCGTTAGCCACGCATTTAAAAATTTTTGGGGTACTTCACAAACTTTTTGCGGGCCTATAACCTCTAAGATTAGAAAAAGTGTGCGTAATTTAATTTTTTGAAACACGTCACTTCCATAATTTCATAAGTCATGTAAGTAAATTACAAAAATTTCGCGACCTTTTTGCGTGGAGGGCGGGGGGGGGGGCGCCCCCTCGGTCCGCCACTGCATTTTTCCGCTTCATTCTAAGATTTTTTAAATTTTTATTTCGTTCTATGACTTGCAGAAATTTGTGGAGAATTTATGGAAATATTGTTTGTTATTGAGGGAGATAAGGGCGTACTGACATTACTGACATACTGTCATTGATAAATCATCTACGCTTTCCTATAGCTCACGCAAAGACCAAAAAAAGTTTATACTTTCATTTCTTGCAAGCTACTTGCGTAATGTTATTCAGATGAATATATGCTACTGCTTCTAGCTGCTCTTAAAAGGACCGTTACTGACTCACTAAATGTATGAGATAATCTTTTAGATTGCATTAGGTTTTGGCCCGCTAGTATAAAGCAGCGAATAAGACACTATAGGCAGGTAGCGCTCACTGCAAAGACTGCGCATGAACGAAATGTCATGCTTGACATAACGACATTTTAAAGTGTGAAATAAGTAGCCTTTTTTGCTTCCTGTATTTATTCACGCGCAGGTGTTGTCGGCACCGCAGGAGTGCTAGTCGTCAAATCTACTTCCCCAAATGTGGCGGTACGAAATTTTCGGGGGTGGGAAGGGGGGGGGGGGGGGAGGGGGAGGGAGAAGAGAAGCTGTGGGATGCCTTTCAGGTTTTATAGGGGCTAGTAAAAAAATTTTTATAAGCTAATTTGAATTTCAGAAAAGCGAAAATGTTTAAGCAATTTAGAAACTTACAAGTGAAAGCAAGTAGTCGTAGTTCCATCTGACAACTGATCTTGCTGTGAGTTTGATTTTTCTTTTCAAACCAGAACTGTTCATTCCAAAAGAAGTCATGGCGATGCACTTTTTCTCAGAGGCAAAATTAGAGTGTACAATACAATTTGATGGATACCCGAATAGATGCATGTCAAGACGCTTCGATGGAGAAGATGAGAAGGAAATGAGTATTCTTTTGATAATTATAAAAATTGATTCGGAGTCAAAAAATATAATTCAATGACTTTTAATAATAATTAACCAAAATTAAGAATTTTCATACAATATATTAGGTTGACCCGAAAGTTTTGTCCGACTTTTTCATCGCTCACTAAAACTCGCAGATTCACCAATTCATGGATGGCTTAGATACTACTCAATTAAGATTTTTATCTTCTTTCTTACAGCCATATATGCTCTCTGAACTACCCTGTCTTTGCAATCTTATCGCCATGGATTTTTGAGCAGCGTAGCACTTACGACAAATCTTTCCTGAAACTCAAAAATTTTTATCCTGAAGTATTCCACAAGCGCTGGTAAGTGTTATGTAGAACAAACCTTTGGCTACATTGTACTCATTTTAGATTACATGAGCCACGTCTATCAAGTCCGTTATGATTATTTATGTAATAAAAACCGCGGCTTTTTGATAACGTTTACCGCGTGAAAGTACCGAAAATCCAAAAAGCTGCTTTTTCAAAGCAAATCAAACTTGGTTAAGTTGCATAAATAATGCTTGATAAGAATCACGTTTCAATTCGCAGAAACTTTAAAAGCTTTCATGTATTTGCTGCAGTTGCGTGTTTCACGACTTAGCCAAAAATCGAGATCTCCGAAAATACTGATTTTCTAAGGCTAAAAACAGCAGACTAGGAAAATATGAAAACAAACTCTTGTAGCCCGAGAATTGCTCTGTCTGATCCACACTTAACCTTTCCCAGAACAATTTTTAAAAATTAGCCTACCTTTGAACAGGTAAAATTGACGGGTGTAGAATTTTGGCAGTTATCAAAAACATACAAGATTATGGATCGAAAATGTATCCATAAGAAAGAGAAATAAAAGCTGCATCGAATGCATGTTGAAACTCATTCAGGTCTTTACTGTGCGTGGTTTTATAGGAGTTTGAAAAAACGGACACAAAACTTTCGGGACAACCTAATATTACCTAATATTATATCAAATAAAAATATAAGATACGCTGGTTTGAATGCACTCGTCAAGGAATTAAGGTTAGTAAAAAATGCAATACAAATTGATTTATTTCGAGTGATTTTGCAAAAAAAGGGAAGTGCTGGATAGCGTCCCCAAAAGACTGTTTACAAAGGCTTAGTAAATTTTCTTCTGCTGCTACTGCAAAGTTGTTTATGAATTTTCTTCTCAGTTAAAAGGGAATTTAGAGTCAGGGCTAGGATTAGGGAAGTACAAACTGGCAAAATGTTGAAATATAGAGCTGGGTGAAGCACTGAGAATGAGAGACGAGGTTATGTTTCTAATAAGGGTGGAAGCGTTATCAGCTAGAGAGTTCCTCTTGAGACATTCATAGCAAAGACGAGAATTTGTACGTAAAGTACTTACCGGGATTCTGGCAACACGTGACAGCATCGCTGGACCTCAAGTTTCTGGAAATAGATCATTGACAGAGTTTTGGTATGAAAACGGAACAAGAAATTGCGACATGTGGAAGCAGGTGTTAGGCCATCGATAAGACCCGAAATATCGAAAATATGGTGTGAGATCATGAGGTCACGACGGCACGGGTGCTGACGGTTGTTTGAAAACGACGGGCAGACCGAAGAACAGAGATAGTGGAGGGGGATAGCTGCGACGGACAGGGAGAGATAGCTGCGAAGGGCAAGCGGGTGGAGAACGAACTGCTGCGAGCGAAACACATGCGGACGAAAGAGCAACAAACTATCCGAAAATTGCAACTACGCAAGATTTTTCCCATTTTTACCATTCGTAGATGGAAGAGAAATTTACAAATTCGTTCCTCAAGAGCTAAGAATTTAGTTCAAATTTATTTGAAAATAGTAGAAAAAGGGTTTGTTACAACAATGCTAAAGCAGTTCCCACGTCTAAAGCAACTAGTAAAGCAGTAACTTAGTAAAGCAGCTCAGGTTTTTGTTTCAAGCTTTTTGGGGACTCAAATTGAATTTGCATTGTATGACCTTTCTATTAGAAGTGCACGAGGTACACTTCTGGTTTTTTTAGCTGCAAAAAAAAAGCTCGAACAAATTTGAAATAAGCAGAAAGAATTTCCTAGAGTGCGAGTATACACATACTAGTAAAACTTAAAAAATGTTTGCCTATCGTGAAACTTTTGACAATTTTTAAAGAGAGAGAATGCGGCAGTCTGATTCCATTGTTTACGATAGTTCTCATCAAATAGTGGTCCTCTAGAATCCGAACTATTCAAGGCTAATAATGAACAGGGTAAGATATCGTGAAGGATATTGGAATGTAGGAAAACGGAATGTCGGGATAAATATACCTTTTTTTTAAATCTCTATCTACGTTAGATGAAATAGGTGAGAGATTTTCCTACGCATACCGGCATGAATTTCGCAGTCTTTGCAAAGTTGCCAGCAAAATGAGATACCCATCTAGCCATGGACTTATAATGTAACAAATTAACAGATTTTATAGAGCTCAACCATCATTCCACAGGGATTTGATTTTGCTAACTCGGATAAGGTACTAACGTAAGCAGCACATAAGGCAAGAAGTTTATCAGATAGATGGGCAAAACGCAGTTCTCATTGATATTCACCTAGGCACAGATCAAAAACGTATCTTGTTCAAATCCAAAAGCAAGCCCTAATAAAATGGCATTTGGACGATGTGGTAGACGCTATTAAGAGCAGTGGTGCCGGGAATGGCAGAGTGCACGAGGTCTTCGTGTGCCAAGAACAGTTGTTGCGGGCAATTGTTTGATAAAAGTGTAATACATTCGGCCGACATCAGAAAAAATCAACCCAAGATAAGACGTGGATGGATTAGGAAAATTTATTTCGTCTTCTGCACATTTCTACGAGTGAATAGCATGCCGAGAGTCGCAATGGCACGTGCACAATGCTTGAAGCAAATATTACAAAATGTAACTTTCAGATTCTGTTTTAGATGAAGAATGGAGAGTGTGGAAGTTGCTGTCTATTTATAGATGTACAGGCACTACACCTAATCTCAGTTGATCAAATCGTTGTAAAAACATTGACAAAGCAAGAGCGGTTCCTCGTGCCTCACCAGCAGGCCCATCTTTATTTGTCGCCTGAAAATTTTGTGTGAGAAGATCAGGGCTCAGCACAGCTGGCACCGGGTCAAGCTAGACATCGTTTTTAAGGCGGAAAGTAAAGGGGATATCGTTTCTACAGGGGCCGAGGAGGAGAACTGCCGCGAAAATGCCGCCGGCATGCCATCGGCATGCCATTGGCAAGCTGTCCATCAACAAACAAAGGCGTTGTTTTCAGCCAAAACGCAATAGTATGACACCAAATTTGGTGTGTGCATGCGCGTTGGTGGACCGGAACTACGGGCCAAAAATTTATGAAAACTTATGTGAATGAAAGCTGTGCCTAACTTTTTTCTGAATTAGCTGGCACCGTGCCAGCTGGGTGCCAGCTGAGCTGGCACCGACACTTTGCTCACATAAGTTTTCATACTTTTTTACATAAAATGTATCTACACTGTAAAAGATTACATACGGAGAAGAAACAGTTTCATAATGTTCTCTTTTCAGCGTTTTATAGCAATTAGAAAACCACTCGGTCTGCTCCGCAGTCGAAAAATCGGCTTTTTCTGCTTCTCAAGATGTGATTCGCCCACTTAAGCTCAGAAAGCTGTGAAAAGTTCTTTCATGAAATCAGAAATGCATGAAAACACTAATACATTTTTTTTACAATAATATAAAAATGATGACGGGTTTTCAAAACAGGTCAAAAGGGACTTCGTACAAAATTTTCAATAAAAAACGGGACTTCGTTTTGAAATTTCCCTGGTGTCAGCTCGTGCCGAGCCCTGGAGAAGATTTCGACAGGAATACTGAAAAGTGCTCAGATAATTTGATTTATTAGTAATTCGATTTCTATTCACAACCTTCTCTTTCGTCGCTGAAGATGTAAAGTAAGGATAACGGAAAACCGACCGCATATCAAAATAGTCAGAACTTTGCTTACAACTAAATAACAACATCTTTTCATACAAGATTGCACGGTTGAAGGCAGTCAAAATCACTGACACAAGTCTTTTATGTTATGTCAAAAAGTGCATTACATAGTTAATCTGATTTCAAGATAAGATAGCTTCTTAATTGTAATAGGCACATAGAAGAACAACTACTGTTAATCTGCTTATCATGAATGGTGCAGAATTCCGCAAAAACTTTCATGACTCGTTGCAGCAAACAACCTCCTAGATAACAGATTTAGTTGTCAATTCTAATTCCAACAAGCATCCAATGGTAGAAATCTTTTCAGAAAATAAACACTTCACACTTGTTTATAACTGAGCTTGAACATGTAAATCAAAAGATTGCGAACCTCATATTTAAAACTATTTTCGGGAGAAGAGGACTGACTGACGCGCCTCACCTTTTGAAACTCAACCGAAGTCCAGCGTTTGCTAAGGTTAATAGTGATCGAAGCATAGAAATTATTTGAGCAAGCAAGACTGCTTCTCCGGGCAAAGTGTTGCCAGAATGTGGAGAAGCCAATGATTTGTTGATGATTCATTATTCGAACAAGTCACAGATGTGCAGCCAGAGTACAGAATACTTTGCTTCTTTGCAGTAGATTTTGTAGCCCATTTGAGAAAACGCTCAAACACATCTTTTGTAAAGCAGAGATCATGCATTCTGATTGCTTCCTTACTTGACTGATTCATTGTTTGACTCGTGCTCAAAATATTTACAAAACAAACAAGACATGAAAGTGTCGGACATTTATTTACAGTATTACTGTGCATTAATAAGTAGAACTTGTTGCCCACAATTCTCGGAATCCTCGATTCTATACGAAGCTGTTGGAGAAAAACGGAACCACACCTTGCATCATGCCTCTTCAAAAAAAGAAATTTGGAGTTGCACGCGATCCTAATCTGGATGACTAAAACAAAAGATGTTTTGCTGTGACTACCCGAAGGTGTTGATGTATCAAAATGCTTTGGATTAGAATGTAATAATACACGAGATTATGTGGGCAACATAAGTGAGAATACATTGTGCGCTCTAGATTTGACACATTCAATGCTGATTTTCAGTAGAATCTGAATCTTCGTCTAGGCCTCGACATAACAAAATCTTCGTCAATGAGTCTGTCAGTGATACAGTACATCAAATATAACGTTCCTAATACCAAGATGACAACGATAGTTATTTCGACGTATTCCAGAAAATCATCCCAAAAGGTGTTTTTCTTGTCGACTGTAAAAGATTGCAGTTGACTGCGCTTATATAAATGAAAGAGTGAAAATCACCGTAAATCACTGACGACAGCTCAGTGTACACCGGTGCCTCGACAGGTTCGCGCATGAGATGCGTGGATTCTAGCTGATATCTAAAGCAAAGCAAACTCGGACAGCCTCATACATTCATGAAACATGATGTGGCTACACATCTGGGGCGGTATGTATCAATCGCCCCTCCGGGAAAGGGTTTCCGTTAAGGTATTATCCGCTTCATAGCTAGGTGCTCTGTAGATCTGTGTTCTTCCTTCTTTGTCCATCTTTTGGGAGCCCTACTACCCTGATATTGTAGCGTAATGAATAGCAGCACTTTGCTGTATAAACTTTTGTCGGTAGAAGAGAATTTCGGTATTTTGTATGATGCCGAACGAGATCCTCAGGAAATCACGATTTAATTTCAAAGTCCTTTATCTTTGCAAAAACTCAATAAAAACTTCGTGAAGTTATGCTATTGATTTATTATGACAGTGTTGAGCATTTTTATGGAAGTGATAAATGGAAACTCAAGTTGACGAAATCTTCGACCTTCTACTCGCGAGTTGGGGTTTATCGAATAACTCAAAACTTCCACATTTCACCTGTGCAAATGAAAAACATGCTTAGCACTGTCACAATAATCTTCAGCACAACTTTACGACAATTTCCTTGAATTTTTGCAAAGATAAGCGACTTTGAAAATGAGCCGTGATCCTCTGAGGATCACGTCCGGGATCATCGTAAAATACGGAAAATTTCAGCTTATAACGCAAAGCGCTGCTATCCATTATGCTTCAAACAAGGTAGTAGGTCCCGAAAAGATGGAAAAACGAGGAAGAACACAATCCCCAGGTCACCGAGCTATGAAGCGGATACTACCTTAACGGGAACCCTTACTCGAAAGGGCCATTGATACATACCTCCCCTAGACTGTTCAGTCACAGGTGAGAATCCAAACAAATATCCGCCAACAAATGCTTCACTGCGAGAAGTAGATGGCAAGTCAAAAGTGTGTCTTTGAAAAAGACTAGATTAACCTGCACGCCAAAACGGTGCTCTTCCATATGTCAATTTCTAGAAGGGGAGGCCAGCTCAGTCGAGTGGCCTTTTTATGTGACTCCTATACAACCCTAAAGAGCAATAAAAGATAATTCAAAATTTGTCCTTATTTTCTGCCAAACGCTTCTGGATGCCGAGTGGGTTGAATTGGATGCGCAACTCGAACAAAATTCGCTTAGAATTGCTCGAATGACCAGTGTTAATTAACGAAGCACTTCAGTTGATAGGCAAGTTCTGCTTAATTCACTCATACTCAACACTGCTCTACTTGAGCGGTGAGGAGACCGTAATGGTTGATTTTGGTTAGATTCTGCGTTCATTTCTTGCACCAAAAACACTCATAACTCGGCGTCTAGAGGCGCATGGCAGATAATGAAAACAGACGGAATCATTCCAAGGTATGGGACTCATTCGAAAAGGTCACTTTAGAAATAACATAAAACGTGCCCCGATTGTAATATTGTCCACGGTGTTGAAGTAAGGGATTTAGCTTATTTTATTAGAAAAAGGCAAACTGTTCCCTCTGTAGAAGCCCCATGTCTCAAGTTAAAATTTCAGGATCTCGGCCGTGGGAGTCCCAATAAAATTCGTTGCAGAAGTCTGCGCCATGTTTACTCCATTGCGTAGGAAATATATACCCCTTTCAAAATCCCTGCGGTCGCCGAGGGTACGGCAGTGCATTGAAGCTGTGTTTTTCAAAAGCCTCGTCAGCTGATTAAATTTCAAAGATAAAGAGCAACCGTATCAAACCTACACTCTTAGCGACAGCAGCTCATGAGTGCTCGTCAGTTCTCCAGTAGCAGCCGAAACTCCAATGTGGTAGTCAATTGGAAGAAAGACGCCTTAAAGTCTGCATCATTGAACAAGCATCACAGTTTTTACCTAGAATTATTCATAGATGCAATTTTCAGTGATTTCAGCAAGCAGGTTGCTATTAGACGTTATTTATAATCTCACATAATCAGCAATTTGTTCGCATATTTATGTAAGTTGATCCCGGAATCACTTGGCGAGATGTCGCCTGCGAAAACTATACAAGTGACAAGACCCTCGATTCCGTCGAATCGCTACAACTACGCGACTTGACGATTTCCCAAATGTCTACAGAGTCACCGTGCGCGGGTCGCAATTGTATTATGCGCGTAGCTTCCGTAAGTTGTCGCATCAACTCTAGCCCAAGCAATGCGCTTTTGAGACCAACTATGAGAGTGTTGCAGTGTTAAACCGCACAGCAACTGCATCGCATGAGGTGTGCCTGAAGTCATGAAGACAATGACATATAGTTTGATCGCCACGTGAAGAAACGCAGTTCTTTTGAGAAAAGACAACAGACGATACATGTGGGGACTTGAAAACAAAAGGCTTTACACAAGTGGACCATAGGCTTAGAACGCTGGCTGTAATATAGTTGAAACCGAATATTTGTATTCGATTAATTTACTCGAAATATTCTGCTGTTCGAAAAAATTCAATCATTCGAATATTCGAGCAGTCGAATAAACGAGAAGGGCTTTTATTCGAACAATTCGTTCATTCAACGACTCGAAAAAATGACTATTCGAATAACCGAACAATCGAGGAAATTAAAAGACAGTTTCTCGAATATTCGAGAAGTTTTGGAAAACAGTTGTTCGAATATTCGAAAATTGGAATATTCGAATATCATTCGAATATTCGAAGATATTCAATTATTCGCTTATTCGGATAGCCGAATATTTGATCAAGTTTAGTTATAATGTGGACCCCGGCCAGCTTCCCATAGGTACCAACGCGACGCGCACGCAGCGCATGCCTTCAGTGCGCTTTTCGTTTCAGCTCTACCGTATTTTTTTGGCTTTTCTCTCTCAAGTGAGCTTATTCTATTCTGTAATCTCTAGTTTAGGTATAAACAACCCACGACAACTGCCAATGATGAGTTTTCGCGAGACTTGACAGTCTTGAAGCTTTTGATCGAAAATTTCTTTTTTCTCGATAGTGAAGATTTGGATGTAGTATATGAGGAGGTCTCTTCAATGTGTTATTACAGAATAAGCCTGTATATTCGATTGATTTTTATTAAAGATGTTTCCAGGCTTTCTTGATGCGCCGTTGAGGTGTTGAATCAAACATTGTGCCTTCAATCTTAAACTTCTTAGTTTTTTGTGGCCACATAAGGAAAACGTTTTGAAAGCGCCCTCGACTTTTTGTGGTACCTCTATCATCCACTATCATCCACCACTGGTAGTGTCATATTAGCATCAATGAGACTGACTAAAATCTGAGCGCCAGAGGAAGTCAGGAACGTTTTTTTGATGCTTTGGCTTTTTTCGAGTTTAGTATAGAAGTCTCCACTTCTCATTTCACTCCTTTTTCAAGTAGAAATGCTTTCGTGTTCGTAAGTGAAATGAGAAGCGTCAAGTCGAGCCCGCGTTGCGTGTGCGCCGCGGTAGTACCTATGGGAAGCTGGCCGGGGTCCATATTATATTCGAACATTCGAAAGTTCGAATTTTGGAATGTGCCCTATTGAATATTCGCTTTCGAATAACATAATTGAAAATCGAATAATATTCGTTCATTCGAAGATTTTTCGAAATTCAATCATTCGAAAGAAATTGGCCGCCTATGGACATCACATGCTCCAAAAAGAAACTCGAGAACATGCAGTTGGCACTAAACTGAGCGTAAATTTCATTCGTTCGAAAAAAATTTAAGCATCAGTTATTCGATTTCGTTCATTCGATGAAAATTTCCGTTCATTACAACTGTATTATATACCACATACAGGGTGTCCCAAAAAATGTATCGAACGTTTGATCGTTAATATCTCTCTTTTGAAGAAGTCTTTTCCCTTGCTTCAGGTACCAATGTGTGGGGCTGGCTTCAACTTAGATTTGCATTACAGAACGAATCACTCACCTCTCTTCATTACTGTAGGATTACGGTAAAAACTTCAAAGAGGGTTTTAAGCAATGAAAGGCGATATTTTGCCTCAGAAAGGAAACAAGACAGCCTCAAAACTTTTACACTAGGCTAATTAGAGTTGCTGATTATGACTGTAAAGTTCCCAACTTATTATGATGCTTCATTGAAGAGTTATGCCAGGTAAGAGGTAGCGGCCACTTCTTCAATGTTCCTAGAAACTGCGGTTATACCGTTTAGATGGCTTCGTAATCTCGTGAGTAGTTGAGTATTAAACTCAGTGTCCCTAAAAACCCTATTACACAAGTTTTCACATTTTTTTGAAAATCTTGAAACGGCAGCTTTTTCCACACTGACGCCACATGTTTCAAGTTTCTACCGTAATCCTACAGTAATGAAGAGAGATGGGTGATTCGTTCTATGATGCAAATCTGAGAAGCCAGCTCTACAAAACGGTACTTGAAGCAAGGCAAAAGACTTCTTGGGAAGAGAGATATTAACGATCAAACGTGCGATACATTTTTTTGGGACACCCTGTGTTATGATCCCGCGGAGCATCTCTCCAGTGGATGTTATGAGTTTTTCTTTTGTATAATTTGCGTGATTTCAAATTGCTTAGTAGCGACGGTGGCCACAAAAGCATGCAGACTAAAACAAACTATAGTAAGCATCTACGCTCAATTTAATGCCAACTGCATGTTCTCGAGTTTTCTCTTTGGAGCATGGTAATGTCCACAGACGACCAATTTCTTTTCGAAGACATACTTCGATTAGGCTAAACAAAAAGAACCTATGACTTCTCATTGTCAGACGCTTCGCAGGTGGAGAAGGTACAGTCGAAATTATGTGCTTCGAGTCGGCGTATGTAACTTTTCAAGTCGCTAATGCTATGTAACTTCCCAAGTCGCCAATATGACTAAATGACTTCTTTTGTAAAAGAATTGTGAATTTTGCGCAGACAGTTTAGACTAAGCTATAAGTTTGTAGGCAGTGATGGAAAAATGGACTCCAACGAAGGAAAAAAAAGAACCTTGTTCAATTCTTTTTTGCACATAGCTGTTAGCATAGTCCTCGCATCAGAATTATTTGATACAAAAAAGCAAGGGATTTTGACCTCTAGTCACTACTGTTGAATCGCTCACGCTCTAGTCACTAGTGCTGAATCGCAGGATTCAACAAAAAAAGAAAAACAAAAGCGCAAAGTAATAAGTACCTTGAAAGATCTAGCCCAGAAATAAGAGTTATGTCTCATCTACAAAACAAAGCAAAGTCGAGAGCTTTGACAGGAAATTTGAATTTGCACTACTTCGAGCTTCTTAAGAACTACGATGCCACCTGTCAGTCACATATCGTCTAGTCTTCTAACTTACCAACACGACCTCGACTATGGTAAATTGAGTAGCAGAAATTTGGAAGCTAAACTATAGTTGTGTGCAACGGACAACCAACAGCCCCTGTAACCTAACTATGTGACGCCATCAAATCTAATGTAAGCTACTTTGAAAATAATCAAATCGCTTTTCCAACAATTCTTCATAACTGACCGCTGACGTTGAAACAATATTGCCAGTGTACTTGGTCGCGAAGAGGCAAAGTGTAATACACGCCGAGCTCGTCATGTATATATCGTACTAATATCTTGATGTTGGGCGTGTGGTCGTAAGCCATTGGAATTTGGCGGGAAACAACATCGTTTCTGCATCAACGACATTCATCGATAATTATCAAAAGAAAAAGAACTACTTGCTTACTTTAAGTCGCACTCGAAATTGAACCTCAAACTTGAACCATCAGTAGATGGATCAAGTGTGGTGTCGAAAGGTCGACTGTTGAGGACAGCAAATAAACGTGTGCTTTGGAGCGTTGAATCCGATGTCATCGTGTTCTTATAGGTGTCGAGAACTGGAAAAACACTCAATGGTCATCGTTAGAACTTTGCACGAAAAACTATTCCATCCGTTTCAAAGGTGTTCACATTGTCGCGGATTGCGCAAAAGGGAGTTCGCCGCCGCTTCGCAAAGGTCCCAAAATGCCAGTCCTTGCGCTGCCCCGCCAGCTCATAACCGCCGAAGTACATCCACCTTTGTACAAAAGTCAGCTTCGCCGCATGTGCCAACTTGTGAGCAGACTCCAACGTCCATCATCAAAGTTATTTAATAGTTTCCTCAAATTCAACAGCACGCAAGGTGACCTGAGATGCTTCCACACGTGGCGCGTGTAGAAATTTCACGGGTTTTTCCATCTGCTGGAAAATAGTGAGAACATCAAGTCGTTGTACTCATATCAGTATCATACTCTTCTCTTAGGTGTTAGCCGCAGGTCTTCTGTAGTAGGATAAACGGCGGGCATATCAGTGCCGGTGTTATTCGTTGACGCCGTAAGGCACAGCCCGACTGTGGATGCGGAAGTATTTCGTAATCAGTACATATATTACCATTGTAATCTAGCCTAGAGTGTTCGATCCATGTGACGGCTGTACGGACCCAGGTAATGCCGCGCACTATGATGTGCCCAAGTCTTGATAATGAGAGACATGTTTCATAGAGAATGGGTAAGGGCTGCTGGGTAGGCCGGTGGCAAGGGTCCATAAGTGTGTACAGTGTCTGCATCGCGACAGGCCCAGTAGCATTTCGCAGGGTGGAGGACATTAGGTCGCCGAAAAAGGGCGGTCCCCGCGGTCAGCGACAAATACGCACACTTGTACATACGCGGACATGCGTTCCTGCAGGGAATCCGCATGGGACTCTTCCAAATTCGGCGACCTAATGTCCTCCACCCCATTTCGCAAGTGTCGCCACCCATCTTGCTTTCAACCCCTTCCACAGAGGAGACTTTCGGCTCCTAAATGCCGATGAGCGCGTGCAATATCCACTGACGTGAGGAGCTCAATCCGCGACACATCCTAGATCCGAGGTGTTGGAGATGCTGTATTGACTAACTTTTGCCACACTTTCTGCTACATAACTCGAACAGTTATTGACTTAATAACTGTTCGAGTTATGTAGCAGAAAGTGTCGAAAGCAGGAATGCCGCACCAGAAGATAGATCGAGCACCGGTACCATCACTATGGCTTGTGAAGGTTGAGTACAAAGCTAAGCTAATCCGCCTTTCATTAATCAAATCACATAATTACTGATATGAGATATTCATGAGACCAAATCACACCTTCATACAACCCGCACTGATGGGCAGAGTCAAGTACTGCTTCTATAGGCTGTAACCAGTGGATAACCAGCAACCAGCATCGGTTATGCGACGTGGCGCCTGCGGCAACTGGTACGGCTTGACGCGTGTCAATCCTGCTAGTTTATGAAACGCGTTTTCCATCCGTGTAAGGCCATCCCAGTTTTTTTTTTGTTTAAATTCGTTTTTTTTTTCGCCGTAAAGGCATTGTCCGGGCAAAAACTCGATTTCTAGAAAATCCGCTTACCGGGGGTTATCCGTAACGCTGACTTCGAAAATCCACATTAGAAGGCGCGAAAACGGCACATGAGTTTTCCAAAGCCTTACAATTTATTCGACGGTCCTCACCAGGGCAGAGACGCAGAGTCCCTGCGGGACCCTACATTTTAACTGCGTACTCTGCCGCCCTGCGGGAATTCGAACAGCTCGGAGGACCCCGCCCCAAGGCGTAAGTTTCCCCATTTTCCAGTCGTTTTCCTTGCTTTAGGTCGAGCGTTGTGACGTCGCACTTGTGCGATGTTGTGTCTGAGTGGGACCACCCTCGCATGGCACTGAAATCCCAAAACCCCCATCTTGCCTGGACACTGCCTTTAGAGTTGGCGGACATCTCAAAGTTGTACTGATCTTCTAAACCAACGATGAGTTACCAGAATATTGAGATTTCCGACAAATATCGAGTTTCAACTTGTGGTTCATCGCAATCTTCATTACATCAATACATCACTTGTTTCTATCAGGTGCATGCCTAGCGCTATTCATTAGATGACTGATACAAAGTGAAATTTTCTCAATGACTCTAAGGAAAGAACAAGTCAAGCAAGGGGTGTGGCACACGATTGGTTACGACCCCCCCCCCCCTATTTGCTGTCTCAATAAGACCCCTCCCCCCGAATTATATACCTAAGATAGCATTACCTGAAGGCCCTGTCAAACATGATGGGCAACATATCCATAATGAGCATGTCAATTAACCCCTGTAGACAAAGTTTGAGCGAATTCTGAAGATTCAAGATACTAGGCTACCTAAGTGAAATGGTCATTTTCCAACATGATTAACTTCGTTTCAAAGGTGAATTAGTTATCCGTTTTTGCACTCTAGACAAAGCACTACTTCTTTGTCCTCAGAAATCCCGCTCAAAAGACCTCCAAACTGAGGAATTAGAAGCCAACCAAAATCTCATTTTTCCCATTTTTCGCTTTTAATGGCTGTGCTTTCACCAAATATTACTCAGAGCTAAGAAGACGAATCAAGCTTAAAACATTCCTATGGAATCTACGAGGTTTAAGCTATCGATTCATATAAGTATTGTTCGCTAAAAATGTTTTTTTGATATAGTTAATGGGGTGTGCACACCCCTTAAAAGCTGTGGCAGCCAATATTTATATGAATCGATAGCTTAAACCTCGTAGATTCCATAGGAATGTTTTAAGCCGGATTCGTCTTCTTAGCTCTGAGTAATATTTGGTGAAAACACAGCCATTAAAAGCGAAAATGGAAAAAACGAGATTTTGGTTGGGTTCTAATTCCACAGTTTGGAGGTCTTCTGAAGCGGGATTCCTGAGGTGGACAAAGAAGGAGTAGTGCTTTGTCTTGAGTGCAAAAACGGATAGCTAATTCACCTTTGAAACGAAGTTAATCATGTTGGAAAATGACCATTTCACTTAGGTAGCCTAGTATCTTGAATCTTCAGAATTCGCTCAAACTTTGTCTACAGGGGTTAATTGACATGCTCATTATGGATATGATACGAATACCACTATTATCAGATTACCCAACTACGACCCCCTCCCCTTTTGACTCCTCAATATGACCCCCCCCCCCCTCCCAGGTGTGGCGTGCCATACCCCACGCTTGACCCTGAGAACAACTTCAGAAAGAACGATTGGCCGCTGGATATCAGGGGAGGATCATACAAGAATCTAAAAAACCGGCTCGTACAGCAGCGTTTTTCGTTATGTCTGTAGTAAATGTAGTAGATAGAATTAAAACTGGAAAACAGCACAAAATTCAGAGCAGCTTTAGGTCACAAAGCTTTCTTCGTCCTGCGTGGATGTTCCTGCAGGCCCCTGACTGCATCAGTTGAACTTCAGAGGAGAGGAAAGGTAAGGGAAGCAGTGTCAGTCCCGGTGGTATCAGTCTTTAGAGCAATTTCAACGCTCCAGGTTCCATGGAACTTACATAAACACATTTAAGCTCTATTTGGCAGCCAGTTATCACGCCATATGTCCGATCTCGCACCTCATCCAACGATCTGGGTCCATGTAGATGAAGAAACTTTCGCCCTTGGAGTTAAGAAATACTTCAGAGTGCACTTGAGCTCAAGCATGTTATTTTAAACAAAAGTTTTTTTCGTGTTTGTATGATGAAAAAGAAGCCTCCTACCTACTGCTATCCCTGATGACTTTGTCGGGCCGCCCCATGCCGACCCACATTGTGGTTCATCTAGGTACCAAATAGCTATGCCATCTGCTGGAGGAGAAGACAAAGAGTATACACGAAGGTCTACCTGCAATCAAAAGACAAATGCACTAGGTCTCGAATTCATAAATTTGGTTCACTTTCTAAAAACAAAGCTGAGTAAGTTGACCATTGCATACGATGTAAGTGCTACGTCTGTTAATCTTTTTTTGGAAAGCCCATTTTGTAAAGGATTCTACAAAGACGTAACTACAGATGTAGAGGATTCATCAAATGCTTCCGAAATCTTGCACAATATCTAGGCTTCTGATGAGTCGTGACGTTTCTTAGTTCAAATCTAACTGATGCTAGATTTATGTTTATAAAGTCCAATATGTAATAAATGAAAAGCAAAATAAAAATGAACGGCAACGATTGAGACGGAGCGTGTAGAGCCAGGATACAAAAGAAAAAAACAAAGTGCAAATCATAATCAAAAGAAGACCAATATAAAGGGTGTCCCAAAAGTATGTATGCACTGTTTGATCGTTAATATCTCTCTTCCCAAGAAGTCTTTCGCCTCGCTTTAGGTACCATTTTGTAGAGCTGGCTTCAACTTAGAGTTACAGTATGGAGAGAATCACCGACCGCTCTTCATTACTGTAGGATCACGGTAGAAACTTGAAACATATGGTGTCAATGTGGAAAAAGCTGCCATTTCAAAATTTTGCAAAAAAATGTGAAAACTCGTGTAATAGGGTTTTTATGGACGCTGAGTTCAGTAGTCAACTGTTCATAAGTTTGCGAAGCTTTCTAAACGGCGTAACCGCACTTTTTAGGAACATTGCAAAATGCCGCTACCTCTTACCTGGCATAACTCTTCAATAAAACATCATGACAAGTTGGGAACCTTACAGTTGAAATTAGCAACTTTAATTAGCCTAGCGTAAAAGTTTTCAGACTGTTTTGTTTCTTTTCTGAGGCAAAATATGGCCTCATGGCTCAAAACCCTCTTTGAAGTTTCTACCGTAATCCTACAGTAACAAAGAAAGATGGATGATTCGTTCTATAATGCGTAACTAAGTTGAAGCCAGCTCTACAAAACGGTGCCTAAAGCAAGGCGAAAGACTTCTTGGGAAAAGAGATATTAACGATCAAACAGTGCACACATACTTTTGGGACACCCTGTATTACGGGATTGGAGGTGTTCAAGCAAATGAGAACAGACCGATGTAGCAAAAGAGTAACTGAACAGCTTGAATTGAGAACGTGACAAGGTATCTGCACTCGTCCATTGAAGCTTTAGTCATAAGAAGTAAGACTGTACTTATCAACTCTAAACTTGAATGGGAGCTCTCTAGTCAGATTTGTTCCCTGTGATTGTCAAAAATAAACAAATGGAGATCAAGCTCTGCCTTGAGTCTACAGATGAAAGCAAAATCGCAAGAAACTTCTGTTTTTCGAAGTAGAAGTTTGCAGGCTCTTGATTTTCCGCGTTATAGCAATTCGAAATTGGGTACTTTTCCGTTATCCGGACCCATTTTTCAAAAGGCTCTCATGAAATACGTTCTTTAGCCTAAGAACAATTTTTCATTGATTCTACGAAACTGCCTCCCCACCACGTGTCAGGAAAAAATTGACACGTTTTAGTCCATTTTGACTTGTTTTTTCGAAATCATTTCCGGCAAGGTAAAGGAGCATTTGTGACCACTTAAAAGCCTTTCAACTGTTTTCTGTAAGAGCAAAACTATCTAGAACTTATCCTATCTTCATCTTGATTGCTTTCAGCAGTAATTCAAAATCATCTATTTCTTCAAACTTTCCGCCATGCGAATTTAGTCAGGAGAGACTAAAAATGATGGCTTGCAGTATCTCGTTGCTGCTTGTTTCGCCGCCTGGATAATGGAAATCTAGCGCGATTCTTCATTCTGAGCAGGTCTTATCATCTAATGATAACAGGATGAAGTTATTGTTATGACAGTGTTCATTTCTGAAATTGTTTAGTTGAGAATAGGGTCATTATTGACTAAAATACAGATTGAACTTTTCGCTAGGTAGTGCAGAACAAACCCCTGGTAAAACCTGTTAAACAGGTACATGACAAGTAAAAATTTTCTGACAAGTGGCAAAAGGTTGACACTCCTTCCTGTGAATATGGGACCAAATATGGTACAAGGTCAAGAGAAATATCCTTTTTTGAAAAAATGGGTCCGGATAACGGAAAGGTACCGATTATTATCATAGAGTTTTGCGGCCGGGCGGACCCAGATAAGCGAGCTAGTTAATATATAGACAGTTTCTTGGCCGGCGAATCCGTCCTCTATAAAAACCAAAACTTATGTGAAATTACAGAAATATATGCTCCATACGATCTCAGTTCGTACAGTGGCCGTCTACAGACGGTACCTTTAGAAAAGCCTTTACTTCACTCACATGAGTATTCAAAACGTTCCACATAGTTTTCCGCAAATAGTATTCCCTGCATAAAGTCAAAATTTGATGAACCATCGTCGCGTTTTGGTTGTAAACAAGCATTCGTTTATTTTAGCTTTGCATTCAAATCGCGCGCGCTTTTTGCACGACGCGATGGAGCACGTCAGTCGTGTAATAACTTGTTTCTTGAACGCGTCTGAATGTTCGTCGTATGCCTTCTTAGCTTGTTTTACGAAATCCCCTTCGTGTTCTGTCCCAGAAACGAAGCCCAGCCTGCCTCCAGTAGATCTCTGCCGGGCCTGAGCTCCGCCCGCTATGCTTTTGGAGTCGAGCTAGTGGTAACATAGATCTCGAGTTCCCTTTTAGTGAGCAAAAATTAGGGACAACTCCCACCTGTATTTCCCAATCTCTGGCTTTGACTACATGTTTGCTCCATACTGATCCATTTAACGATTGAGCCTCCCTCGTCAGCCGAATCTTGTTTCTCGTAATAAAGGCATCTCCTTCAAAAAAAATTTTTTGAGAGAAGATGCACAAGTAAAAAGAACGGACCACACAGATTCCAAGATAGTGCACCGCTGAATGGTCGTGTTAATTGGAAGTCACGAAGTTCATGCCCCCTTACTTCATCGACATGCGTTTTGGGGCCAAAAGCAAGAGCAGTCGCGTATTGTAAGAATATAGCGCTAAACAGCATGACAACAATCTCCCAGCAAGAAACTACAAAAAATGGCACAATACTTGCAGCAAGGCTCACCATGTATTTACGCGTAAGACCATATTACTACAGGTAGAAATGCATCTAGTGCTTGAAAGCAGTGTCTCACCAAAATTTTGATCCCTACCTTATTTACTCTGTACAGTTTATTCCTGCATATTTCCAAAAACCTAGCGTCTGGAAGGGCCCCGCAGAGATTTAGACAAGTTGTGCTCTTCACGGCCACCGCCATCTTGGAATGCGCATCTGCGCACACACGAGAAATAAGTTTAAATGAAACTTGTACACTCCATCTTTGTTTTTTCAAACAAATTTTATTAGGAATGACCGGGAGCTCATAGAAACTGCGTGCATAACCTATACAAGAGCAAAAAAGACCTATCATTTATTATTTCCATTAGAAACAAGTTTTTATAATGCAATCTTTACACACATGAACTATGAGTAATGAGAATAACACCATCCAGATGTATGAAATAGAACATGTGAAATTATAAAATATCAGTTGAACCAGTGACGAACAGTGCTGACCAACAAAAGAAGAAAGAGAATGAACAGAAGACAGCTAAGCTTTGCGATGAGGACATCCGATCGCTCATAAGTGATGAGGGACATGTCAAGATGCATAGGAAGACGGCACGATTGTTCGACTCCAGACCGAGACTACACATAGGTTCTAATATCTTCTAAGGACTGAACGGGAATCACACATCACAGCACAAAGAGGGTTAAGAACAGAGAACTACGAAGTAGAAAAATTCCCAAACATCGCTGAAACTGATTAATAACAAACGCCTACACTGCCCACTTCTAATGATCAAACTCGCGAGAAGAATGAGGCCAAAATGAAGCTGAATTCACCGAGAAGGCTAGAAGCCTGAATGAGAGAATACTTTGGGATTGAAAACACGACCATACTGATATAAAATATCATCATGGCAGACCCGCCCATTGTGCGCAGCCACAGCGAAGCGCGATGAAAAGCGTGCGATGAAAGCGATGCGCTGTGACGACAACAGCTACACAACGTGCGAAAAATGCAAGAAACAAACACGCCATCGTGCGCATGAGGCTGACTTAGAGAAATCAGGAAAAACGGAGTCGGCAACCACCAGCCTACAATCGCGGCAACCCCAGCGCCGTTCATATCTATTTACATCATAATTGTGGATATAACTGCAAAATGAAAAGGAGACTGAAAGGAAATCCGTCGGCTATACACAACTCAACAGACTATTCAATGGCAAGTGGCTAAAATGGTGTGTTTGGTCACGAGGTGAGGTAAGAGCTTCCTCCGTTCATTGCGCAGTTGCTTCCTCGGCTAGGCCGTCATTCTCCTTTTTCACCACACCTCGCTGCTCCACAGCGTTCACCGGAGACGTACTGGTGGAAGTCAATGACTGAAAATGAAAATCAATAATAATTCCGTAGATCGCATCCGCAGACAGAGCAGAGGCAACATAAAAACAAAAATATCAGAAAGAAAAATTGACAATCGACTGAGGAATTTGGTAAATCAAGACAAGACTTTACAAAAATAAGAAAAGCTGACGAACAAATAGAAAAGCAGGTCATTCATATACACAATTTAGTAACAGAATGGACGCGTACGATTTGCAACGCACAATTGCGCGGTAATCCTAAGTGTAATTAGCAAGGACACAGAGTTTTGTGTCTGAGTAACGGGCTTTAACTTACTTATTTTCTAAGATATTAAATACTTTAGGTAGGAAAATGAGAAAGAAAGAACAGAAAAAAATTTGAACCGAACACATGAATCCTGGACCCTCCGCGCAATTGTGCACTGCTGGCCTACATACTTCTCCGTTCCTTTGATAATAAGTCTAGACAAAACACTGATCTTGACAAGCACTCCATTGTTTAGAAGCAAACACATATTTTACGCCAAAACCCAACAAAAACGTCGTCGGCTGCCAAATCTTATAGGGACGGAAACCTGACAGCTCAAGTGTGTCTGATGGCGAGCGGGTTCAACAAGCAATGCTCTAATGTGGAGGTTTGACAAGATGAACGTTTGCAAAAGTCTCCACCTCATTGCGAATTTGGAAGCCGAGCATAGAAAGCAACCACTAGCCACGAAAGAGAATGATGAAGTTGTTCACACCTACCTCAACATTTGTGTCACTGCCATTATTGTAAAGGTCATGAACGTTCGCGGCAACGATTGATATGCCCGTCTCATCAGCCAACGGATCATTCATTTTATACATCTTTAAAAGCAGATTATGGAAACAAAGAATGGGAAGCTTGGAAAAAAAGGTACCTTATAACTCTCTTCGTCGATGGAATTCGGTCGCATTACTGCACCTTCATGAGCAACCTTATAGGATTCCTCATCCATGGAATTGCTTCGCAAAGCAGCGGCCTCCTGAGCTACCTTGTAACCTTCCTCGTCTATGGGACCGGTTCGCATAGCAGCGGCGTCATGAGCAGCCTGCTCACGACTATATTGTATGGCAGATTCCGCAACGCTGCTCACCTAAGAGAAAAGATACCATTTTCAAAATGTAACCCAAGGAGTACACACGTAGGAAGTGATTTGCTCACAGTACTTACTGTGGCTTCGACATGTTGCATGCTTGCAGGTTGACGTCGATTACGGGGATGCGCAATTGGTGGACCGTTTGTTATCGGTCCAGCACCAGGAGCTCCTGATGGAGGAGAATCTGGTGGAGGAGAGATAGGGCGTACCTGTAATCAGACTGTAAAAGATGTTAACTACCATTTGTGGAAGATCTTAGATATTATGAGTTTTATGCATTGGCAACTGTAAGGATGAATTTCTTTCGAATCATTGAGTCGTAAAATAAGTTTTGTTACCTTGAAGACAAAGCTTATGTTACTGCTCAATAATATGGATGCAAATATCTTCAGCACAAATTTTATTTCTTTTTCTACTGTAGCCTGACAGCTTTTCGAGAGCCTTGTACTTTGTGTATGATGATAAACCGCGCTTTCACACCACTTAGCCAGCTACGAAAAAAGGACAAGTCCTATGCATTTTTGCAAGAGCAATCAAACTCTCCGTCTTTTCATCTACTTCTACTTGCTCTCTGAGTTCCTATAGCCACTATGATAAGACGACACCACATAAGAAGGTTCACTGAGAAGACAGCACAAAAAAAGTCATTTTCGTATACTGCAGAGGTTTGATGTAGAACAGATACAAATTCACGCTCAATAAATGTGCTTCCCAACATAGCAAAAATCTTCACCGCAGTACTCATTTGCAGCGCAGAGAACACATGGAGATAAGTATACGATGTCAACAATAACACTGACCTGCTGGTAAGGTTGCGGTTCATCACTATTTGGACCAATCCTACTTCGTCGACGAGCGTTCATGAAAAAGTTTGCGACGGTGGACAAATCCAAACGAAGGTGTTCAGCAATAGTTTGCTGCATTTCACGCGAAGGACGTTGAGTTTCTTTGAAGATTGCCTGAATTTAAGACTCGAAGAAGCGCAGATGTTGTTGACCACTTGATTGTTTCGTCTACGCTCAGAAAAGATTATGTGACAAACTTGGAAGTGGGGAATTACCCATGCATTACTTTATTGCTTTCTGAGATATTCCTTGGGTACTACTTAATGAGCTATGATGCGTAGCAATTATGAAAACAATCTTTGATCACCTGCTCTGCGCGAATCCCTCTTCGAGACAAGCTACTTTGTTTGATACTTTTTCATAATAAATGAGGTCAATACACTAAGTGTGTGAGCGTTGTAAGTCAAAAAGGTATTAGGACATATATAAGATTGAAAAAAGCCGTAAGAAAAGCCAATAAATAACATGTTATAAAACAATTGCAAAAGTTAGAGAAACAAGTGTCGCAAATAGGTAACATTAGTTAGATAGTAAACTGTGAAGCAATCTTGCCTACCTTCAAAAAAGCTAGAAAGAGAATGAACTGTTTGCAAGTAAGCCTTGCTACAGAGTTTTGCACGATATTAAACATGTGGTATACAAAAGGAATGAGTAGGAAATCTGTATATGACTATCATGACGCATTATACGTCGAAACCCCTAAACGTACCTGCAGAGTTCGCTTTTGGATGTCTGTGAATACAAGTCGTGGACGCTTATTGGAAGGCTGGTCAGGATCAAGGCTTCGACGAGAAGAATGTCGCACATTCTGTGCAGGAGTGGGTGGTGACATGCCAAAGCCGGCAGGAGCTTTACCCATCACGGACTGCTCATCGCCTTCTAAAGAGTAACTGATTATAATTTGCTGCAAATCATTAAGACTATAGTATGAAAAACTCTTTGCCACAACAAGAAATGTGTCAAATTTGGCAACTTTATGATGAACTCAATGAATGATAACTTTTTCCTAATACAAAGAAGAAAATTATCAATTGAATACCGCGATTCGATTTCGAAAATTAATGTACAGCAAATATGAAAATATGCATACATGGATTCGGCAGAATGCTAGCTGAACGGTTATTAGAACGCAGTGAGTCGGCTTTAGCTAAAATTGTATAAGCACGCAATGCGGGTTCGGGCACGGTTTCGTGAGTACAATTACTGAACGATTATAACTTTGCTTGATGTATGGAAAAAGCATATTAACAAATTTCCATGGGTGGCTTCAAGACAACAAACATGCGACTCTCTGCGCCAGCAAAGTAAAGGCCTGTACCCCAATTACGAATAGCTCGTGCTATTTTAAATACTGCCGAAGATGATTCTTTCATGAAGAAATATCTCCGCTATTATAGTTTCATTCAAATGTTTCCTCTTTACATAAACTAGATATCTTTCGAGATAAGTAAAAATGCATGGCTAAACTTATAACAACGGTTAGCTTTTGCCTGCCGAAAAATTTTTTGTTGCTGAAAATATGACTTGAACGCTTGTCGTACTTCTTTAGCGAGATAGCCCTTGAATCGTAACATGAGAGTTATTCTTCTGCGCAAAGCAGACTGTTTTGAGCAAGCTAGAGATTATCGTACCATATAGAAATATAAGATGAAAATAAATAGTGACAAACTCTGCATAAGTTCAGTTACGTGAATGGTTGTTTTGACCGCAAGAAACAGAAAATAGACTGCAATGGGACAAACAAGACGTGTCGAGTGTTAACTTAACTGATACTATAAAATTCTTAGCATATTATCGACGCGATTGTTCACGTCTTTAACATAAAGAGAAGCTTGAAATGCTCTTAATGAAAATACACAGAAAATTTCGTTAGCAACATGCATGAAAAATCTCGTTAATGAGCAATACCAGATATCAAAAGACGGCAGCGGTGCGCAAACTGGAACACATTGCGAGAACCCGGGCGTTTTTTCTTATGTGTAACTCTCCCTGCTCCCCATGTCTGCGGTTTCTACTGACCAAGCAACATAAATTATCTGGGTAGATATCAGCAACTGCGAGCTCGACCATTTGGTAACATGAAAGCAATCGAGTAACTACGAGGTTTCCAATACGTTGAACCTAAGACGCGTGTGATGGTTTGAAGCATAGTTGGTTTTCGCAGTAAGACTACAAACCTCATTCCAAATGACATGAATCACTAAGTAACTTTTTTGTAGAAAGAACACAAGGTACAAAAAAAGGGAAGAAGCAATCTCAAAATAAAGCTTCAAGATGTTGTCCATGATTTCTCAATTGACATTCCCATCCACATAAACAAAGCAATGCAAAAATGTGGAAAAATACGCATTCATACTTGAAACATCTAACACCACAAATCGCAGCATCCTTGACTACCAGCTAATGATCAAAATAATCGCATACGTAGGTAGGCAGCAATTCAAGATCGAAAGATCGAATACTGAGCGAGCAGAAAGTGAGAAATGGTAGAATCGCGACATAGGAATAGGACTGTTTTGTCCAAGTAGGACAACGGGGGAAGATAAACGATAGAGCTCAATGACTAAGCGTTGGGCTTCTTACCTTGTTTGCACATATCCAGGATTCCTAGTCGCATTGCAAGTGGTTGCTGTACCCAATTAAACATGCGTCGGAATGTTTCACGACCAGATTTCAATTTATTCCACGGTTTAGGATTTCGTAGCAAGTCTGATAACGTCCCCTGACTCCTGAACATGTAGTGTCAGTATAAAAGTTCCAATGAATTTCCGTTGGAGCAATACACACAAAAAAGACGTAGTTCTAACCTGCACAAAATTCGTTCAGCGAAGATAGCCTGAGGGATGGAATGTTGTTTCAGCTCATATGCTATTCTTTTACACAACTCCTTCGTATCTATATAGATATCGTCGTCGATTTCTGCATTCAGCGGATCATTGCTGTCTTTGGTAGAGTACACACGTCGACCAACTATAATATGAGCAATGAGATGGGGATTGACCAATCAAAAAGTTCCAGGAAAAAAAAACATGAAACCCCCAAGATAGCATTTCACAATGAGCATGCTTAGGTAAAACGTCAGTGCAAGTGGCGAATTGCTACACTCGATTGTTTTTACATGAACAAGAAGCAGAGCGGGAGAGATGAGCGGATTATCGAAAAAAAAAAACGCCCAAGACTATGACGAATACTATGTAGATTTTCCAGGATCCTGACAGTGAGTAGCAAGCGAACTCACACACATTCAGAGTGCAGCTAAAAGAGTGTGCCAGCGATTTTTCAAAGTGTAACACTTCACGAGGATAAGCAACAAAGAAACAAATGATATTTGAAGTAACGAACTCCTGATAAATCAATGAGGGGTCCAAAGCACACCTTTTTGGGAATACTGCTGCCTCTGCATTTCGAGCTCAGCATCATCTCCGTTGGAACGACCCTCAAGAGAGTCTTCAGTATCTCGTTTGATATTCGCTATTCGATGCTGCATCATCGATGTTGATGACTGTGGGACGCACACAGAATAGTTCTGAGGTGAAGGAGAGGATGTGCGCTGAACAAATTAGATAATATATATTCCAACTCGGTAATAAAACTGGCGAACTAAACTGACAAAAGGTACCTGTTCTCCGATCAAGCTGGCAATCATTGTCGAAGCCAACTCAACATTGCTGACGGCTGGTGGTGTTTCTGCTTGTGCGATTCGCTCCAGTTCTTGCTGCTGCTGTTGCTGTTGAGTTGAAAGCGGAATCTGCTGCTGCATGAGTAGGTGATGGGATGCGGTGTCAAGCGGATCCGTCTCTTCCTGAGGTCAAATAAATGAGATGCAAAACAGGCAAGAGTGACTTTACTCACTTTGATATAGACATGGCGTGCAAATTCTGGATTACCACCGTGTCTGCGACTGTGACTGTCCAAATGAAGAGGGGAGAGGAGACCAGCCGGCCCGGTACCAAAGCTAGAATACAGATGATCAAAGACTGCTTTTCACCATAACTGTGAATGTTTGCTCAAGAAATTTGAAGAACAACAGAAAACAAAGAAAGCAGCAAACATGAAAAGATTTTTGGAAGATGCAACGTTGAGTTCTTCAAGTGTATTCGCATTTTTTCATTGACAACGCTTTCGATTCTGCAGTTCAGTTCAAAGGCAAAGATGCGCTGCTCACCACAACGTTTACACTGCTTTTGGCAAATGGGTGCTTATAAGCTTGGTAATGAGAATTAAAATCTCTTTCGAGATCATTTAAAATGGCGACGTTAGCAAACGAGCGATTCACAAAATCAACACTGATCCAGCGACATGGAAGGTAATAAAAGCATAAACCAAAATCATAAGCAACTAACCTGTCAAGTCTCGACTTTTCAAGAGCCGGATGTCGTATTTGATCCTGATACTGACTTCCAATGGACATCATGTAAGGTCCACTAAAAGGTACTAATTTTCAGAAGACCACTTTCAAGTTTGGTCTAAACAACCTCTGATCCGACCCTATACTCATGGGAGCCAAAGGCGCAAGTTGAGGGCTGTTAGCGTGATCGTTCAACAACGTTCCTAACGTCTGTGTGCTCTGCTGCGGGCTAACGTTGTCCAGAAAGTTTTCAGGCAAGTCTTCAAAATTGCGGGTAGCATTGTTTATGAATGTACTGGATGGGTCTATTTGTAGATAGTCCGTTGCTTGCCGACGCACTTTCTCCATGCTAGAAATGGGAAATTAATACTATATCTTGGTGTTGTATTTTTTTTTCTTGACGGAAACTGAAGACTAGACTAAAGGCACACAAACCCATTGGATGAGCTTTGAGAATTGCAGGAAGTCACCGCAGGCGGCTCCATGACAGAAACACTTTCAAAACAACTCCAGCAGCAATAAGATAGTCCAGCGGAAACCTGCAAGCAAACCAAGGAGTTGACAAAAACTCCACTGCGTTTTCAACGATACATTTGCGCGATATGAGCACGACGCCAGCCAACAAGCGCGACCTCGAGTTCAAGGTCCTACGGCAACGACGAGCGTTCGCATCCTATCTTCATGAACGCTACAACTGGTAGTACCCAAACACATTTCATGATTTGATCCATACAGACTCGAACATTTCTTCTAGGCTGCCGCAACCAGCACACTGCAGCGCTCTTGTCACAAAATTCGCTTCAGCGACCAAAACCGAACCGCTCCAAAGTCATAAGGAGAAAAATTTTTGCTTCTGCATATCAATGTAACAAACAACACAGACAAACTTGAGGAAGCTGACTTCAGAAAACGATCTCTAAAATAAAAATATTGATCGAGACGAAACCGATCGATAGACGCGTTGTGTATGCATTATTTGCAACGCCTCGCCGTTCCCTGCCCAGGCGAGAGTTTCTCTGCGCTCTAACACCGAACACATGCGAATTCGCCGATACTCCGTGGAAGCCAGGCACTACTGATACGCAGCGAAAACCACGAATCCATGTCAAAGGAAGTGCAACTGAGCATTTGGCATCTTGCCAACCACCTGTACTTGGCATTTTGCGTGAAACTTTGCTTGGAATTAGTGTTATAGAAGATTGGTAAGTAATTTTTTGTGGAGGAGAAATGAAATTACTTCCAACAAATTGTTGTGAACCTTTTTTCGCATCAGTATTGAAGTGTGGCGAAGGTTCGTTGGTTGTCAAGGAAGAGACAACTCTATGACGATGGAATGTGCTACTTTGAAAAGCTTCTTCACAGCTGATTACGACGACAGCGAGATTTTGTTCTTTTGCTACCTCAAAGTCAATCCGGAAAGTCGGTCTTAGGATGGAAATTTGCTTTGAAGCATTATTTGATACGCTGCTCACAGCCTTTGTAGTTGTATGCTTAATAGAGTTCATGGAAACGATAACACAGACTGATTTAATTGAAGCCTCTTCAGAAGGGTGGCAGCACGAATGCAGTTTTCTCACCTTTGGCGCTGTATTTTACACCAAATATCGTGTAAACCTCTCTTCTGGACTTGAACAGGAATTCTTTGTAATCTTTGCTTCTTTTGCAACTTCACCGTCTTAGCATTAGCTCGCGGATTCGGGTTTGTAGTGACTGAAGAAAAGTAGCCCTTAGCCTTTGGGGTGATTTATATGCTCGGAACGAATGATGAATCAGTGGAATTTTGTGATCGAGAAATTCTGGACTGCTGCCTAAATTTTTTGCATTATTTAAGTTAGTTAGCTGAAATTCTTTTGATGGCAGCAAGGTACATGTTTTACGAATCTTCATCTCAAAAATGAAGGTCGCGAAAGCTGATCCGTTGCCTCTGATATCTGGACATTATGACGGAAATCGCATTTTCTTGGTTTTTTCTTGCCTTCTTGTATGAGAGTTTTATGCTCCTATGGGCGCAAAGTCCGCAGCAAAATCCATGGTCACGATTTTATAAATGAACTATATATGATGCAAATAACAAAGGCTATATTACATTATGTGATAGGTGTTGAATGACTTCACTTTATCATGACGATTCAGTGTTCTGATTGCCTCTCAATAGCTCTGCGAACTAATTCCATGAATTTCCATCAGAGGATGACATCATCATGCGAATCCAACTTTTTTCGTACTGCGTGGCATATCTCCCTACGCCCATATTGTTTACTGTATATTGTTCTTTATTACATTGCTGAAGTCTTATGTACTGAGGGCTCAAAAACCATATAGGCAAATAAAGCTTTTCTAGGGTTAGTCAAGCCTTTGATCTCGAATTAGGTTTGTGATTGAAGTTTTTGGGATTTCGCTCACAATGTCTATCCCGACAATGTAGCAGTTGCTGTTTAATTCTGGTCTACAGCCGAAGTTGACATCTGGCAGGACCTCCAAAGCAGTGCAAGATTCGCCGCTTCCAATCTCTAAATTCGGCAATCCTAGTATAATAACGCGCTAAGGCCGTCTGTTTTTTTTGTGTGTGTGTCTGTGTGAAAATGTGTCTGCCACGAAATTCATAGAGGAAGCTGCAACTAAGCTATCGGGCTGCAATTTTGCATAACATACCGTACTAGCGTGTAGGCCCACCATGTACAAGGACGAGCCGTTTCGATAAGCAGGTCCCTCAAAATTTGCGCGTCAAACGGGTCCACGCGCCTTTTGGCACGCAAAACTGGGTCGCTAATTCGACTTTTTGCAAGGTTATGATTTGCTTGACAAGTAACTCTGCGCGCCATGAATTCCAGCCCAAAAAGTGCCCAAAAAGTTTGTCTTTTTGCGAAAACAGCGCCAAAAAGTGATGAACGCGTAGATAGTCGTGGCAAGGTTTTATTTGAAAATTGAAGAGTTTGCACTGAAATGTAGCCCAAGGTGACTATTATCCTTGTGACGATTATCAAACTAAAATAAATTTAGTAGTCCGTTCAAATTCGCATTTGTTTCCTTGCAACAAAGTTTTGTTTCTCCACACCGATCTTACATGGAGATGCTTCATGAATGAACAGTTGTTTACGATTCATTTGTGATTCTCAGCATCGCGTGGTGAGTTTCAAAGCCATTTTCATGCGAGCATGAGAAAGGCATACGGATAGGGAGCCAGTGTGAACCTCGAACCTATGTAAATCAAGCTATACCGCCCGCCAATCACAAAGTACAATGGCGGTACGTTGTAGTCAATGAGTTCTGAAGCAGTACCCAGACAAGTTCATTTTGAATTATAATAGCCCAATCGAGGGAGGACAAGTGGCAGCCAACCTCTGAAGCTATTTTCTCCCTTCGAAATCCAAATTTTGTAGCGGGATTCGGGAACCTTAGCTTTGAGTGGAGACGGTGCCTTTAAACAAATCTTATATTAAGGCTGTGAGATTTTGGTGCTGCCCTATAAGCTCCTGATTCTGTTGTTGCCCCTCTGCTGCATGGTGAATCACAAATGAGAAATGTCCAGAAATAGATGCGGCATAGGCATCGGTCCAACGAGGGTTTTCTCGAGGCGGGTCCAAGAGTGCTCGAAGTATTCACAATTTATTTTTTGAGAAAATTGATTTGTTGGGATTATTTTCGGTGTGCTTGACCAGCGGTATAACATTCTGTATCTCAACAATCCGACCAATATTGATTCTATGAAAATACTTAATGAACTTGATTGCTTTCCTTTTACCTGGTTAGATTTTTTCACCGCTCCCACGATTGTTTTCCTTTTTCTTGATTAATTTTCCTCACCCCTTCCACCCCTTCGATGACATTTTCTGGCAAACGCTTATCGTCTTTACAGTTTACTTCTATACTCTCCTTATCAGCGACTTCCAGGTGTGTATAGATGACTTCGTTGGAAACAAACTTGGCAGATCTGAGCTTGAAAACCTCTCAACTCTTAGCGAACTGCCTGTCATCTGGGGACCTATGGCTGAAAATTGTCGATACTAAGAGAAACAGCATATATTACATGAGGTCAGTGCAAATGACCACCTTATATGTTCGACAAAATGTCTGTCTAGTGAAGATGAGGTGGAAAGAATCAGTCGAGAGGCGAATCCTGGCGAGTCAGTGTTACGAGCATGGGGCAACCGCGGGCAATCGGTGCGGGACTTGTTGGTGCGACTTCAGGCTCTTTCGAAGCATCATGGACCTGCAATGGACCAGGCGCAGCTTATCCTCTCGAGAAAGTTTAGTGAGTGTGGTTCCTGACATTGTCATTAGTCAAATGCGATCGAATCATCTAAAAAGCCAGGTTTTGGGCCCATTCTCCCTGTTATTCAGTATGCATAGGTAGAACGAATTCACGTCTTTGGGTCCTGCGCTCACGTCAGGCGCTAGACTTTGGGTGCGCCCCGTACCCACTCTATACTCCGTTCGTTTGTTGGCCTAATAGAGTTCTCCAAGAATTCTATTAGGCCAACAAACGAACGTGCTTAGTTAGTTTCGCTGTAAAAGTGGAACTTCCATGACAATCAAAATTTTAAGTGAGTGTCCCTGTTCAGCACATATCAGCGCTCGAGAAACTATCCCTCTAATTTAGAGGGAGGCTGTCGTTGAGAATTTTCAAAAATCAAATTCTCGATTCTTTAAATAACTCAGTATTTCTTGGAAACAGACTCAGCTAACTTGCACGCAAAGGAGCACCCGTAAATCTGTTAATATTTACTAATGAGATATTTCATTAGTGGAAGCTAGTTTGGTATTGGTGCCCAGACAAGAACTCTGTAGCAAGTGCTACCCATGTAAAGATTTGAAGACGAAAGGTGTGTGAAAGGCACCAAATGATGTCTAGAACACAATGGAGAAAATTTGCATAAGGTTCAGAGCTAAATGTCTTGCGCAAAGCTTGTGTGAAAAAGAGAAAAATGGGCCGGAATTCAAAAACTCATGTCCCAGCCATCGCTTTGAAATTTCAAAGAAGTTTTCCAATCTGAGGGGAAGAGTGATTAGCGAAAACGATAACTTCTTCTTCTAGCAAGGGACTCACACTCTACACTGATGATTTTCCTTGTTATAGAACCCGTACGATGGGTGAAGTCTGACGAGATTGCCGTCAGTATAGTAGAGGACAATTCCATTGTGCGCTTACAATGCAAAGCAGTGGGATTCCCATGTCCAGTCTATCACTGGTACAGGAATAAAGAGCTTGTGGATGACGTTGCTGGTAACACATTCGATGTGCTCAGGTGGGTGTCGAAAACCGGAGAGTAATGGCTGATACTGTTTTTGAAATTGATACCGGTTCCATTAAGCCTGTGATTTTCTAGCAAAAGAGCAGAATCTGTCACAAACAAGGGTTCATACTCTAGATCTTACTCACTTTGACTGTTTCGTGAGAAGTTTTTTTAATCACTTCAAAGTTTAAAATCAGGAGCGTCATTTTTCTTGTTTTATTGAATCCGCATAGAAACTGAATTCAAGCAAATGGTGTCTCCTCTTGCTTGCCAAAAAGTTAAACGAAATTTATGAGTAATACAGCTTTCATAAGCTGAAATGTGCTATCAGTTGATTTTAGGTGCAAATGCTCATCCGATTTGAACTTCTATTGTGTGGTTACGAATGAAATTGAGGATGGACATGTTTATTCTGAGTTTTATCGAAAGCCTGGAAAGCAGTTTTCGTCTCGCATCGTCTCACAAACCGTCTCATTGGCTCCTTTTGTAGGAGACGAATACAGTGAGTCTAATAAAATGCCTAGCGAATGCCACACAAAGTATTGGCTATCATATGTTTGATAAGTAGTGCTGAGGAGTGCGAAATGCTTGATATAGTTCTTGGTAGCGATTGTCCTTCACTTATCTCGAAGCACTTAGTAGACGTGGAAATCTCAAAAAAAAAAGATTATAAAAAGGATAAAGGATTTGGTGCCCTCTGCGGGCATACGCGGAACGCGCACTACTTCATAGTCGAAGAAACAATTGTATGCGTGCAAGCCTTTTCACATGATTTACGGGGACCAGCGCCGACCAAAGTCAGTACTTTTATCCTCCCAGATTACTCTGGTACCATTTTACCGGCCCTGGAGTAGATGGCTTGATTGGTCCAGGGGCGGGGATCGAACCTGGCTCTGATTTACTCATATGTAGCGGCGGCACCTCATACTACTACGCCACTCGTCCTCCGTCCTAAAAAGGATATAAATTTTTACATTGGATCAGACTCATTCCTCTCTATGATCTACTTTGTTCTGAGTCTAACTTTCGAGTTTTTTAACCGTGAGTAACTCACAAATTTTCCCAAATTTGCCCCGTCTACGCGAACTAGTGCGCAGTGCAGCTAGTAACTCTTTTAAAAAAAACCGTGTCTAACTCAGACGGTTTTCCAAGTTGATAAGACACCAGGTTAGATTATTGCGCTTATGCATATTTTCACGCAGAGTTACAGCAGCGTCGCTTGGGATCACAGCGTTACATTTCTTACAGTGTCAAAGGCAGCTGTTTTGAATGCATTTTCATGCTTATTCTTCTCAGAAGTCCTCATCCATTGAATCAAGTCCATCATAAACATTTACAATGCTTAGAGACTGTTTGTGCGATAATAACAGTAACCTCAAGCGAACAAGCAATCTTGTATTTAGTTTTCATCCTAGTGATTGTCGCTCGGTTATGGCATGTCTTATGTTAGTGGTTTCTGAGCTTGTTGTATTGAGAAAACCGTTCAAACAATTTCGGTGTTGGTCCGAAGTGAATTTCATGCAGAATTACTATTTCTGTTCGATACACTAGCATTATTTAGGATGCGATAGTTGTCGCACGGGTAACTTGGAAAATTTACGAGAAATAATGGCCAGTATGAATACAACAGAAGAAAAAGCTCCAGTTGTCCCAGGTATTTATTCTTATTATTCGTAGCTTCTCAGACAATCGCAATGACTTCCGGGGAAAACTGAAGTTCAAATTTTCTGGGGACACTCCTATCAGAGCTGCCAGGTAAGAGGGGAGTGGGGGGGGGGGGGGGAGGAGGGGGGGGGGGGAACAAGGTAGGGCGAGCCCACCCACACGGCCCAATAGGAGCGTCCGCCCCCAGAAGTTGTTTTCTCCGGAAGTCATTTGCGATGTCTGAGTTTGAGCTCTATGGGCGTTTACTTTGTTGCCGTTCTCATCTAATATAATTTCAGTCGCAGTATACGACGGGGAAGAGCTGCTGGCAACAGATAAAGTAGCGCTAATTATCAGTAATTGTATGTATCATCATTTGCCAAAATTGGTGACACCCCACTGCGATGCAGAAACATTAGCAACAGCTTTGCAGGTTTGAATTGCAGCTCAATGCACAAAATCAATTCGCTTTATTGTTTAGGACCTGAAATATAAAACCGTCACGCTTGCGGATCTAACACTGCTTGAGATGAAGTTTGTTCTGAAAGAATATAAAAAGCTTCTTGGCAATGGAGTTTATGGTATGAAGCAGTTTTTCTAATTCTGCCGCATTGTAATTGGTTTTGAATTTAGCTGTCTTCTATTTTGTTGGCCATGGATTTGAGGTTAATGGTCAATGCTATTTGTTGCCAGTAGAAGCACCTGCAGAGGCTCACAAACCCGAGCATTGTCTCTCTATGGATTTTGTTCTAAGCGAGCTGAGTGACCACAATCCTGCGCTGAATTTGTTGCTGTTAGATGTTTGCAGAAAGTTTATCCCGTGAGTTTGGAAATGTTAATCTCGGGTCATTTTCAGTACCTGATCTGACATCAAAAGAGGTATTTGAAAGAGAATGTGAAAACTAATGATCAGTCTGCGAACTTGATTTAGGTGGATCACCATTCATCTTTCAGTGTTCTTCTAATCGAGCTTTAATACAAACTTTATTTAGGTATGAGCTCATACCAGCTTTTGTGGAGTACGCGGAACCATTTAAAGCAAAGCATCGACCGAATAGGAATACGGTCTATGGATATTCGACAAGCGGAGGTGTTGGCGCTTATGAGGTTAATACTTGGTGGCTGCTTTTCTAGGGTAGATGAATCTCAATTCAGATAAAAGGAGAAGTAAACGGCGTCTTCATGAAATACCTCAAAGCACATTTGAGTCAGCCAGTATCTGTCATACAAATGATTAATGACACACTACGAGGTAAGTCATTTCAATTTCCCGCTTGTTTTTGCAGCAGATGGAAATTGATTTTGCTAAAAAGAATGGTGTCAATAATGCTAGGACTGCGAAAACTTTGGTTGGGCTTGCGTCTTCAATTATGAAATGTGATTTTGCCTTAGTTTGGTTCAAGCTGCTTCCGTAGCGGCTTGATCGGACAGATGAAAAATACCATAAAATACTTTGCCAATAAGCATTGTTGAAGATATCGAAGGAGATGAGAAAGTGTGCGATGTACAAGTGCCTGAGTTGAGGTCAACTTTGACGAGACCTAGATCGTTAACGGACCCTCTGGTTTGGGATGGACACACTGTTTCTTTCGATCATCATACCATACACTGGAGACTTATGCATGGTAAATGCATTTTTATGAAAATCAAGGCTTAGTCCACTCCATGCTTTTTTTTTCAGAGCTTCCAAATCCTGTGCATGTGCGTTTTGATGAGCTAGCTTTGACGGTGACGATATGGTTCGACTTCTGCGGACATTTCACAAACAAGGTAATATAAAGTGATTTATACGGGTTTTCTGAAAAAAAAAAAAAACTAGCACGGTCGTGTAGTTCAAGAGTGCCAAGAAGACGTTCGTTTTCAGGTGTATGTGTTCTCATCCGTAGGTGACCTCTTAGATGATGCGGAGGAGTTGGAGGACAGGGGTCTCTCAGAGAATGCACTCTCTCACATCGCTTATCTTTCATTTCCACCGGTATTCATCAAAAACTTTACATATCTGAGAATTTATCTGACATTCTTGACCAGTTGTGGCAATTTCTTATAGGAATTGGATGCGTCGAAAGAACGTTTTGTTTCGGATGATGATGAAGGTGTCTCACTCTGTCTACTTCTTTCTCATCTTCAGCGCTCAAAAGTAAGCAACTGCTCTTTCATTTCAGAAGAAACATTGTCTTTTTTGTCTTGATCACAATTTGGCAATTCCTGGTTTCTATAGCACATATTTTCATTGATGAGATCAGTGTGATTACAGGGTGAACTGAAATGCAAGGTACTGCTAAGATCCATTGATAGCGAAGAAGTCGTTGCGACGCGGGAAGTCAACATAGGTCATGTTCTGATTACAAGGATTGAGATGCTCAAGTAGTAGTAAGAAGCCCAAGACTATGCTGGTGTGGATAGCGATCTCGAGCTGCCGAGGCTTGCTCTCTTTCCTTCTTGGAGGGATCTTCGTCGCCGATTGCCAGTACAGTGTGCTGAAAAGGCTAAAAGCTGTCTCACAAAGCTTGAAAGAAGTCCACTTCACAAAGCCAGATATCTGGTTTTGTGTGCAAGCTATCTCATTGAATGTCTTTTATCTAGGCTGCCACGGGTATTTCTGTGATTTACGAAGATTCGAGTATTTCGATAAGTGAATGCGAAATAAACGTAAATTTATGTCTCTGAGTTCTGTTGTATCTCTGTTTTTTTTTGGGAAATACTTTTTCGAAGTAGTAATCTCGACACTCTTTGCTATAACATAAATACTTGTGAAGAGGCGAGAAAAACGGAAAAGGGCTTCCTCGTTAGAAAAAAAGCTGACAAGAAGTAGTGCTTGATAGCTCCCACATTTACCCTGCTTTTCATTGAATTTCGCATAGGGTTAAAATTGTTAGGACAGGGAAAGTACTGCACAAAAAAGGAATGTAGGCACTCACCAATGTAGTCACAGTTTTGCAAAATTGATTCATTGATAACAATTATTACGTTTTGTCGGTTTAGTAACTGTGCCTTCAATACCTGCTGACGATAACTACCTTATCTTTCATTTTTTCTAAATTTTGTACCCTTCGAAAATTTCACCATCATATCATTTACCTGTGAGGTGTTTTCTCCATCCCTCATCATTGTCGGGCGTAAAGAATGTACCACACAAGGGACACTTTGCAGAATACGCGTCGGGAGCTGTAATAATTTCAATGGTTCACACTTGAATTTCCTGATTTGACTTCCGTTTCTCTCCCGAGAGTAAAAAACTATGTAAAAAATGACGTTGTGTTTGTGTTGTGGCTCCCTTTCGTACAGTAAAGTCAATGTTTCGGAGTATGTCAAAATTTGAGTCTAGCTCGTGTCATCAGTGCCAAGTACTTATCTTATGTGAAAGTGGCAACGGTCATAGAATTTTGAGAAAGAGTCAGTCACTTTGCTAGAGCTTTGTGAGTCCCCAGAAATTTATCTTGATGATGCACCGTCGTCTACAAAAACGCTTTTCTTCCGAGCAGTCGATTTTTTAAATTAGCGTGGCCTCACGAGTTTGACGGATGTTCGAGTGCATTTTTAGCTAGCCGGTCTTATGAAAGATTCTACAAGCTAGCTATAGTCGAGCGAAAAAAACGTCGTCGAATTTCGTCGAAGTATCTCCTACATTCTGCTTCTTGTTTTTGAGCTTCATTAGCTTAGAAGAGTTTGTAAGCAACATACGGATGCAGTCCTTCCTGCCCACATGGCGATAGTACGCTTCTCTTTCAATCAGCTCTCGACATCGAGGACACTCCCTAAAGCTGTTTCGAGCTCTGCATTCAGTCTTCTTGTGCGTATCCAGAGACGACGTTTCGGTTGCCTAAACAGAAAATCGCTTGCATACGAATCAAAAAAGGTACTGACCTGACCACATCCATCACATATCGTGAACAGAGGACAATCACTGCGGTAGTGCCTTTCTAGCGCTGCCGCGTCACCGGCGTCGATGAGTGCGTCACAAAATTGGCAAATGCTTGAATCAAGTTTTTTTGGCATTGTTATATAAGTTCTTTACAATCGCTCACCTCTGCACACTCCCATTCCTTTTCGGCAGATCACGGGAAATGCGTACAGTCTTTGTGCCAGGCCTCTTTTTGAGAGACGAAGTGCTACTTGCTGATTGTTTCCTGTGGCCGTATTCATCAACGAACCCCGAGGGTTAAACTAACCCTGGAGGGTTAGTTTAACCCTGGAAAGCGTTTAACCCGTATTCATGAAACACAGGGTAGGCTTAACCCTGAGGGTTAAATCTAACCTTGAGGGTTAATTTTACCCCGAAAGCGATTAACCCGTATTCATCAACGAACCGTGAGGGTTAAACTAACCCTGGAGGGTTACACTTACGTGATTCATCAGGGTTAATTTAACCCTAGCTCAGAGCAAGGTTAACTCTACCCTGACACTTCATACAAACGTTTACTCGCATCTAACAGTTTATGGAAAACGATCAATGAGTATTGTGGCATTTAGCATTGGTTGTTGTTATAGTATTTAGTTTCGACTTCGTTTTATGTTCATATACGAAGTATATGAAACACTGACTTTGCGAGAAAAAGAATTCTAGCTTTGGTGACAAATGAATGCGACGAGGAAAAAGGCATTGCACTCTGACAAGTGCCAAAACAGAAGAACCCCTTTATAATAACACGCATTGACCCCTAAAGGAGTAGCACAACCTGGTATAAAACGAACTGCGCAAAAGTAGAACTTACACTGCACACATGAAACTAAACTCACGCTGTAAGATTCGATGCTGCACAAGTATGCTAGAGATGTATTATAAAAACTAGTGTTAGAAGCTTATTCTTTGACTATACTACTATCAGTGAAAGAATAGAAGTATAAAGTGAATTTAGCCTGTACTTAGGCATTCTGCGATGTGAGTTTGCACAGCGCACGCGTAACTGACGCCTTAACCCTCCAGGGTTAGTTTAACCCTCAGGGTTGATGAATACAGCCACAGGTTTGTTGATCGATACGGGTAGATCGCGTTCCGTGGTAAACCCTAGCCTATAGTTGATGAATACGGCCAATGAACCCTGAGGGTTAAACTAACCCTGGAGGTTTAGCTTAACCCTCAGGGTTCGTTGATTAATACGGCCACTGGAGTGGGCTCATGAATGGGGGTGAATAAACAGTATCGGGCTGTCGTGGTAACTACAGGGTCTGTTTCTAGCCAATCACATCCATACAAGGCTCATTTTAGCGTGTTAGGACCATGCCTCCCCCCCCCCCCTCAAAAAAAACCGAGTTTATGGGGGAAAGATGCCGTCGCCTATTTTTCATTTGAAATGAGCAAATGGATGTGATTGGCCAGAAACAGAGCCTGTAGCTACCAGGACAGCCCGATACTGTTTATTCGCCCCCATTCATGAGCCCAGGAAATGATTCTGTTGATACTTTTGATTTGCACATTATGCGCGCAAAAGCTCTTAAGTGGTATTTGAAAACAAAATGTGCAGTTCGTTATTAGGTCTGACACATAGTCACCATAGGAAAGACTGAGTCAAATTACTGCGTTACAGACAGTAGTTTGATGTTATCATAGGGCTGTCGATGATATTACCCGAGAGTGCGAAGTCGTTCTCGACGTTCCATTCTTTTTTTTGGAAAATAAACCGTTGAAAAATTAGAGGATATGCTTGCCTAGCCTGTTTCGCGTCTAGATCTGCAATCTCATCCAGAAGCGCCTTCAGCGGCGGATATCTGCTCTTGTGATTCTCTTCAATGAGGATTTTACGCACAACTTCTCTTCTACCATTCGAATAAGTTTCCAGGGTGACAATCCTACCAACGCTTCGAATCTTAAATATAGTCGTCAGATTAAAAGGTAATCATAAAGAAGATTTTTAGATTACGATTAATTTCACTCGTATAATATCACTGCAGAAGGTTTAGAGTAGAAAGGCTAAAATAACTCCAAGCAAACCTCCGGATCTGCATGCCTCAAGCACTTCACTCCGAAAGCAGTAACAGCCTCATCCGTTAGCCCACTGAAAAGTGATCTCTTGCTGTTCCAGTTTCGATTGTTGGAAAAAGAAAACATACACCGCTTCTCCTAGAAAAATGAACTGGACAGGTCCCCTCTCCCCCAACTTCTATCAAGATTCTTATCGAAAAAAATGAAATTTGCAATGTCATCTCGCATATTTTCCCATGCTGACAAAGACAACTTATCCATTCGTTGCATAAACTTTACTGCTTCCCCTATTCATCGGGTAACTTACCATAGATAGAAATCAGTGGCCTACCCAGGATTGCCGTTCGATGAGGGGGAGAGGGAAAAAAAAATTCTCTGGATCACTCCGAGAAAATTCTTGGTATGCTCCCAGGAATTTTTGCGGGTTCATAACCCTGAAATTTTCAAGAGAGGGGGCGTGGCTTCCGTCCCCTTTTTTGAAATTTTTTTATAAGGCTAAATTGAATTTTTAAAATTTTTTAAAAAATATATTAATTATTTACAGATATGAGCAAGTCGCTTGCACATTTTTATAACCCACGTAAGTAAATTTCAAAAATTTCGCCACCCATTTTAGGGGAGGAGGGCGTTCTCTCGATACGCTACTGAAAGAAATATAGCTAAAAAGCATGACGGTAGAAAGTGTCATTTAGGCATCAGGAGGAACGCTAATGGATAGAAAGTACCTCTAGAGGTTTTGCGCATGGTAAGTGCGGAAGAGTGATAACTTTCAGCAAAATACCCTTTTATGGAGATTTGTGTACTACAGTAACTGTGGCTTTATCAAAACTGGACCCTATTGAACGCATTCTAAAAAATTTTCCGGAAATTCAAATAAGTCTACAGCCCACGTTGTTGCTACTTGAGTATTGTATGCGATTAGGCAGGGAAGGATTTTTACGCAACACTTCTTTTTCATGTCACTCTGATCGCGTGAAAGCTAACTCATCCTTAATAACCAACTAGCTGGCATACCCGGCTCCGCCGTATGTTCCGAATAGAAAATTCCATTTCTTAACCGATCCGAACCAAACTTGGCACACATACATTTCGGGCCCCGGCGGGTGTCACAGTCCACTTTTCGTTATCGATTGATGTCGATTTTATCGATTTTTTGCAAAATTTGAGCTAGGGGGCTGGAATTTGGCAGGGGGTGTAATCGAGCATGCTGATCACCCCCAAGCGGTGATCAGCATGCTCGATTACCCCCCTATGCCAAATCCCAGCCCCGTAGCTCAAACTTTGCAAAAAAATCGATAAAATCGATAAAAGTAATGCACGATTTATAAACTAATATTGTATTCGGAATCCCCATGCTCACTTACCCCCCTGTGCCAACTCCCAGCCCCGTAGCTCAAATTTTGCAAAAATCGATAAAATCGATATCGATCGATACGAAAAGTAGCCTATGACACCCGCCGGGGCCCGAAGTGTATGTGTGCCAAGTTTGGTCCGGATCGGTTCAGAAATGGAATTTTCTATTCGGAACATACGTACAGACAGACAGACAGACATACAGACAGACAGACAGACATACATACAAACAGACATTCAGCTTTATATACAAGATTTCAAAGCACTTACACAGCAGCATTCGGTGATCCTAATGATTCCACAGCATTCTGAATTATTGCAGCTTGCCCTTTTTGACCTCCGGGTGGTCCCATTTTCAAGAAACGATTGAGATAAGCTTTTGCAATCTAAAATAATATTATAGAATGAACATAATAGATGTAGTTCGCTGTAGACAAGCAAACACAAAAGTCTTCTAAAGAATAAATGATGTACAAGCAATATGCAGTTTTGTGCAAGCCGTGTGAAGCTGTTTCATTTTCTTACGAGGTTTTTCACGAAGCGCGCGAAGGGGTTTGCAGAAAAATCTTTTTATTTGCTGAGACCCATACTTCTTCTTTACATATCAGCTATCAAAATTTCTTTTTATCAATTACAAGGGGCGTTTATATCCCATAGCATCTTCCTAATACTCACTTCTTTAATTTAATGGTACTACATTTTGTATACAAGTGTCTCTATTGCTATTTCTATTTCAATTACTAAGTTTTTTCTCATGCTATGGTGGATGCACAGATAAGAAATGAGTTGATTGAGTACGTACAAGGTTTCGCTTTCAGCCAACAACAATAGAAATTGTCATTACGATTTCGAATTTGTGTAGTCGAAAATACCAGTTCTCCATACATTTACGCACGTGGGAATATCGGGAAGCACCTTCGCTGCGCCTTTCTTCATCAGAAAAATAGTAAATTCAAATGAAGATTTTCTCGTTCTTATCGGATTGCTATTTCCAGAGGTACCACTATTGGACAAAATTTGCCTGTAATTTTACAAGCGTCAAAAGAGGCCGACATTTTTTTGGCCTTTATTCTAGAACCGAAGCTTATAAGCGTGTAAAATCATTTAAGACCCACACACAATGCTCTTCAAGATAACTAGATACAGTCGCTTCATTTCATATGATCATGTTTGTCATTGCACACACAGTTCACCTTTGGCGTCCCCATCCTGGATTCGTGGGAGAAACAAACCTTCAGGTAAGTGTTTCCAAGGTGTTCTTTGCATTTTCTTTCCTTTTTAGTTACTAGTCACCTCAAATTGATGTAATCGATAATAATCGGTAAGTCTCTTGCGTTTTTGCGATTGCAAATCCAGGATGAGGACGCCAAAGTGGACTGTGTGTGCAATGGCACACATGATCATATGAAATGAAGCGACTGTAATTCTTCATATCTATAGTCACAAAGTGTAATTTCAAAATTCTGCTAGCGCGTCTCACACTACCACACTTCATGTGAGTATCATTGTATTGATGCAGTTAAAGCTACCTTGTTGTCCTGTTCCATGATATCATTCATAGTTGAGAGAGTTATGCCAGCAGAGCGACGGTCCTGTGATTTGGAGCCATTAGATAAGTGTGGGTGGAGTGACTAATGGATCTTCACCGTATCACTTGCTCTTATAGCAATGATATTTGAAGTTGATTTTGCTAGGTTAGGCGCCATTTTGTACAAGGAGTGTTGTGGGAGGAATTGTGTGCAGAGGAAGTTAAGCAATTCGAGAGCTTTTGTGTAGACCTAAAAAAACTTATATTAGTCGAAGCGAAACACTTCTTGGTGACAATACATTATAAAGCGGATCCTTCAGGTGCCTCTGCAAAATCGAAATTGTGCACTCTAGGTAGTCCGCTGCTTGAGCTTTGGAGGGGATATCATTTTGCAAGGCAACTTGAACGCTTTCAAGACCATCCTTACGTTGTTCCCATTTCTTGGAGTATAGCTTCTTCATCTGGAAGTTAACCTTAGCTCACGTCAATTCGGTATTCTATGTCAGGCTTACTGTTTCATCTGAGAAAAGATCAGCTCCCCTTTCATACGCGGGTTTTTCCGCCACTGGAATTGTTGGCGAAAGTGCGTTGACCATTACTTCACGTCTTTCGTCATTTGGCGACATTGCTGGGCTTCTAATAGTCGAAATAAAGTATTACTAGACAGGTTTGAATTAAACATACTTCTTGTCCTTTAGCGCTGGTACAACGGTATTCTCTTTCTCTAAGAATTTGTTGCTGTGCCAGCGATCTCCATTTGGTGTAGTTGCACCATTAACTTTAGTAGAAGTCTCGCTTCGTGTCGATTTTGTGGATGCAGAAGATATATTGGATGAAGATGATGCAGGTCTTTTTGGCAATGCTAGCGAACTACCTCCATCAATGCTTGAAGCTATAATGATCGCTACTGTATAGTAATTTAAAATGGGGAAGGATCTTTCGAAGAAATTATGAAGGTTTTTTCGTGACTCGTAACAAGACTGAAACGACCTATCACCTAACAAGAGGGAAAGACGTTCGACAGACATGACGCACATGATAATTCCAAGTTGTGGTCTTGAAAGTTTGAATTTTTTTTTGAGAAATTTTTAATTTGAAATAATATGTGTTTTTGAACAGAGTAAACTTTCATACTGGCTCCATATCACTACGGTGCTCCTGAAAGCCCATAGATCAGGAAGAGTAGAAAAAAAAAAGAGTGAATAAGCCTTTGAAAATAAAGAAGAAGTTGAGGTACCGTTAGGAAACTGCTTTGTATCTGCTGTATTCGCGTCCGAGGCGAAAACGGCGCCAATGGTAAATCTTTATCCCTTTCCCTCATATGCCAAATACGAGACTTTGTCGAGTTTTTTAAAAGAGACAAAGAATTTTGACAAAATTTATTTAACTTGATAAAAAATCTGAAATAGCTATTTATTTTGCTGAAGGTTCAGTTCTGTAGCTGCTCATACTCAAGTAATTTTCGAAAACACTTTATGCACAATGAAAAAAGAACAAAACTTACCAGAATGGGATCTCGATCTACTTGGTGAGCTTGGTTTGGTCTTAGTTGTGAGCGACCCCTTGCTTGAAAGACTCTTCGCTGGAGATGGAGCACGCAGTTTTAAAGCAGCTAGATCGTCAGTCGGAGATAAATCTGTAACTTCATTTTTGTGTAAAGGAGCAGATCAGCAAACAGCACAAGCACCAATCGGAGTGAATAGCTTCGGCGAAGAAAGTTTGAAACTGGAATTGTTCTTTTCGAAAAGATTTTTTGGGCGATGTATGTCGATGTCAACGCTTTTGTTGTCAATGCTCTGAAAAGCGAAGTAGTAGAAGCGCGTAGTCTTCATAATCTGGAAATAAAACGGGGCAATAGAGAATTTACGTCTACGGTGAAGTCAGGATCCAGCGCCGCCAATACATTCCCGCGCAAGACCTTCATCTCTTCTTGAAGGTCGAGAGCTCGGTGAAAGTCTTCATCGCTTATTGCGCTCTGCTGGTCTCGTTCAAGTTGTTCCATTTCGTTCCGAGCTTTCCTCAGCATCTGTGACTTTTGCTGGGCTGATGTAGCCAGTCCAAAATTTGCATTCTGAAAATGATATTCTGTTGGCAATGTATGCTGTTCAGTCGTAATTTCGCTGTAGATAGCTTGCGGGGAGTTCTTGCTTGCTGAAATTGAGTGTATGTAAATGTGGTCAGTTTTACAGCTAAATGTGTCAACGTCCACATCTCGCAATGGTCATAACAGTGACTTCGTGATGGTCGAAGAAAGGTACATTGGTTCACCTGTGCACTTCTCAGCTTATTCTTCTCAACTCTCTGCATGAGCTCATCAATTTCAGCGGTAAAACGACCATCTTCCGACGGAGTGTAATTATTTTCCATTAAAGATAACACTTCCGGATTCTTGACGTCCATCTCGTAACGACCATAGATTTGCACCTCCGCTAGACCGACCTTAAACATGTCTTCGCAACAAATTTTGAAGCAACAAATTTATATCGGTTCTAAGCTCTTGACAATATTTTATTGGAGCGTCACTCATATATTTTAAGTATTATAGGTTTACTTAAAAGTCGGTAGAAAAAGACCATCACGCCCATAAACGGCTTTCATTTCACGCCTTCGAGTTTTGTTTAATTGTGTCGTACTCAGAGGCGATTAATAGAAGTGTATGGAACGCGCAATAGCACTAGGATCAAATAAAAAGTCTCTAAATTTATTTGTTAACTAGTCCACTGTACCTCTCTAAGTAAGTACAGCCATGAATCAAATGGGGTGCTTTGCCTCAAACTATTTTGTCCCGAAGTTACGTATTTTCGCATTTTGGATCAAGCGTTTTTTGTAATGAGGATCGAAGAAAGAACTTGGTAAGCTTTCGCTGTAGTTTTCGTCCTCTTTCAAATGTTTGTGCTTATATTGCAATGCAGGCGAGCTCTTAGAGAATCATTGAAGTCTCCTACTGAGTTTTCTTGAATTTTTTTATACCTGCCTTTCAGAGAAGTGCAAGAGAGTAGAGCAGAATACAAAAGTATTGATATTGCAAAAAATGAATAGTGGGTAACTGTACTTAACTTTCTAAGCTTTCTAATTTTGAGCCATTCAACGGTAGACTCCTGTTAGACTCTGATTATTTGATAATAAACTTTATTTGCTTCTAAAAATGGTTTTTGAGGTTACGAATGTCATCATGGTCTGCCTTGGTGCCAAAAAAGCAAGATTTCCTGAGAAATCAAAATCGAAAAGTGCCTAGCCAGAAATCTCGACAGGAGTGACAGACATTGTTCGGTTATCTTTATCTGTGCGCCATTCAATCCTTGCCACAATATAGCAGAGACTTTAGAAAATAGTTGAATTTAGGCATTGTAACGGTAGCCAGAATTGCGGGACTTTCGTCCGAAATATTTGAGGCTTCTAACTTCAAGACATCTCAAGGCACAAAAAGAAGAGGAAAAGTTGCGTCGTGTGCCACCAATATCTTCTCTTGATCTTGACCCTACGGATGTAGTGCAGTTAAAAATGCGAGTTTGGGACAAACTAATATGTACACGCTTGCATCTTCTGCAAAAATTGCAGATCAGCTTATATTCCGGTTGACGAAAGGGTTTGTAAAACCGTATTTTTGAATGGGTATTTGCTCATTTCATCAATGAGATAAACCCTCTTGGGCGCATTGGTCTAGACGAACTAAGTTGGAGAGTGCAACTTACCTGCCCTGCGTCGTTTTCTCCGTCGTGTATGGAAAGAATAATAGACGTACAAACAACATCCACGTAGATTGTCTTCAGCTCATACTGTCCGGTAAAACCACCATTGAAACGCACGGTGCTGTAAGGACAGACTAAAATCACTCCTCTGCTACGCTTCTTATCTCTGTGTTTTCCAAATTCAAGTTTTCTCACAAAAACAGAGATGGAATGGCTGAGTTTAGTTTCGATTATGATGGTGAAAAACCGCGGGATTAGCTATTGCGCCATTCGCAGATCACGAATTCTCGTAGGAGAACATATTTGGGCTGTACATGCAAACTGACACCCAGCTGTGAGGCAATTTCTGAGCATATGAATACACGTTAGTAGTTGATGGCGTATGGTGGACTTAGACTGTCCATCATTTAAGTGATGTAAATTGGCTGAACTAACAGCCACATTTCAACTTGCAATAACTCTCCCGCTTATATCAAGCTCAATCATACACTTAAAGGCAGCGTCCACAAAAAATCGACCTCAGCTTATTACTTATCCTACTAGCAGGCCCTGAAAGTAGACTAACAGCGTTGGTCCGATCCTCTAATGTTGCCCATAAAAGGAGATGAAGACCTAGATCCCCTTTGCGCTCTTCCCCTTTTCTGCGCTCCGCCCATCCAAGGCTTGCTCCGTAACGTGTTCTGACATGATAAGCAACATCGAGAAGCATAGTTTGTGATGTGGCCCTGTTGCACACGACGAGGTTTCCTGTTGAATACGACGTGACTAGCGCCGGGGCACTCGTCCTCGTCTGAATAGGCTTCAGAAAGGGGCAATTTTGAAGCTTTCTGGTAATTTGAACCTCATATCCGAAATCAGCGCCATGGAAAGGCCCGGTAACAATAAAAACATGAAGGACGAAATTTTGCGCGGACGGTGCCTTTAACAACACATGGGTGCTGACTGCCTCAATAGCTGCTTCTTTTCTCCTTGTAATATTATATTAAGTTGTATAATAAGCTGTGTCACATTTGTTTTTCTTTTTATATTTTGTGCGGCGACTTATAAAGTGTCTATGTACCAGAAAGCTATCAGTCTCCTTTACTTAATTTCTTACCCCGTTTATCCAGTATGAGTTGATCCAAAAAACTTTTTGGCTTCAAAAGCAAAAATCCAAAGAGGCAACAACTATTCTCGACATCTTTCTCCTTTCATTTTTTCCGTGTAGGAGACTATTTGTCGCCGATAGGCTCCAACCCGCGAGACACCTGATACAAATCCGTACTGTCCGCATTGTGCATGATCGCGTAGTCTGGTGCAGATGGTCCGCTTGGGACCAACCCTTTCGGCGAAATATGGTCCTCCGCCCATCATTTTTTCCCATTGAAATTTATTTCAAAAAAATGAGATAACAAAATAGACAACGGACTAATCCTTTATACAAGTACTATCACCGCTTATGCCTGCTCCCTTTCATTCACCGACTGTTTGTGCAAATTATTTGACAACGGAGCAAGACGTATTCGCCCTTGGACTTAATTTTTTTTAAAGAAGTAACCCATAGATTTGGTAATTCTGTGTGCAGAAACAGCAGTTTGTCTGAGCTATGGCAGTCTTCTCATTTCGTTCGCAATTTTTTCCGGCTGTTTTCTGATTATGCCGACCTAACTGAAGCCTACCGTGATACAGTTGTCGAAAGTTGATTTTTTGCATGCTTGAATTTTCAAATTCAGTATCAGAAATTTCTCTGTATAGTCTCAAACTGAAAAAAAAAACGACTAGGGACTGCATTAAAGGAGACCAAGAGCATTAAAACACTTGTGCACACTTCATCAATCACAACAAATTTTTTAAGAAAAACTAGTTCAAAAACGGGACAGAACTTCTTAGAAAATCAAGCAAGAAGACTAACAGTTCTTTGCATCTACACTTGCCTGAACAACGAGAGCAAAAGTAGAACACAAAGCAGCAAAACTGTTACGACACCGAATTAGGACGAATTGATCATTTGCTTTCGTATTGCTTGCTGTGCCGATTACATAAGCCAATTTGCGAATTGGGTCAAAATAGAGCAAATCCCACCCTGAATGCAATCACTCACCCTATAACTTTCTCGACACCGTTGGGTTCATTTTCTGTCGTCGATATAACCACTTCCTGCGCTATAAATTTACTTTTATTGGGTTGTTCCGAAAGTTCTTTTGCTTCTTTCGATCTATCATAAAAACAGATGGATTAAAAGTAGGTAGACGTCATATTATTCGACGCAGCATGTATTCCTCTTTTCAGCCTCTTGTGGTCGCTAAGTAATGCCAGATACAAAAAGCCTATGTTTATTTTGGCCCAATAATATCAATATCTTCGAATTTCCATTTTATAACATGTAGCTTTGTAAGATGTTTGGTAGCAGTCAAGTAGAGCGAACAAAGTGCAATGTAATATTTTCTTCTCTAACTGGTTCTTAATATAACTTCCCCGAAAGTTTTTACTTTCGGATGTGAAAAACACAGACGCATAGAACCAATAAATATTGGGAGTTTGGAACTTCTAAAAATGGATTATGATTCAACACTTTTTTTTTGGAAAGCTAAGCCTTCACGGATTAAGATGTCGATTCTGTGTCCAGCTGGAGAGTTATAAACAAGAATTACGGTGGTCTAATCCACAAAGACTTGTTTGATTAATGAATGACACCCGAGTAGCTCGCATATTGATGTTCAATGAGGTTTGAATTGATCAAACATGGAATTCGATAGCATCACTAAAATAATATGGAAAATCTTGAACAAGATCCGGATGCCAAATGCACGCTGCACTCTGTCTTTCTAGCCACCTGTTATCAAATTCTGAAGTGTAAAGCATAAATTCTGGAAGAAAAGGAAAAGAGTATGGTAGGAAACATGACTTCTAAACTAAGACGACTAATTTCGTGAGCAATTTAAAAGCACGATGCTGACAAAAGAAAGAAAGCTGCATCGAATGGTGTTCTATATCTTTACTATCTTCATCCCAAGTGTTTTATGATAGGTCGAAAAAAGCCATAGGACTTGGCCGACCTATTACATCCAACAATGTGTTCATCGATGATAGGACAGAGGAAAAACTTACGGACGAGTTTGTTGTGAGCAGTGATTTTGATCTGCTCTATTGCGCTTTTTCTTTTCAGGATCAGCCGAAGTTTCAGAGGAAGTCTCTCGCCGCTGCAAGGATTAGAAAACGCTCTTCAGACTCTTTGGTAAGTAGTGAAGGTAGCGTACCTAGGCGAGATCCATATCTTTTTCTTGAGGATTTCAGGGTCCAGAATCTGCCCGTTGTATTGTGTCGTGAAGTCGAGGGCCGTGGCCATGCTGCATAGTATGCGAAGTGAGTTCGTCGTTCTTCTCGAGCCACCTAGCAACCCCGAGCTACGTGGCACTCATGAATCACACGGGTCTGCCCTAATGTGAGTCGACTCCTTTCACGTATACACCAATACGAACAATAGTCAAGCCCCTATACTGCTCAATAACAAGAAACGAGGCATAATCTTGGCAGAGTAGCAGAGTTTCGACGGTTACTGCCATCGAATTTTTGAGCAGTAGTTCCGACAAATAGCGTCCAGTTTTTGAACAGTGCAGTTGATGGAGTCCATTAGTGCAACGTTTCCCTAAATACATTTTGTATTCAAGTAAGCAATATGAAACTCCTCATATAACTTGAGTGCACCCAAATTTGCCAGTTCAACGAGGCTCAGCTCAAGAGCTGAACCTATCGAATACATTACCTTCAAGTTGATACTAAGTTCGCACATAAGCTGCAGCTTTTCATATGACTTATCAGTTTGAATGTGGCACTATGGTTTTAGAAAAATGTGGTATAAGCTACAATTGCGGCCATTTGCCGAACCTAACCATCGCATGTATGGGTTACCGTAGTTTACGATATATGAGAGGAAACTTTTGGGCTTCAGATGTTGCTAAGACTTGGTCTAGAGGGTTTACCCGACATGCTAATTACATGAATGATAACCATAGGCATAAAAAGGCCCTTTCATAAGGTTAGGGTATGTTTTGTTCATTTTAAACGACAAATGAATATGATGCTCGTGTCGAATTATCCCCACTGGGCTTACGATTAATATTCCCAAGATTTCGCAGCTAGTCATTGACAGATGCCCCTCCGAATATGACACATTTCACTTGTTCAACTTCATATGTGGGCCAGATCTTAAATCGTTTTCAGACTCCAAATCTTTTCTCTGAGTCTGATAAGTCAAACTTTAGCAACATGTTGCCAATAGTTCGTTTTGATGTGTTTGATTCATGCTGAGCACAGCTTTATTTTTGCTCTGTAGAACCTAGGTTTTCAACAGTTTGAATGCTTTTTTCTAGCGTTATCAGAAATCAAACGGTCTACGCAATCTCTAGCTTCTGTGGCTTACATCACAATCTAGATAACAGCAGATGAGAGCGCTACATTCAGAAACAAAAAAGTTATGGGAGAAGCTGCAAAACTTATGTGTCACCTAATATATCCTAATGCAAGTTTCGATGCTATTCTAATGAGTTGAATTTGAGGTAAGCAACAAGTGGCAGGACTTTCTCTATCGAGTCGTACATCCAATGGGTTATTGTAGTTTCTAATAATCCCTATTTTGGGAACTCACAGAAGTCTGAAGCAGCTTGGTACAAGCCATTAACATCGTGTTTTACGAGGGCATTAAGTCAGAAAAGAGACTGAGCTTTTTCGAATATATGACTCAAGGCTTTAGACTTAGATGCATGGAAGCCTTTTATCCCAGAACACATTCTATGGTCCTATTTCGGGCTATGTGTACAAGAAAGAGCTGGTGGATGACACAGTGGCTAGAACTTCAGAAAGCTGGGTTCCTACACTGTAACCTCTGCAAAATTTTTTTAGCAGCTGTAAGCTTCTGAAGTGATTGTGCATTGCCTTCTTCACGTGCCCTTTGTCTCAGTAATATAATTGGTGAGGTGAATTTAAGGGCTGCGTAAGTGTGGATCTGTTTGCTCTCAACCTCACAATTCCTTTTATCCTCGCTTACGAGGGAAGGATACTGGGTGACCGTGGCCATTTGCAATGAGATGTATAGCCCTAAGTGCGTCTTGGAACGCTGATTTTGAATCTATGTTCAGTATCTGCTGTGCGACTCCGTGAACAAAGTTATGGACTTTTTTCCATACTAAATTTGCGAAATTTAGGCAGTCAAAATCGTCAGTATCTAGGCTTTCTAGACTCTGATGTATCGGTGACAGTTTTCCTGAGCTTAACATGATGCTTTACTTTATCTGTACGTTCCTTTGTAGTGCGTAAGCGAATATCTTAACGATACTGATGAATCCTGCATCAAAAACAGTGCAAATTTTAGTGACAAGAAATGTTCATAACTTCTTTTGGAAGAGCGCACAGCAGATAATGAGAACAGATTTGAAATCAGCGCTTCAAGATGCATCAACGGTATACGTCTCATTTCAAAAGGCCGCGGTCACCAAGTATCCTTTCCTTGTTAGAGGTAGTGTCCGGGCAAAAAGTCGATTTTGGTAGTTTGTACTTAACCGGGCCTATTCGCTTAGCTGAATTCGAAAATCCACACTGGAGAGCGCGAAAACGGCGAAAAAGGGCTCTAACGCAGGAGGGAAATCAGCAGTGTGCGGGGTCTTCCCCACTGTGAAATCACGGTTTCAGCTCTTGGAGCTATCTTCTCGGTTCCGATTTGAAGTCACGCATTCGCGCTTGGCTTGTGGAAATGTCAGGGAGGTTAGCGATTTGAGAAAGTTGAATGCTTTTTAGTGAATCTAGGCATAACCTCTGATAACGACGACATTGTCGAAACGTAAGGTCAATAAAGTCTCCATCAGAGAATCTGATGGCACGAACTACTGACACAGTTACTGGAGATTTTTTTTGAAACAACTTTTTAAGACTTAAACAAGTAGCTCAATTTGTTCCTTTAGCAAAATATGAAGATAAAATGTTGAAAAATTTTAGACGAAACGCTAATAAAAACGAGACCAAAAAATTTTCATGGAATCTGTAACCCGCCATAACGTTCGGACGGTGGGACAAGACATATGAACATGTTCTGTTTCTTCCCCATCTCTTATCGAAGAGCTAGGCCCGAAAGAGAACCGAAAATAGAGCCTTCTCGTAAATTTTATTCTAGAAGTTAACAGACGAGCTTGACGAGATTCGAGCTTATTTGACGAAACTTTCTTATCGCGCCAACTTCATAGCCTGTCTCAAAGTCCCAAGAATCTTTCTCTTGACTCTAGGCCTTTGCATCTGAGATGAAAACAGATGTGTACAGAACCCTTGAAGAGAATTCTGCCTTCTAAGAAGGAGCAATCACTGACATCCAAAGATGAAACAATATCATAATAGTGTTTGCAGGTCAGTTTTGAGCACCCCAACACTTTTTTTCAAGAAAAGTGTGGCTTGTCATAAACATTCCTATTCAACTAGTATCTCTAGTGTAGTCGCCTTAATCCGAACTTAAAAACGTTTGACGATCTTGCTAAAAAAGCAGTGGATTTGGCAAATTAGCGACGTGATCTTCTTCCATTTTATCAAATGTATGCTTCGCCCCTAGAAATTCTAATCCTCAGGCCTTTACAAATGTAACGTGGCTCAAAATATTTTAGAAGGTTTTATCTGAGTAAATATAACTCGCATTAATAAAGAAACCTGGATTGTATCAACGGGCAACATATTAGGAAAAGAAAACCAAGCACGTCGCTCAGAAAATATAAGATACATATAACAAAACAGAAAGCAACTCGTTTTCGGAGGGTAGATACCGCGAGACGTCTCGACCAAGGTAGCCTTCGTCCTTTGTCGTAGACTTCTTATTAATCATACATCCCCAATTATGTATACACGACTAGCGAGCTAGTGATGGGCAGTGTTAAGAAAATATATAAGAGAGAGTTATACCACGAAGTTAGACATGGCTAGTGCTGGCAACAGGAGGCAAAATGAGCGAATAAGGCACGATATGAGGTGATGAATTGGAGAAAGGCTGGCTATGATGAGCAGCTGACGCATTCGAGAGTCACCGGCAGAACGCCTTCGGTCACTACCGCCACCTCTCGAGCGCATTGTGAATCCATTGGCTCGGAAGTCATCATACACTGAAAAAGACACAAAGATTAGGTATCAGCATAATTGGTCGAATTCACAACAAATTACCGATTTCTGTTGACTACTGTACTGGGCAATGGTGCATCGTCTGGCGTAGCACGCTCGGGCACACTCGCCAATGGAGGACACGCTCTCGGCATGGTTGAACTCCGGCAGAACCCGATCCGGCGTCACGCTTCGGATGTTGTATGTACACGCTAAAACGCCCTCATTTTGCCCACTTTGAAAGTTAAGAGCAAGGAATTTGCTTGTAACGTACGGGTGCATTTGATGCAAGAAATAACGAAGGGGTTGAGGGCTGCGTGTTGTGGTACGTAGTCAGCATTGTTTCCACAAACATTCGTGTCAGATGTCAGTAAACAAACACCATGTGAAATATTTCCGGTAGGACTAGCGATGAACCCGGCTGTCGAACAGCCTCCCTAAAAATCACAGAAATTGGCTTGACAATCCCCTTTCGCTTTGCTTATGAAGTCAACCGTACCGCTTCGAAGCATTTCTTGGCGCAGTCCGCGGGTGTACGGGCGGGAACATCGTTTGTGATATTCAGACGAGGAAGGCTACCTACTGGCAGTGTTTGGAACTCCAAGCGTCCATCGCATTTTGAGCTCAATCCTGCAAAGTTATTTTTTCGTAGCTGGCAATAAAAGAGCTGCTGCTGCCATATTCTAGAATCACTTTGTACCGTACCCACAAGCTCTTCCCCTTTCACGTGCTCTCATTACTAACATAAGCGAAAATACCCTTTGTAGTTTCCTTCACTTGATTAGCCCTACCTTCCACGTTTCAAAAATTTGTAGTGGATTTTTTAACATCTCAAGGACAAAATTTAATGATAATTTCTGATCATATTTTTGAAAATTGTTTTGTGGTAAGATCTGGGAAAGAATAACTCAAATTGGTGCTGATATTGATGGTATACTCTCGTTGCAGCCAAGAGCTCAAATTACCCGGCTTTTTTATCTCAGACAGCATTTATGACAAAGTGGGCCCTTATACTCTCTTTTAAGAATCTTATATTTCTTACAATTAGATAGTGTGATTTGGGAAATATTATTTATACAAGTCAAATAAAACTGTTACCTTCATGTGCAGGAACGACGGTATTGAGATCATCCGTGCTGAATCCATTCTTGAGATTCGTAATATCTATCTGCTCTTTTTGAGTTATGAATTCCGAATTTTTCTCTGAATATAAAAATTATCAGACACTGTGATTTGATTGTGCCACTTGTACATGCTACTACTAACTAAGTATAGAAGAAAAGGATGGTGAAAGATGAGGAGAGAACGACAGACATTAGTTAACTTAAGAGGACATTGTGTGTGGAGTGCGTAGTGATTGTGATTTGCACGTGGGACTAAAGAACAGCAAGTGAAACAAAACAGTGCGTGGTGGAACTTCGAGGAACTAAATTCTTCAGAAAAATTTTGTTCGAAATCATGTAACGAAATCTTCCGATTACAGCTCTAGAGCCAACGAATCAGTATTTCAGATGGCAATACAAAATTCTTGTACTAAAAGAAAGAGGTGTTATTTTTAAGATTAGAAAAGTAGGTTTTTCACGAGCAGGCTAACTCAGATTGCAAACGCAAAGCAAACGTTCGTGAGCAAACAAAATTTGATTCCATCTATTCTGATAGAGTTGACAGATTTCCCAACTGAAGCAGACATATTGCTGATCATCACATTTTTCTCATTCATGATTGTAATAGAATGTGCCTTTCAATTCATCTGCATTCTATGATAGGTAGGCTGATAAAAAATTTTTGTTACTACAAAAAGGAGGATGAGTTTTTTGAAGGAAAAAAAATTCGAAACTAGCTAAGAAGATTTTTTGGGTGTGTAATTTGTCACGTGTATGAATCTTCCTCAAAAATCTAAAGCAATCTTTGATTTGTTTCATTCTCAAAAATATAAACGGCAAAAATCGAACTGCCGCTAGCTAAATAGTCAAACTAATCATGCGACGACGTTCAAGGAACTTGAAATGTTTTGCAAACCATTCTACCAAATACTCGTCGTTTACTCGAGTTTAGAAGGAGAGTCTGTTTGAACTCATTCGAAAAAGAAAAAAACTCAGGCAAAGCGAGCTCGAAGGACAGTGAGAGGCGTAAGAGTGAGGTGAAACTGATCATGAACTGAACAATGCGTGATGTGGTTAACTGAAGTTAGTACATACCACACTCGATGCATTCCAGCTTGACGACTTGCTGGACGGAGGCGAACGACCAGAACGAGGTGCGTTTGGCGCCCGAGTCGCACGCGGTCGTGCTGTTGCCGTAGCGCATCAGGCAGACCGGACGCGGGAACCGCGTGAAGGCCGCCAGCGTGCAGCCCGTCTCGTAGCACATCCTTGCGCAGTGCTGCAGCGAGTACACCGCGGCGTCGGCGCTGAATCTCGTCGAGAGATCGGTGAGCTCGGAGGCCACGAATCGCAGTCTTCGAGATGGGCAATCTGCACCAGTCACATACACAAACACATCTTCCCGACATAAATACACACAAGCAAGCAAGAAAGCTCAGAGTGGGGCGGAGATTGCCCCCATTTTGCAATCATAATAGTTCGATCGCCATATGAACTATGCATTTGGCTCAGCTGCGTTCAGAGTCGCTCCTGTCCCGGCACAGGATCGGCACAGAACGTCGCGATACCAGCCACTTCGATATGGTAGCAGACGCTTTGTCTGCTCCACAACATGCATGTCGCGACGTCATGTTCCGATTGTGTCAAGCACAGGACCGGCGACTCTGGATGTAACCTATGCAGGCTTGGCCCGTATCCCTGCCCGAAAGCAGAACTCAAACTCCTGCGCCAAGTAGCTGATAAAATGCTTAGCTTGAACTCAAATAAGCAGACTTCAAAATTGCAGAACCGGAGGAAACTGGATTAGCCTCGATAATCGCGCAAACAATGAACTTGAGATTGTTGCAATCTGCTTTCCGCTATCTCCTATCAAGTTGATGCGCAGATGTTTTGCTCAAACTGAATGTATTCCTGTCTCACTTGGAGCAAGCTCGACTCGAGCGTCTCGGGTCTTGCGATCGCCTCGCTTGAAACTTGCGCAGGAAGGCGGTGTAAGCTCAAGCGCCCGAGTCGAGCTCACTCCAACTGAAATGGAGCTTAACTTGTTCCATATAGCGATGGAATCTCTCAAAGAATTCTCGTAGGCAAATCTGCCTCTACAGCACTACAAAAAAGAACTTTGGAAACCTGTTTTGACAATTGTTATGCCGGTGGAGCGCACGATAAAACCTTACCTTGTTTTTGCTCTAACGGTTTGTGCAAATATTTCTTCAAATCACCTGAAAGTGTTTAAAGTTATGAAAACTTTTTAGTCAGCCTTGATGATAAGCCATTGTTTATGAGTTCGCATACCTAATTTGCTGTTAACATTTTCTATGAGTTGCGTTTGCCGTGGAGGACCAAGAACAGCATTGAGGCCACCAGCAGCCAGAGCGTCGATTAAATCTTGAACGGCTTGAACGGGAGGCTCGGTTGTAGTGCTCATTTCCGCTAAATATGGTTACTGTTTAGAAGTGTAATTAAAGTTTCGCTCATTTATAGCTAAGTTCAACTCTTTTCACTACTAGTCAAGTATCACAGAAGCTCCAGTTGGATCACCTTTTTTATTTTCAAATACATTCTGCGCGGGAGATCTTACCATAAACAACGTCCCACATTCCACTGCCCCTCCCTCCCTCTACGCTGTCTTTGGCTCGAATTTTCAAGTAAACATTTTTGCTGTTCTGTACCAACGAGCCAAAGACAGCAGCTGTACTGGGCGGTACCTATGAAAGCTTTCCAGCATTCATAACAATACCATTTTTCTAAATATTTTCTTTCAACACAAACCTGTGGTAGAAGTTGCGACGCTCGTCGATTCCGATTTCTTCGATGCCACTGCATCCTCATAGTCTGGCTGAGTTGTCAGTTCCTAAAATGAATATAAATGGGAAGTGAGATAGGGGATATAGATATCTTTTTTGGTGCACTTCGAGTGTAATAGATAAAGATAAAGATAAAGATAAAGATATAGGCAAGTGTATAGGAAAGAAGTAAAAGAGAGCTGTTAGCCTAAAAGTATTGTGAAGAGCGAGCGCAGGACTGAGTCATATGTGAACTAAAAAATACGTTATTCACCGTGTTTTCAGACTCCTCTTCCTCTTCTTCGCTTTCTGTGAATGTATCTGGTTCGGAACCAGGAACGAAGCCAACATTTATAGGTAGACTAGTTTTGTGAGGCTCGAGCAAGGTACGATTGATCAGATCTTCAGAAGTAGACGGGGTTACGTCATGTACAAATGAGGAATCTGTAAAGATGTAATAATTCAAATTTCCAGGAAAAACAAGCATCTCTTACCAAGTGGGTGCGATAAAGCGGGACTTTCAGCATCAGATGGCCTGGTCGTTGAGTGCGACTCCACGTTAGGACTATCCGTGATAAACACTAATGGCTCAGATGGGGTAGAGGAGTGCGCTCTGCCAGAAGTTTCAGTACTGGCTTTTCCATCGGGCTTATCCGTTATAAACTCTAATGGCTCAGATGGTGTGGAGGAGTGTGCTTTGTCAGAAGTTTCAGTACTGGTTCTTCCTTCAGGATTATCGGTTATAAACTCTAACGGCTCAGATGGCGTAGAAGCATGTGGTGTGGATTCAGTGCTGGCTTTTCCATCGGGCTTATCGGTTATAAACTCTAACGGCTCGGATGGCGTAGAGGAATGTGCTTTGCCAGAAGTTTCAGTACTGGTTCTTCCTTCAGGATTATCGGTTAAGAACTCTAATGGCTCAGATGGCGTAGAAGCATGTGCTGTGGATTCAGTACTGGCTTTTCCATCGGGCTTATCAGTTATAAACACTAATGGCTCAGATGGGGTAGAGGAATGTGCTTTGCCAGAAGTTTCAGTACTGGTTCTTCCTTCAGGATTATCGGTTAAGAACTCTAATGGCTCAGACGGTGTAGAGGAGTGTGCTTTACCAGAAGTTTCAGTACTGGTTCTTCCTTCAGGATTATCGGTTATAAACTCTAACGGCTCAGATGGCGTAGAGGAATGTGCTTTGGCAGAACTTTCAGTACTGGCTTTTCCATCTGGCTTATCGGTTATAAACTCTAACGGCTCAGATGGCGTAGAAGAGTGTGCCTTACCAGAAGTTTCAGTACTGCCTTTTCCATCGGGCTTATCGGTTATAAACTCTAATGGCTCAGATGGCGTAGAGGAGTGTGCTGTGGACTCAGTAATGGTTTTTCCATCAGGGCTATCGGTCAGAAATACTAATGGCTCAGATGGCGTAGAGGCGTGTCCTGTGCTAGCAGATTCAGTGCTAGTTTCTCCATCATGGCTAGCTTCTAGTTTAGGTGCTATGTTACTCTCTATTGGTGTCTCTCCACTGCCTTCCTCCGTCGGTGGCATGGTTGTGTGGTCTCCAACCGCTCCAGTAGGAACGAAGATTTCTTCCTGGTCGGCAGAAGAGATTGTGGTAGTTGGCATTGTGCTCGAACTTTCACCGCCTTCCCCTCCTAAGGCCGTCTCAGAAGTTGGTCTAGTAGATTTTTCAGATGGTTCTGTGGTAGTTACGGTAGTCTTGCTATCATCAACGCTTGCTTCCACAATCGGTGCTTTGCCTGATTCGCTTTCCTCACCACTTCCTTCGACTGACGACGACGTAGTTGATGTAGGATGAGATGAGAGCTCACTTCCAGTACTTTCTGGCACTTCCGTGGTTCGTTGTACAGAAACTACCAGTGCCGGCACAATTCGCACATTAGACCTCGTCTCATCAGTGCTTGAATCTAATTTCGGAGTTGTAACAGTGACTTCTTCCTCTCCGCTTCCTTCGACTGAAGACGTCGTAGTTTCTTCGGCTTGTGGTGTTGTCTTCTCGCCTGCTTCTTCTGTTACAGCAGCTCCTGGTTGCGACGAGGTTGCCGCCGTACTTTGCTCAGACACAGCCAGGAGCGTTGATACGGCTTCTTGCGTGCTGTGATCGCTTGATGGAGCAGCGGTGGTTGATACCTCCGCTTCCTCCGCTTCAGTGGATGGTGAAACTGTGCTAGAGCCTTTAGGACTTGTTTCTGTCTCGGGAACGTTTTGTCGCTCAGAAGGCTCCTCTCCGCTGGCTTCGTTCAGCGGTGTTGAGCTCTCTGCCGGTTCCGTCGCATGCACATTGAGATGAGCGGAGACACTAGTAGATGTTGTTGATGGACCAAATAGAAGATGTGGATGGCCCAAAGGAGGACTGGTGCTATGCAATGTGCTCGCTGGGCCCTCTGTGGCCTTGTCGGGTGAATTGGCCGACCCCGTGCCATCGTCCAAACTTGCTTGTACTTTAGGTACGATATTGCTTTCAAGCGGGCTCTCTCCGCTAGCTTCTTCAGTGTTAGTTGAAGTGGACTCCGGTGATGAAGTAGTATGAGGTTGTGCCCCTTCGGGCACAGAAATTTCGTCTCCAAGTCCAGCATTTGTTGATGAAGTTGGCTCTCCGCTGGTCTCTTCAGCTGGGGTCGTTGTGCTTCCCACTGGTATTATGGGAGGCATAGCGGCAGTGCTAGTTTCGCCTTCTCCTGTTACAGGAGTTGCTGGAATGAGAGGAGCAATTTCAACAGTGCTGGTTCCGCCTTCTTCCACTCCTGAAGGAGTAGAAGTTGAACCGCTCACTCCTATCACTGGAATCACTGGAGGAAGAGCAACAGTGCTACCTTTACCTTCTGGACTTTCAGGAGAGGAAGTTGCTGGTGACGTACTTGGAGTCTCCTCTGGTGTCTTGCTGGCTTCTGTTGACGGCACGTCAATTGCTCCCTCATCTACTTTAGCTTCCACTTTGGGCAAATTAGTGCTACTAAGCAGTTCTTCTCCGCTCGCTTCCGTCTCCGACGTTGTCGTTTGCGGCTCCGATGTAGAGCTAGTGGCCTCATTTTCATCTCCGGTAGTAGGAGCGGGGGCAGTGGTGAGTGCTGTTTGAGAGTGAGTTGTATTTGCTGGTGATGCCTCCGTGATTCGTTCGATCGAAACTATCACTCCCGGAATGACCCTGACGATAGGCTTACTGTCATCGATACTAAAGTCCACTCTAGGAGTGCTTCCTTCAACGCTTTCCTCACCGCTGCCTTCAGTTGACGGCGATGTGCTTACTTCGTTGGTAGGTGTTGTCTCTTTACCGGGCTGTTCCGTCATAGAACTTTCTAGAGGAGCAACCGTTGTTTCGCGCGTTTGGTCACTTCCCAAAATAAAGGCTCCAACTGTGCTGTGATCGCCTTCGGAGGCAACCGTGGTTGAGGAACCAGTGCTAGATTCATGCGATCCAAGAGTTGAAGATGGAGCTGTGCTTGTAATTTCATTTATATTAGGTTCGATCTTAGGTATGTGGTGAGGATCCTCCCCACTAGCCTCTATCGCAGGCGTAGTCGTGCCACTTTTTTCCGTCACAGCACCGCCAGGTAGTATGAAGACAAGTGTCGTTGTGGGACCCCCTGTAGTTGACTCAGATGTGGGTGTGCTATGGACTTCCTCATCCATACTCGCTTCAACTTTAGGAACCTTGTTGGATTCTAACGGTTCCTCTCCACTACCTTCTTCTGAGGGCGGTGAAGTGGTATGGTCTCCAGCTGCTCCAGTAGGAACGAAAATTTCTTCTTGGTTGGCAGATGAAACGGTTGTGGATGGCGTTGTACTGGTGCTTTCATTGGCACTCTCTTCAGCACTTGGTGTCTTGCTTACAGCTGGCTCTTCTCCACTAGCCTCCTCAGCTGGAGTTGTTGATTCGTTCTCACGCTCTCCAATCACTGGAATTATTGGATGAACGGCGACAGTGCTAGACCTCCCTTCTTCTATGTTAGAAGTGGAAGGTGACACACTGGTTCCAACGACTGGGATGATAGGAGGAATCGAGACAGTGCTAGTTTCTGCTGTAGCTTCTGCAGGTGTCGTTGCTTCATGCTCTCCAGTCGTTGTGGATTGCTCCGAAGATGGTTGTCCTGTTGTTGGTTCTTCGCCCGAATGTTCAGTTCCAGCCTCAGTTGAAGGCTCCGTGGACGCCTTGCCTGGCTCATCTGTTGAAAAGACTTTGGTTGTACCTTCATCAATGCTTGCTGCAACTTTGGGTAGAATATTGCTAATAACCGGTTCTTCTCCGCTGCTCTCTTCAGATGGCGTAGTTGTTCCTTGTACTCTAGTGAATTCTGTCACGGCTGCGCTCTTGTCTGGTTCTTCACCACTGCTCTCCAGAGGTGCTGTAGTTGTTGACTCACCGCTTGTCACCGAGCCTTGTACAGGCACGGAAGTTGTTGGGACATCAACCTCACCACCGCCTGTACCAGATGTGGTTGCTGCCGTACCACCTGTGCCCTCGGTAGTGGTGCTCATTTCCTGGCCTTCCTTCTGCGGCAAAGCATTCTTATCAAGAGGTTGTTCTCCACTAGCTTCTTCGGAGGGAGTTGTTGTTTGCTCTCCTGTAGTAGGTTCGCTGCTTGTGGGTGGTTTGCTTCCCTCAGGGAGAAGGATTACCGGAACAATGGCTTTGGCAGTGCTGGGAGCAGAAGTTGACTCCGTGCCAGAACTCGAAGTTGTCACATCAGAGGCAGTGGTAGTCTCATCTAAACTCGCTTGCACGTCAGGCGCTGCATTTTTGTCGAGAGGTTCTTCTCCGCTGGCTTCCTCAGGTGACGAAGTTGTCACGGACTTCGCTGTAGTAGACTGTCCGGGTTCTGTCACGGTACTCTCCACAATTACAGACACTGCGGGTGCTAGAGTTTCTTCAGTGCTATGGCCGGTAGAACTAAGTTCAGTTTGCCCAGTTGAAGTTTCAGGTGTGGCAGAGGTACTACCTGCTTCATCAGGACTGGCTTGTACACCAGGAATAGCGCTTTTGTCGAGAGGTTCCTCACCACTAGCTTCCTCGGGTGATGAAGTCGTTGGAAGCTTTGTGGTTTGTTCACTGCTGGCTGCTGAGGCCGTAGTCTCTGCCGGTGGAGAAGAGGTGGCTTCTTCTCCCTCTGGGCTTGACGGTAGAGGAGATGTCGCAATAGCTAGAGTGACTGTTACTGTTTCGGCTGTATGTTCGGTAGTGGTGGGCACTTCGTCGATACTCGCTGCCACTTTAGGAATCGCATTTTTGTCAAGAGGTTCTTCTCCACTGGCTTCTTCTGGTGATGATGTAGTTACTGTCGACTTCTCAGTTGCAGTTTGATCTCTTGCAGGCTCTGTAGCGGTTTCGGTCAGGAACACCTTGGGAGCTAGAGTCTCTTCAGTGGTTAGAGGCGTTGTAGCAGAAATTCCAGCAGCTTCCATGGTTGTCTCTCCACTTGCTTCTAATCCGGAGCCCTCAACAGGTGAGGGCGCAGTAGTTGAGAGTTGATCTTGCGTGCCAGAAGCTGAGGCCGTTGTAGAAGACGTAGCTGATGTAAATTCGGCGGAAACAGTCGTAGCTTCACTCACGCTCTTGCTAAGCGGCTCCTCACCGCTGGCTTCTTCACTAGGTGTTGTCGACGACTCTTCTGCGCTGGTTGTTCGTTCACTACCTGCCGTTGTAGCGGCAGGCACAGGTATGAAGACTATTGGTGCCACTGTTACGACATCGCGTCTGGTAGTCGTAGTTTCACCTCCTGGAGCAACCGTCGTTGAACCCTCCTCTTTGTTTCCAACAGTACTAGATGGGGTTTCATCTATGCTAGCTGCTACTTTGGGGACCGCATTTTTGTCAAGCGGCTCTTCACCGCTAGCTTCCTCGCCAGGGGTAGTCGATACAGTAGTATGACCTGTTGTTGCCTCTGTTGGCACAGATATTTCCTCTCCGAGTCCAGCATTTGTCGATGATGCTGGCTCTTCTCCGCTGGTCTCTGCAGCTGAAGTCGTTGTGCTCACCACTGGTATTATAGGAGGTATAGCAACAGTGCTGGTTTCTGCCTTAGATTCTTCACCACTTGCTTCCGTCACAAAGGCCTCTGCAGGTGAGGAGATGGCTGCAGTGGTCATCTCGCTGCTAGAAGGCCCTAAAGCAGTCGTTGGCGAAGTTTCCGGTGTGCCCTCGACAGCAACGGCAGTAGTGGTCTCATCTAGATTTGCCTGTACCACTGGAATCGCGTTTTTATCAAGAGGTCCTTCTCCACTGGCTTCTTCGGGTGATGATGTAGTCGATTCCTTCTGTGTTGCAGTCTGTTCGGTGCTTGCTTCCGTCGTAGCTTTCACAGGTATGAATGCTACTGGTGCAATGGTTATCCCCTGCGGAGTTGTTTCCGGGCTTGATCCTGGGACAGCCGTGGTAGAACCTTCTGACGTATTTTCAGCAAGAACAGCAGTAGTCGTCTCCGAGCCAGATAGCACTTCACCGACTGCGGTCTTGTCAATTGGCTCTTCACCGCTAGCCTCCTCGGGAGAAGTGGTGGCTGTTGTCTCGCTCTTCTCCGTAGTAGACTGTTCTCCACTTGCCTCTGTTACGAAACTCTCCACCGCGGGAGTAGTCGCATGACTCTCCTCGGTGGCAGAAGGAGTCGTTGGGGAGGCAGCGCCCGTGGTTGTGGCTAATGATTCAGGTGTGCTCACGGCTGGCTCAGTGGTAGTCTCATCAAGACTTGCTTGTACCGTTGGAAGCGCGCTCTTGTCTAGTGGCTCTTCTCCACTGGCTCCTTCCTTAGGTGTTATAGTCGAAAACTCCTCAGTAGTGGTTTGTTCTGTGCTCGCTTGCGTCGTGGAGCCTTCCGCGGGGGCGAATACTATAGGTACCAAAGTAGTACCTTGCGTGGGTGATGTTGTAGTCTCGGACGTTGAAGCAGTCGTACTTGAACCTATCGGGGTGCTTTCGGCGGTCACTTGGACAGTAGCATTTTCATCTATACTTGCTTGCACTCCAGGAACTGCATTCTTGTCGAGGGGCTCTTCTCCGCTGGATTCCTCATGTGTTGTCGTTGGCTCGCTCTTTTCGGTTGTGGCTTCTTCTCCACTTGCTTCCGTCACGAATCCCTCCATTGGCGGAGAAGTGGTGGCAGAGGTAGGCCCGTCACTAAGCGTTGACGCGGGCGTCGTGAGGTCAGTTCTCGCACCACTTGCTGTGGCCTCTGGAGTGCTTTCAGAAGCAAGTGAATGCGCTGAACTTGCAGTCGTGCTTTGCTCAGTCACAGCTATGATCGTTGGTGCGCCTTCTATCGTGCTGTGATCGCCTGAAGGAACAGTAGTACTTCCGCCTAAGCCCACTTGTTCTCCGGGAGTTGTACTTTTGACGGCGGGCTCCTCTCCACTAGCTTCTTCAGGTGACGAAGTCGTCCCTTCTTCCGCTGTGGTCTCACCAAGACTTGGTTCCGTTACACTACCCTCTAACTTCACAAACACTTTAGGTGCTATAGTCTCTTCAGTGGCAATATTACCGGTTGTTGTTGTACTTACTGCTGTGCTTTCAGTACTACCGACCTCGTCTATACTTGCTTCTATTCTAGGCGTTGTGCTCTTCTCTGATGGCTCTTCTCCGCTGGCTTCTTCTCGAGTTATGGTTGATGATTGTTGTTCAGTAGTACCTTCACTGCTTCCTGGTGCTGCCGTAGTAGCGCCCTCGACAGGGACAAATACTACCGCGACTGTTAGGGTAGAGCTTTGTGGAGTTGCTGTGGACTCGGACTCGGCAGGAGTGCTGGATAGTTCGGGTGTACTTCCGGCAGGTGTTGTTTTTTCAAGAGGTTCTTCTCCACTTGCTTCCTCCTGAGGGGTCGTCGATTCGCTGGGTCTTGTTGCGGCTTCTTCTCCACTAGCTTCCGTCACAGCGGCTTCTGCGATAGGAGATGTCGTTGCGCCGGTCCCGGTCGCACCAAGGGGAGTGGATGACTCTGCCTCCGAAGGTGGTGTTGTACTCTCAACCGCTTGAGTAGACTGGGCTGTCGCAGTCACTGGTTTTTCTTCAGTGCCTGGCGCGTTGTCGATGCTTTCCGAAAATGGACCGGGTCTGGTCATGTTTGGCAACATCAAGTGTGGCACTAAAAGAAAGTTAATGATTCCTTTATAAGTAAATCAGCGACAGATTCAAGCTTACCACAGCTGAAACAGTGCATGAAAACCGGCTGTTGAGGACGAGCCACTTGCACGAGTTTTGCATTCGAGCACAGAGCTCTGTCATTGTATGACAAGGCACACTCACGTGTAGCCGGATCGTATTTTGCGCCAGTGCAGCCATCCTGAACAAGAGCGCGATTTGGTACAAAGTGCTACACACAATACAACCTTCTGCTTTAGTCTCCATGACTTATGATCACTCCGACAATTGCACACCTCCCAGTTCAAAAAGAATTCATTAACCGCTCAAAATTTGTACACATCTCAGTTTGGTCAGGCAATAAGCAATTGCTGCGTATGTCTTATACAAAGGATTTAAAGAATAAGGCAAAAAGAATACCAGTACTGCTTACTTTTTCCAAAGTTGTTACCTAAACGAAATGAGGTGCGCTAAGTCGCACTAAAGATGATGAGAAGATATGGAAAAGATATTCATTCTAGTTCAGTCTTGTGAACTATTTTAGAAAATAACTTTGTATGTTGCTTTTGGCACAGTTGTTAAAAGATCGTGAAGAACAAATGTTTTGGTAAATTTAACTACAATAGAGCTTGTGGATCGGTTCGAAAAGAGAGGTTCTTGCGTACTACTGATGAAGCGTCGGCATCTCATACCTTGGTTCAAAATGACTTCTTGGAGTTGGTTTTCGGACAGTGACACAGGAATTCAGCTAACCAAATTTTTTGAAATTTGCTCTTATCCAAAGGTTTTCAACGAATCGCGGCTACGCAAAGATCGCAACGAAACCTAGCATTCTTGGGACTAATAAAATTTAGATTTTTCTGTACACTGTCAGCTTATTTTCACTATAGGATATTACAGAATACGAAAGTCACACAGAAAAGCTGAACCTTGAGAAGAATCCTTTGGATACACAAATCCCACCATAACGTTTCCATAAATAGATTTTTTCATTTCTGGTCGACTTTCGTCAGTCCCTAAGCTGCTATTCAACCAACAACGTAAAATTCGTTAATGAGTTCTGAGCATTTGCGCGATCTTTCCGTCGCGAAGGATCAACGAGAATTTCTCAAATGAGAGCATTTTCAAGACTATTGGCTCTTCGAAATCTTATATTACCCTCTTTCCATAGACTGGCGCAGGATTTTGTAAGGTCATTGAGCAAAGTTACCGGTGCCGACGCTTTCAAGATAATTTACCGCAACCCTTCTTTTTACCGGAAATACGTTCTCGTTTGCACTTCGAAGCCCTTTTACTTACAGACTTATATCCGCATAATCGATTTCATTGCATTGTTACAAATTGATTCTTTTTCTCCATTTATAGTTAATTTTTTTCAAAAATTCGACTATCTCTTCTTTTTCTCCCTCTCCATAATGGAGATGACGTGCGTACCTGATAGCATCGATAAGCACAGATCTCTGCCGTTTCTGTTTCGAAAGATGGGTCGAAACTGGCTGTGAACTCAGGTGGACGCTCTTCTAATTCGACTATTTGGAAAGTCACAACACATCCTAGAAGAGAACATTCGATGTAATGCTGAATCACTCTATAAGATGAATTTTAATCTCTACCTTTGTCTAATAAGTTTCTTAACTCGTCGTCTGACAAGGCCGTTACGTTCTGTGTTGTTTCTGGCTCCCGCGGACTTTCCGTAGACGACGGGTGTGCGGTGCTGCTTCCTTCTTCGCTTGTGGTAGCCCCTTCGGAACTGCCCACACTTTCCGCAGTGGTGGCACCTGGCAGCACCGGCACTGCGGTGCCACTGGTTTGGCTGGTTTCGCTTTCGGCTCTGGTTTCCGAAGGCGATGCGGTGCTTTCAGCTACGGGTTCGGTAACATTCTGTTCCTCGGGTCCTGCTCCCGTCGGCCGTGGCTTCACGCTATCTGCAATAAAATTTTGAATCTCAAGGGAGCTATGCATTCGCTTTTTCAAATTCCCACAGCAGTTGACGCAGTAGATCCAAGTCGGTTCTTTGGCATCGTACTGGAGGACAACTTCACTGTCTTCTTCACAGAAATGTTTATCAGCGTAGGAGAGCGCGCAGGATTTGGATTTGGGGTCGTATTTGGCTCCGGTGCAACCATCCTGTAAAGAAAATTTACTTCACAAATAACAATCGAGGGGAATTTGGTCGCATGGTGCGAATTGGTTAACCAGGGGCGGTATGCATCAATCTCCCGTTTTGAAAGCAGGCGGTCATTTTCAATAGAAAATAATCGCCCGGCCGGGTTGGGCGCCCGACCCGTGATGTATGATTTCTATTGGAAATGATCGCCAGCTTTCAAAACGGAAGATTGATGCATACCGCCCCAGATGTATACTGTTGATCCGTATAAAATTACCTCAATGTTGAATATACATATTTTCTTACAGCCCACTGATCTATTAAGGGAAAAAATCGTCAAGTACGGCGTTCCTACGTTACCTTGAACCAAGTTGAAAATTCTAGTCCCAGATTATTGCTTCCAACCACCATAAATCACATTTTTTCTAACTTGAACTCACATGGCCCCATTAAACGAAGATCATATAGAGGTAAATAAAAAAAGGGTAGATTCGAAGAAAACCATGAGCACTAACCTGATAACAACGCGTTGCACAAAGCTCAATGGAATTGACAGGAATTTCAATTTCAAATGGCGCTTTGGACTCTGCAGGCCGTTTCGAGTACGGTCTTGCTTGGAATTTTACGGCGCACTCTGTAAAATATATCTCAGCCATCAAAATCAAGTGAGTTTGGTGCGTTCCCACTTTTCTGGAAGTGAGGAGTAGCTCCTGTTCGGGTGCGGTTCTTCAGCATTTGTCTGGGTTCAATTTCTTCAGGAATTGCAGTCGTGGATCCTTCAACGGCAGCAGGCAGCTTCTCACCACCTTCGTCGACAGGTACATGCTCAGGAGCAGCTTCTTGCTGTTCAGCCAGTTCCACTCGATCAGAATCTTTTATGCTATCTGGAAACAAAACATCGGTCACGGTCCATGTAATGGAGAGTTTTGTGGGTGAAGTTCGAACGTACAGCAGTTGACGCAATGTACCCAGGTAACGTTTTTGGCATCGTAGTGAATTCGAACTTCTTCACTGGTGCAGAAATTTTTGTCATTGTACGAGAGCGCACACGACTTCGCTTCAGGATCGTACTTGGCACCGGTGCAACCATCCTGAAGAAGGAACCATAATGAAGAAATGCGACTTCTCCACTCAAAGCTTCTCCTTAGAGAATATTCGACCTCTGATTCGATTAAATCGTGCGAAAACCTCATAAATAAGAGAAAACACAGGCGCTTTTTCCACGGGTATTCACTGACTTCACTACTGCTTCATGAAACTGGCTTGTCTTGAAACTTGCAGCAAAAATGTGAACTATCCATCACATCAAATAATCTCGATTCTCGTCATATCCTTTGTTCACCTTCTCAAGAAAAAAGTCTAATCTATTGTCTTTGCAGAGAAGCCTTTGCAGTATCTTGATAAAACGGGCGTCGTACTAGAGCTTAAGACCAAAAACTAGAGGCTTCATCAGATAGAATCATGATTGGTACAGCAAACTTGCTTGAAATAAAAGCTCTAGTTTAAAAAATTGTAGGTACTTATTCTTTTTGCTGTCGCTTGACTACAATTAATCGATTTAGCACTACAATGTACAGCAAAAAGAGAAAAGAATGGGGCAGCAAAAGGGACAAGTGCAGAGACTAACGAAAGTGCAAAGGACGAATAGGGGCCTAACTGCCCGTTCTTTTTTCGCAGTTTAGACTTGGAATTATAGCAAAGGAGAGCGAAAGGAGGGTGTTTGACTGCTATGACGATATTACTTCACATTTATGCAGGAATTCTAAATGCATTAATGTGAGTAAAATCCGAGCCATGCGGATACCGCAGGAGTCATATTTTGGATTTCATAAAACTTGTGAAGGGGCATGCTCAAGTGCTTTATGTCTATGTGAGGGCTTGGAAATTACGATAAGTGGCGAAAAGCAGAGGATACAAGCCATATTTTTGGTAGACTTTATAAGATGCGAATGCGAAGTATGTCTCATTGTCAACATAAAAGGTCTACATGATTACAAAAAGTTTCGAACTTTCATAACATGGCTATAGGCCGACATTGCCACCTAAGTGTTTTCTGAAACAATCTGAAAGCCTACCTCTTCAGGTTATAACAAAACATTTTGCTTGGGCATCAACAATTTTCCACTGGAGTTTACGAATCCCGCAGTAACTTGTACGTTTACGAAATATTTAATTTCCCACCTGATAGCACCGCGTTGCGCATAATTCCACTGAGTCCACCGTAAGAGAAATCTCAAATTCGGCTTTTAGATGTGACGGACGATCTTCAATGGGCCTCGCTTGGAATTTTATCAAGCAACCTAAATGAACAGCTGTTGTTATATAAGCTTGATAGGACAAAAGGTAATACCGATGACCTTTTGAAGCATTTGGTTTGAGCTGCTCAGCCTGTTCAATGCTACGAAATGACACCTGCTTACATAATTTTCTTCTTTACTTCCTTTACCTCTGGCAGTAAAGTCAAACCCATTGTTATAGTAAGAGGGATTCTTCTTATATTTTCATATTATCAAATGAGATAGTGTTACAAGCTTGCAAAATCTTGTGATTATTGATTATTTTACAAAATGTGTAAAGACTATGTTATGAGCTGCAGCCTTACCTCTTAGGAAATCTTTCGATGAAACAGGCTTGTGCGTGGAAGTAGCTCCTGTCTGTGAGGTTTCCCCTTCCTTGGATGGAGTAGATTCAGGAGCAGAGGTAGATTTTGGCTTTTCCTCCGGACCTTCGCTCGATGCTGCTTCTGTGGCCTCTGTCCCAGAAGTGGTAGTCTTGGCTGTCGTTTCTTCTGAGCCTTCCTTCGATGACGGCTGTGTGGTACCGCTCTCTTCTGGGCCTGATGTAGCTGTCTCGGTGGTAATTGCCTTCTCTGTTGTGGTGCCACCAGGCAGCACTACAGGAATTATCGAGGTGGGAGTTTTGGTAGCGGGTTCCTTAGAAGAACCAGCCAGATCCTTATCGGAATCTGAATTCATTTATCAGCGATAAAGTACTATGGAATTTTCTTTTCTGGTACTCACAGCAGTTAACGCAATGAATCCAAGTTACTTCGTCGGCTTTGTAATGAAGCACCGTTGGTTCCTTTGCACAGAAATGCTTGTCATTATAGGCAAGAGAACAAGTACCGTTGCTTGGATCATATCTTGCCCCGCTGCACCCATCCTAAAATAAAGTAAACTTATTATTCCAGAGCTGCTAAGGGTAGTGGGACGAAACCTGGTAGCAACGAGTGGCGCAAAGTTCCACAGAGTCAACGTTCAGATCGAGCTCAAATGGTGCATTGAGCTCAGCTGGACGCTTCGATAAGGGTCGAGCTTGGAACTTGATTATGCAGTCTGCAAAAGAATATGAGAGGCAATGCTTTTTAATAAGTGATAATTTCCATAGTTCCCATTCATTTCTAAGGGCAAAAATGTTCAGAAATTCCTTGATTGCAAGGCTCACACCGCAATAAGGTATGCTATTTTCAGTTTTGATGATTACTACAGTACAAACTGGCGTTGAAAACGAACAGCCTATCAGTCTACTTATAAGGTGCTAACCTAGACTTTATACAAATTATACTAGGTCCGACCCTGATTATTAAAGTATGGGTTCATTTGGGGTGCAAATGACGTAATTTTTGAGTTAGTAGTTGCGTCAGCACGAAGACGTCTCAATAAAAGGTAATTTTTCAAGTCAACTTTCTCGTGTTCTCGAGAAATAACAATTTTTCTACATGTGCAAAATCACATTTTGGTGTTTCTAATTGAACAAATGTTGCGTGTTAACATTCTCTTTCCTTGTTCCTTCCAACTTGATGCGTCTGAGGAGTAAAATAACAAAAGGCATTTGCCAACAAATGGACATCCGTTGAAAAGACTTGGCTCAGAAGAAATTTGAAAATTTTGCTACTAATCAAAACAGTCGGCGAAAGTTGCTACTCAAAACATCGTGCGATGCTCTTTCACACTTATTTTATCGTTCAAACAAGATATAGCCGAATTTTCAATGCAACAAGCTTAAAAGTATACTTGCTGCGATTACGGAAATTGAACTCAAAAACACTGAATGTTCTTTTCCCATTTTATAATAGCACCTAAGCTCACTTTTGCCAAATGGAGCCTGTTCGTCGGAGATGTTCAATTTTTGTTCGATAGGTTGCTGGTCAGGAGTGCTTGCCCCCGTTGGATTCTCCGTGCTTGTTGGTCGAGGTGTCGGAGGGGCTTCATCGACGCCCTGGCTAACAGCCTGCTGATCCTCCTGATGTGAGATCGCCGGAGCGGTTGTGCCAGCCTGTTGCTCTTCGATCTCCTTGGCGAAGTGCTTCGGTGAACCTGTATAGGTTTATAATGGCTGGTTAGAGCTGCGATTTGAGCAGAAAGCCTAAACACCACCATCCCTAAAAGCCATCCAGAATGCAGTTAGTCCTTTTCGTCGGGAAGGAGTTTGGAGAAGGTATATCTCTCGGTATAATGTAAGATTCTGGATGACCCATGCAAAACCCCGGGGTTAATTAGCGGTGAGCATGCAGATAGGATAGTGTGCCGAGAGTGCGTAGCGGTATCCCGGTGCGGTATAAAGGCCTTGACTTACTGCAACGGAAGCACTGTATTTTGACGTCAGATTGCTTAAGGTAACGAATGGTGGACGGGGCATTCGTGCAGGTCTCTTTGAGCTCGCTTCCCAGTCGGCACTCGAGGCTCTGCGGCGAGTACACCGCCGTGGAGCAGCCTCCGCGGAAGCAAATTCGTGCACACTCGTTCACACTGTATATGGGAAAAATTGGCCGAAACCAAGAGCGCGAGAAAGGAAAGAATAAACGAAAATTGAATATTAGAACAGGTGCTCAGTGCGGAAGAAAAAGAGTGGTTGGTGTGGATGTGCATGGGTGACTGAGGCGCTCACCTCTTCACTTTCTTCACTTCATAATGCTTAAAAGACAGCGTATCTGCCTCCTCATCTAATTGGAAGTTTATAATGCATGCTGAAACAGAATACTGAACATAAGCCGAAGAACGAAGATCACAACTGAGCGACATGCTGCCAGGTTAATGCTGACAAACCAATGGCCGATCATGCAACTTAACGCTCCAAGGAGCCAGTCCAATAGCAAGACAAACTACCAGCTTTGGGTCCATGGCAAGTTGAAAGTTTTGCGATTACCTGGGTAAGTAGTAATAGCGGGAAGGATGATAGTTGGAGGAGATGGAGACGCGTCGACGGAGAAGTCAATGCGTGGCGGAGATTCTTCACCTGAAATGCGCCTTTCTTGAGAGAAATGAAATATTGAGTTAGAAAAAAAGAATGCGTTTTTCATGGCAAAGCAAGAAAATAGACCAACCTACAAAGAATGGGAGTACCTTTTGATAGAGCAAAGCAAACTCTACAAGACAACCTTCAAACATTAGCAGATGTTGCCGTTAACGTAAAATTTGAAACCAAAATTCGGAAGCAATTCTTGTCCTTTAGAATCGGACCTTAGCCTCAAAAAGTTCAAATCCCCCTACTTTCCTACTGTGCTTAGCAGATAGAACATTCCACTAGATATAAACTTCACTTTTTCGTGATTAGATCAAGAAAATGTAAAACGGAAAAATGGTAAGTACCAGTTTTAACAATAAGTTCTCTTATTACCACAAATTATAGAGACTATAACCAAAGAATTTCTGTCGCTAAAAACTTGTGTTTCCGAATGGTACGAGTTCTAGCCGAAACTTAAAAAGCGACATTGTTTGTTCTCCAATCGAATATAACTCCAATGCACCAAAATTCTTCTCAGTATAGGCCCAGTTTTCATTGTATGTTTAACTGAATCGTGTGGGTAGATGAGAAAAAATATAAAGCCCATTCTTTTTAAGCGCATGCAAAAAGAATAGAAAATCTTTGCACTTATCGTAAGCAGTACCGTTCCTACCGTTAAATGCACATACTTCCGAACGTTTCTTTTTCATCGCCTCGCCTAACTCTTCAGCTTTGTTTTGAGTTCTCTCAATTTTTGATAAAAAGATTATTACTCAAAACAGTTCTCTCGCATTTGTTTTCTTGATCAACTCAAACGAAAAAGCAATATTCTTCAGATAAACATTAACTTCATGCATGGAACCGAAATTATGTACAAAAGGCCTTTGGAGCATAGCTCTGAAAAGTTCTCAGAGCGATGGCACGGGATTAAGATTTTCAGTATCAACCATAGCGAAATTTTAATCTACTTATTACGACAAAAAAGAAAGTATGGTATTGGGAGCCCCCCTCCCCCCAAAAGAAAAGTCAGTAATAATTTCACTATTGGTTTTGCTAACAAAATAGTGCTCATAATAATCGCTGCATGCTGCTTGCTTGCGCCTATACAAAAGACTGGTTCCGGGAAAGATCTACTATTTTTGAGACATTCAACTGCTTTGAATATACAAAGTTCTAAAGTTATGACTCATCAAATCAATACTAGCATGCATTATTTTCGCACTGCCTTGATACATTACTGTAACTGATAACGACTATCGAAGATAATGGTCAACAATGTAACGAACCTTGGCACTCTTATCAGGGCTGGCACGAGGTGGCTAGTTGAAAGTGCAAAAAACGAAGTCCCCTTGACTTTTGCAAATTCTCACGAAGTCCCCTTTGATCCTAGACCATAATCCCTAAAAAAACCCTCCAAAAACGAAAAGTCGACTAAAAAAGTCCTTTTCGATCACAAAAACGAAACCCCCTTTGCTCTTTGTCCCAAAACGATATCCAGCTTGCTTACAAGCCACCTGTGCCGAGCCCTGAATCTTAATGCTCAAGATCATGCGTTCGAAGGAAGTCAATGAATAGAAAGTAGTCATAAGATTACGTAGTTTAGAGCGACTTAACTTCTCCTCAACATTTGCCGACTACACTTCGAGATTTCATTATGTTGTTATTCATATCTGTCAATAAAAGCTATTTTCTTTCTTTTTTACGGTTGACCGAGTTTAAGCAGGCGAAAAAACAATTTAGCGACACTTTCGTTGAGAGAAATTTATAAAATAAAGTTCTCATGAAAACCGTAGATTGTTTACGCGGAATGTGCCAAATTGCACATAATTTATTGAGTCAAAAGTTTTTTTGGTCCCATACGTTCCGTTCCGTCAATTCAACAATCAATCAAGCTTGCCGTGTAGAATCAAATCTTTGGTCGCTATCATTTCTTTGGCTCACCTTTATGTGGAATATTTTGGGCTGGGGATGCTTCGATGTCGCAAGAAATGCACGTAATTACAGCTTCTTCTTCTGGAACGTTATGCTCTGAGGCCTCATCGCAAGAGGATCCGTCCACGACGTCTTCGGTGTTCGATGTGAAGCGGCACGTTTTCTCCGAAGGTTTGTAGTAAGCAAACTAAATGAAAATAGCCCGATCGAGAAATAGCTATTTTTAGGGCAGACCTACCCCACACTTGAGGTCATAACACAGTTGAGCGCATTCGTTTCCTGATTCTACTGTAGTTTCATTCAACAGCAGTTGGACAGTTTCCCTATCTATATCGGTTTGGATGCGGTATTTCAAGCTTCCCGAGCATTCTAAATGGGATGATATGAGCTAGACAGAAGAAGATGGCAGATTAAACACATACTTCTTTCTGCAACCATTTTTCGAGATTCCGCTGTTATAACTGCTGTGGTTGTGCTGGCTGATGTTGTTGATTCATTCTCTTTCCCTGAAAAATAAAACTACGCTCTTTTATCTACATGCGCTTGACATTGCAGCGCTGGCTCTCTTCGTCGAGGTTATTATTGTGTTTCAATAAGCGAAGGAATTTGTAACCCCTCAAGCACTTGAGTCATGACTCCTAACGAAGAATTATTATTCGAGGTCTGTTCAAAGATCGCCCTCAAGAACCACCGGTTCTCCAATACAATTGCGCCCTGCGCAAAGGCATTGCGTCAGGAATGCGTCATAAAACCCATATAGTGGATGCCCATTGTTATTATCAATGACGGTACTACCGTTAGTTTCGAGATGCAAAACAGAAATATGAGATGCTGCTGACCTGCTTCAGTTGCCGTGGATTCTTCTTTGGGCTCTTCCGTTGTGCTGACTGGGACCAAATTTCCTAGAATGTGGCAAGAAATCTCGAAACATTTGCAGGGATAAAATGATGAAAAGCTGATTGAAGTCGAAAAAAGCTATACTTCCAAAAAAGTTCAAACTCTCTTTGGTCTCTACACAATCATTTTACCATAGCCGATTATCCACAAGAATTAAAGAACAAAGCCTGTGACAAAACATGGAAAAAAACATGGGACCAAGTATGACCCACAGCAAAGGAACAACATTTTAATTTGACGATCGTTTTATTATTCTGGTTGGTAAATCGTCTAAATTCCAGATCGTCAACAAACAAGATCTAATTGCAAAACGCTGCCGCAAAAGGTCTGGTTAAGCAGATTGATTCATAGGTGTTTTCTTAGAGATAAATGTACTGCTGCTAATCTTCTTATTGTTAGAGTGATGTCGACAATACCTACGGACCTTCTTTTACTGGAAAGGTGCAGCAGAAGCTGGAGTAAAGCTAAGTCTTTAGGGAATTGATGAGTGCTTAGATGTCTTCCTTCGAGATCTTTAGGCACCTCTAAATTCTGTGACGCTGGATAACTTAGATTTACATTGCAAAATCTCTCCATTGCTGTAAGATTACGGTAGCAACTTTACAAATCTTGTCTTGGGACATGGGATCCATCTTATTGTTAGCCGGAGCAAGTGTGTTTTATTTTTAGATTATTTGCAATTTTATTAATTTCATTTGCTTGAGGTAAAGATATTTCAATAGAAGGTTTCTTCAAGTTATATTTTAAAATTAAACTAATGAAATTTTGCAAATATTAATATTATAACAAAAAAATGAATTCTAAAAGAACTTTGAATTTTACTACTCTTACGAATTCCCTTTCAAAAGCCCCCACTTTCAATAAATCATTTTTTAAACTCTCATTACAAAATTAAACGCATATAATGCTAATCAGAAAGTGTAAAATAAATATCAGTTAAATAAAAATTTAGATTATAACCTTATAATTTACTTCTCACAATAAGCTTCTGCTGGCATAGACCAAGTATCTAGATTTATTGCTGTTGGAAATAATGGACAGCATTTTCCCAAAATAGTCAGATTTTCAAACACTCTAGTCATTGACTTTCTGAGTTTCGTTCCCATGTTGTAGTGAACGAACAAATGAGTGGTTTGATAATTGGATGAGCACAAGTTTCCTCTACTTATTGTTAGTGAATGCCGGTAAAAATGTAGTCTGTTATTTTGAATTACCGCAATTAGAGATACGCTTTCCACATTTGCGCTCTACCAGAAAATCGGAAAATTCACTTCCTTACGATTCTTTAGTGTGGAAAAACAACTCCACCCAAAAGTACTTCTGACTCTCATAGAATTACTATTTCTAGACATACCAAAAAAATGAAGAACAATTGAACTGCAACATTTAGGTAAGCCGCCAAAGCAGCCAATTCATTTAGCTAATTATAATTCGTTTATTTTGTTGCATGGCATCCTGAGCAGATCCAATGCTATTTGCCCCTCGAATGGTACTCCCCCCCCCTCCCAATGCGAAATTATTCTTTTGCGGATTCTGAGCACCAAGCATGGAACCTTGAACCATGAGAAACACGTGCTTTTATGATTCAAAGCTGACGATCTTCACACCGGGCGTTTATTACGATTGCAAATACGGATGTTAACGTTGTTAGCCGGAGACACATTGTAAAACCTCGGCAACATTGTTTCAAGTGTATGATGCGCACAATGCCGTATCACTTGCGCAAGGTCAGACAAAAGGAATGCTACTTCGCAACTTTTGCTCGGAGTCATATAACGCTACGGAAAGAAATTTGTCCGGAAGTTCTGGCAAAAGTTCATGAAATGTGCGATAACCTTTGAAAGGCTTGTCAGAACCCGCTTTTTAGATTTTTGGTCGAAGGTTTTGATATCGTTTTATTGGCTGACTCACAACAATAAGGAGGGCATTGGCGAACACTTGAACACTCGATGTGACCTCGATGGCTTACTCATCTCACATATTTTAGATTCACTCGTAAGTAGCCCAAAATGGTAAACAAGGTGAACAAGGCGCCTACCAGGTGCGAGCTTCAACTCGATGTTGTCGGTGACCACCTTGTCAAGAGGTTTCGAGAGGATCGGATTCCCTGCTGCGTCCTTAGCCACAATGGTTTGCTCCGTAAAACTGTCGAACGGAGGAGCAGTCACTGCAATCACAGAAATTTTTGGCCCAAATTGTCCATCGGTCATTTTGGTCATTCCCTGTCCCTGGCGCGCGTCATAGTGGCAATTGAAAAGATTACGTATCTCTCAGCAGGACAAGTTTCGATTTCTTATGCCGAATGTTTACGGCAAGCGATTTCGTTTTCTTTCAGCCGTAATGACATTCTTTGACCACCTACTGAGGCCATTGACACTGAGAGAAGAAAACACTGAGTTCTTTTCCGTAAATTGGTTGTTTAGAGCACATTTAGTGTAATTGCATTGAGAGATTGGAAATCTGCCCATTGCTAAAGGTGAAGAACTTTGTCGTAAAAGAGTTAGAGGTTCGATAAGAATCTACTGATCATTATCGTAAAAGACACTTCCGAAGCAAAAAGCTAATTCTCAGGCGATTTCGCGTGTGGGCCAAAAATGGTATCTTGGCTATGAAACCAACTGCCTTAGGCTTCAAAGCTGTCTTGCGACGAGGTTAGGATAAAATGTGATTCAGAAAAGTCTAAAAAACTAGGAGTATGGTCTATCCTAGTGCTCATAAATTTGACGAAAAATCTACTTCAAGCCTAGACATCGTAACCCCCGCTTCTATTCGACAGCAAAATAAATCGTAAGCAGTGAATAGCAGTCGTTTCATGAAAGTGTAATGTTCACGCTGAGAATAAGCCACCACCATAAACTGACTTTTATTTGCTGCAAAATTTGTACTTTGAGAGTCACGGAAAGAAGCAGCGCAGTCGTTTCGGTTTCAACAGGTTTGAATTTACACAACAGCAAAGAATGTTTCATAGAATGACATACAAAATTTTTTTCTCATGTTTTTTCTCGAATTACACCTGAAGGCATTAAATAGGAAAGCCAAGCAGATACCGAGATGTTTGATGTAACAACTAATTTTTCAGGGCTTTATGACTTGCCAGTGCATAGCTTCAAAAGTTTTCGGTAAGGCTCATGAACTTTATGTCAGACTTCATAGAAGTATTAACACCTCAAAATCTGGCATAGAGGGCCATAGAAGTAAAATTACCCTAGAATCTGTCATATAGGGACTGCAAACACGTCGGAGATAAGTCCGATGAGGCCCCTCTGGACTGATCTGACAAGATTTCAAGGTAGTTTCTAATGAAAAAAAAAGACACTCGAGTCTTCCTTATATGGCAGACTCAAGTGAAGATGGACTTGTCTGGGTCAAAAAAGCGGCCTTGACTGCCAGATTTTAGTGTGCTAAAAAATCTGCGAGCTATTTGCAAAGCACCTTTGGGAAAAAATGCTCTCATCATACAGACTACTTTAGAAACCGCATTGCTTCCGATGAACTCCCAAAAGTGGCAGTTGAGCGTCCCAAAATTGTCATAATACTAGCATTACCGTGTGATTGATGGGAACGGGACATACTCCTAACAAGCAATCATGTCCTCAAAGTGGACCAGTTACCGTCGCCATGTAAAAATTCAAAAGTAACCTTAGTGACCTTCTCAGTCCAAGACCATCACTTTGACGAATAATTTACGGTAATGGGCAAGCCTTGTGGGAGATCTGTACTTACCAAAATCGCCGTTCGCTGGACATCTGAGGCAGTCGATGGTAATGGCACCACCGCGGTACTGTACCTCTTTTGCTTTGACCAATTTTTGGCCGGAACAGTTATAAGCGGCGAAGTAATAGAGCGAGCACGGCTCGACGGCGGTGCTTTCATACTTCAATGAGTAGCAGAACTGATTCCCAAAGCACTTGTGAATGCAGTCCTGAAATTCCTCGTAATTTTGCATTTACTGCAAAATTTCCAGCGTTGTAATAACTAACGTGCAAGTCTGTCGCATTGAGCTCTACAAAAATATATGGTGTCCTGTCATGGGCAGAGCCATTTACGTAGACGAAGATGTTGTTGTCAGGACATGCTGAAAAACATCGACTTTATCGTGGAAACAAATCGCTGTGGAATGTCATTAACACCAGCCACTTTTTTGCGACATAAAACCAGAAGGCATGCTTTTGTTATTGAACACATTGTGACCGGTCTGTCTTCAATTCATTTTTTTGTCTGCAGGGTCTTAACTGTCCACATACCAGTAATAGTTCTTCTTATAAACACTGTTCAGTTATCAAAATGGGTAAAAGATGAGCACAATATACAGGAATGCAAAAGATGAAAAAAGTAGTAAAAGAAATTGTATCAATGTCAAAAATAAGTTTCATCCTATTATTGGGAAGCTGTAATTTCTCTCCTTAATTAGTTGTTTGCACATCCCATGATTTGAGAGGCAATTCATCAATCCTTTAAATATAAAAGACCATAAAGATTGTACCAGTTGATGACTTCCCCTTGAATTATTGGGAGAACACAGAGTCTATGAAACTCAAATTATCATGACTGGACAAAAACTCAATCGACACTGAAGTCTCAAAAGCAGAGAAAACAAGTCAGAGCATTTGTTATTGATGGCAAATTAGATTAATCTTTTATTGCAATGATAACGCGATTTGCAGAAAACGGCGTGAAGTTTAGTTGCCAACCATAAATAAAACGAAATGGGAAGAGGTTAAGCGTTTGACTCAAAAAAATGCAAATTCGAAACAAATTTATTAAAACCACTGCATGGCAAACGACACAGTTGGAAATATGGATTCTTACAGACGCGTGACTGGTTCCATACAAATATTGGTAAGAAAAAGAAGTTCTCAATACTTGTTCCCTTTAATGAGAAGAGATGCGCCTAATAATGAAAGGATACCCAGTGGCCGTGACCATTTGAAATGCGAAGCATACCGTAAGATGGAATTCGAAACGCTGATTCTGAATCTGTGCTCAATATTTGCGAAACGATCTTTTCTGAAGGAAGCTATGAACTATTTTTCATAGAAAATTTGTGCACTTTTGATTGATTAAAATCGCCAAAGTTGTTCTAAGTTACTGTTCGAAGCTACCAAAAAGATTCTTGAAAGGAGTGCTTTTGTATTCATAATATCTGAATCATGAAAGAAAATTTTCTGCTGACGATTCTGACCCTACGCAGTAACGCAATTTAATTATGAAAAATAATTATAACTTTATCCAGGTTATGGTGTCGCAGATACGGAAAACAGCATTCAAACCAGCATTTAAAGGCATAATTTTCGATATGCAATTCATTATGATTACCTAAAATCACCAAGTACCCTTCCCTAAGAATAAGGAGAATTCTGCAAAAAGACCGCCGGCTAGCCAGTCTTGGTGTAATTGTGCATGAAACTGCAAAAATCGTTGATAAATACTCCGATTTTCTGAGCAGTGTGATCTTTAACTATTAGATTGTTACAAAGTTTTGTTAAACTCAACGGAAAAATTCTTCATAGCTTCCTCAAAATTTTTTTCCTCATCTCCAAATTTTGTGGAATGTTGGGAGTTTTCGTCACACAAAGAACACATGAAGAACACAATTTTTGAGATTCTTCTAATTTTTTTGAATAAGCAGGTTTGAAACTTGCGTTATGGAAGAGTCTGATTTTCCGAAGTGCCTTTCTATTGCTATCTGTAATCCCGAAAATGCAAAAAAAACTTGAAAATATTGGGTTGGTCCGAAAGTTCTGTCCCACCATTTTCAAAAAATCGTAACTTCTTTCTAACGCAATGTTTTTGCAAGAGTAAAGCAATATTAGAAAGAGCAGTTCATGTAATTTCTGAAACTGTGTTGGCCGCTATTCATTAAGTTCTGAATGCAGAGATAAAATTGGGGAAAGGAATTCATTTCAATTTCGGAATTTTTAAGCAAGCCCGTTGAAAAATCCAAAGCAGTGCCGTAAAATCCAAAACATCCACTGTCCTAGACTATTTCACCTCCTCTTTCTGGCCGAGCAAAGCTCGCGTTGATCGAGCTGTTCTTCGGAAAGTTATGATTTCTTGAAAAAAATGTCAAAAAATCAATTTTCATAAGAAACTGATTTTTTGGCATTTTTTCTTGAAAATCATAACTTCTTTCAAAAGAGCTCAATTAGCGCAAATTTTGCTCAGCTGGAAAGAGGGTATGAAAAAACCTAGGATAGTGGCTGTTTTGAATTTTATGGCACACATTTGGATTCTTTAACGGGCTTGCTTAAAAATTCCGAAATTGAAATGAATTCCTTTCCCCAATTTTATCTCTGCAATAAAAACTTAATGAATAGCGTCCAACTTAGTTTCAAAAAGTACATGAATTCCTCTTTTTAATATGGTTTTACTCTTGCAAAAACATAGTGTTGGGAAGAAGTTAAGATTTTTAGAAAATGGTGGGACAGAACTTTCGGACCTACCTAATATCATTTAGAAGAATTAAGAAATTTTCAAGAAAAAAGAAAAAATTGAGGTTAAAGTGCCGTTGGAAAACTTATATTTAGTATAACTCATGTCCTAAAGGCGAAATTGATGCCATTGGATAGTCCCTTATACCTTCTCCAGATACGCCAAATACTTGCCGAATTTTCTAGTCTTTTGGAGGTTAATGAAGATAGTGTTACAAAACTTATGTTACAACAACCTGATACCAGACCATCAGCGAATTCCCTACTCCCGATGTTCTTTGGCGCTTTTGATTTCTCAAGTTCTCCTTTTTCTTCTCTTTAAGCTCCGAAAGCGGAAATCCGCCGGGAACTAGCTTCGAAAATGCGGTAAAAGCTGTAAGTGGCATGCTGCTTTCCCCCATTTCAAGATTATCCGTCATCGTGTAGCGCTAAGATGACGCATTGGACGAACGCGCAGCGAAAGTCGCAATCGCTCTTTCGCAGGCTACAAGCGCGGTGTTAGCGCGATGTTAGCCACTGCGCAACGAGCCGTGAAAACGATGCGTGCGCCGGCTTTCAGCCGCGATGACGTTGCGCATCGCCACATTGAAGACCGAAAGCGCTTCTTTTGCCGCTCGGATGACGCAAATCCGCGATTTCGCCCTTTTTCAATAGTTCAAGAGTAGCCTGTACACAGCGGTGCCGGACGGCGTTGGAGGGGGGAAGGGAGAAGGGGGGGGGGTATGGAACTAGCGGTGACGACTTCAGAAAATTCAAGAGCAGCATCGTTTTGGCTTGAGAAACAGGCTCTCTACTAGCCGTTGGAGTTTTTTTCAAGAATTTCAAATCAACGTATCATCTATTCTATGACTAGGAGACGTGAGACCGCATTGCAAACACTGTTCTTAACAAGTTTGACTTTGTTCTTCCCTGTTTTCAAAGAGTGAATGAACCTGGACGAGATATATAACAAGTATAAACCTGCTAAGCACACGATTGGCTTGTTTAGACAATGTGTGCAATGCGGTCTCGCGTCTCTTAGTCATAGAATGGACGATATATATTTTTTTGTACTAGCACTAGGACCGTCATCTGCATTTAATCATAAGCAAAAACTTTGCTGTTTGATTATACAATAGTTGCCGACTCGCTGAGATGTTTAGCTGGAACCTATCAAATTCAAAAACTTCTAGCAATTTTTCGAATTAAGAATTTATCAGAACTGTGCACTTGAGTCAGATAAAAATTTTTGTGCAGCAAACTATAGAAGACGGCCAGAAACCGAAAAGTTTTATCAATTTTACAACTTTTATCAAACCTTTGATCATAGACGTTGTTTCTTTGTTTACTAGTTGTAGATACGCAGATGATTTGCCAAAATAAACCAAAAGACGAGTAAATTTCTTTTTTTTAATTAATTAAATTTTCTGTTACTTGCCTTTCCAAGAAGAGGAAAGAGACCAAATCTCCCACGCCTTTCGCGAACGTGGTAGCAATAATTAGAATCACCATTCATTCAATAAGCATGAATTATGTACCTACTTTCCATAAGCACATTTTGAGTTGCAAAATAATGTGCTCTGTGGTTCACGATCTAAGGACAGATTTCTCCTCATCTTTCCAGGAGTTTCAAAGAGTCGAAGCACGTCGACTTCCTAATAAGATACTTACTTTCGTAAACATCCCTCGGCTGGAAAGTCTATCTAGAGAATCGCTGAGAGGAAATACGCAAAGTTCTGCGTTTTTCTTTCTAAATACAAACTACCGCCAGACTTTACATTGTGCATACTTGACCATAAAAGAAGCATCGTTCGTATATTCGAAGTCGTTTAAGAAAAACACGTTCTGCGATTACATTCTGTTTTCTTCCGGTTTCTAAGAGGTTATGAGAGTGTTTTGCCCTTATATACCTTCTTCACTTGCTGCACAGCTTGCTCTTCTCATATAGTGAAATTGGTATCATCCAATGAGTCTATTTTTAGCTTTTAGTCGGGAAAGAAGAAGCAGTAGAAAAAGGCCTTGCCTCTTAAAAATTACTTGTTTTTGTGCGGTTTCTCACATCATAGATGAGAAACTGAACGTCATCCTACCATTTCAGCTAGTTCAAAATTCAGCGAAATCGTTGGCATTCAGATGACTAAGAAACTAGTTTTTGTTCTGATTGGGCGCCCAAATTTCGGTAATCGTGACCGCTGATCAGTGGCTGCAACGGCTGATTGCAAGTTTCGTGTAAGTTTAATTGAGAGGTCAAGTTCAGTGCTTGATGGCCGACGTTCGCGTAGACGACGACCAAAAAGCAATGACTCCAAGTCGTCTCAAGAGCCTTTCGAAATCATGTACTATTTAGTTGAACGAGCATTGCCACTGCCTTCGCGCAAGCAAAAAGCTAAACTTGGTGTAATTCAGCTTTTTCCCCAGCCATATAACGCTCAAGTAGACCTTGACTCAGAAACGTTTTGCTCGGCAACGAAAGTGATAGCCGAGCGAGCAATGTGAAGGACATTTACATTAACGGTGATGATAACCGTCGACACTGCCCACGTACGGCGTTTTGCCTTTGACACATTACTCGTTCGTCATCACATATATGGAATTGCTTTCTGAAGTTTTTGGAAGCTAACGGCTATTATACAGGTGAACTGGTCGAACAGAATGTGCTAGGAACCATGGAAACAAATTTGCGGTGAGGGTAAACGTCGAGAAAATTGAAATAATTCGAACATTTTTCTGTGAGATTTTGGTAACATTTTTCAAAAGAAGTATATCCTGACTTCTTCTAAACTAGTCCTCTTCTAATGCGGTACAGAGCCTTCTAGTACCAGTATCAACCATCTTATTTCCACTATGTTACAGCAGAAATGGTAACACTCATTTTCGGACCATGTTAAGCAAAAAAAGTGCACCTAGAAAGTTGGTGCAGCTGAGAATTTTGAATTTTTGGCAACAGCAAAAAGAGAAAAAAACATGTCAAAAACATATCCCCGAACGTAGCTAGATAGCCAAGCGGCTGTGTTAGTCTGGTGCAACTGCACAAGATGACCGGAGTTGACGTCGAGTATAGCTGCTTATGCCAATTCGCAAGTTTTTAATTTTGCCCTCTTTAGACAGTGACGACTAGAAAAAATGAGCTGCACTCTACACTCAACAAAATCTGCTAGGGAAATTGAACATATAAAATTTACTTTTTCACGGTCTTACTGATGTCCATTTGCTAAAGGTAGATTTTATAACAATGGCAATGTTACCCTCATTCTAGAAAAAAATTTCATCATTTAGTAACCTCGATGTTTTGCACTCAGATTCTATGTCAAGAATTTTGGCATGTAGTGCCAAAATTACCGGGTCACCAATTGCTCAAGCCATTCTTATTTTCGCCAAAACTGAGGCAAACGTATTGATCAGAGGTTCATCCGATTCCTGTCCTAGACTAGGCAAGCTCGGCCAAATTTCTGACTTTGATTGTATTTGTAATTCTTCCCTGCGAGGTACATGTTTTTTCTTTTGGTCAAAGCTACTAGTGTGTTACGGGAAGCAGAAAGCTTTGGAGTAAAAATCGCACTTGAGTTTAGTTTAGTGCACCAAATTCACCATTGCCACATTCACTGTTATCCATCATTTCTACGAATCAAAACCAATTGTGAAAAAAAAGCGGGTGATGTTCTGCTGGACCAGTTTTCACTGTAAAATTGCCATTGTCGGCTGGTTGTGAAAATCTTTGGAAAACCGTGCAAATACATTGGAAAGGCTGCGATTGCAAATGGCGCAGAATAATTGTTGAAAATAATGGAACCTATGTGGTAGATCTATGCTCTGGATCTGAATGGGACAAATATTGCCATAAAAAGTTCGCTCTTTGGGCCATAATCCAGAAGCGATTATTTTTTTGCAACGGACTATTATTCACACAAAAAAATCGTCCTCTTCCACTCGACCAAAGTTCGGAAATGAATTGATGTAACATTGAATGTACTCAAAAAAATTTTTCGAAGTAAGAATCGAGTAATCAAATAAGACTCAATGTTATACTATAGTGTGACTGCTAATCTAAATGTAATAAATGCAAGAAAGCAAAGATAATTGCGTTTACGTTTTTGAAAAAAAAAACTCAGCAGATCATGTTTACAATGATTCTGAATTTTCACTCCAACTCAGAAACCGAAGATTCTTCTTCTCACATTTGTTTTTCTGGTTTTTGTAATGTTATGTAGCAAGTTGGAGAGAGATGACATTGATGTCTGAGTGTAAGTGTAAATATCATAACATTTAGGTCTATATCCAGCCCTTATCGCGCCATGTAAAAAATGCTGTTGTAACTAAAGAGAAACAATTTGATTGAGTGGTCTTTCCCTTTCTTACACTCGGACTTGTTGTGTCCGAAGGACCTCGCAGGCTAATGTGATTCGGATCCAGTATGAATGACTTGTTGAAGTGATCGTGGACATGCTACCAGTTTCGCTGATGTGATGCTAATCTACGAAACATTGGTGGTCACGAAGCCAGTTGTACTTTTTATCGCTTTTTAATCGTGAGAAAGTGATGGATATGCCCAAAGCAGCGTTTATGACAGTGAAAGTGGGTCCACATTGGGGGTGTTGGGGCTGATGAAACTGGTAGAAGCAGGATCGCTTTCGCTTGGAACGCTGTGGCAACGAGTTCTTCGCCAAAGGTCACACAGGTTATCAGCAGTTTCTTGCTTTTCTGCCAACGCCTCGGCTTATCCGTTTCCCTATCTGCGGCTTGTTCATTGGGAAACGGGCAGCGAGGAATAGCTGGGGTGGGGGGGGGGGGGGGGAGGGGGAGCGTGGGGGGAACGATAGGTAATCGAACTGGCGCGCAGGACATTCTTGACGGCCCATTGAGTTGTGGCGCGCTTGAAAAATACCCGCGTGAAAAAAGATGTGAAAGCGCCGATGTTCGAATTGGAAATTGTTCATTTACTGCAACCTTGAGTGGACTGTAAAGCTAGGTAGTATGCAGGAAAAGTTTAGAAAATTTTTTTTGACTAAGTCAGGGAAGCGTTTCAACCTCATGATATACAGTACACTATAATATTCTGACTATTTGTGCAATGGAACGCATTGCACACATTGCGCGTTGAATGCTGGGCTTCGTTGACCAAGTGAACGCAATTTTCTAGATAATTTTTTTTTCGCTCTTCCTCTCATTTTTGTCTTTTGAGGTACCAAGAGAAATATCTATTCAAAATATCCTACAACATGTACCGCCGAGTCATTTTAATTTTTGCACAAGACGCGCGCTATCTCACGACTTCTCCAATTAGAAGTATTGACTATCGGGAGTTTTTATTGGTCTTTCTCTCTTTCGCCTGATTGGATGAATTTGTGAAATACTGTACACGATTTTTAGTTTATTCCGCTGACAAAAGCTTCAAACGGCGAGTTACTAGTAAGATGTCGTCGGTCTGCGCGCGCTGTGTGCAGGCTCACATGTCAAGTTACAAAGGACTCGTGCATTCGCAGAACGGTCAACGAAATTTTTCATGGCAACGCCTAATGTGTGCATTATGGGTAATTGCACACATTATTGTACAAAATGTCTAAACTGTGGTTGATGCGAAAATTTGATGGAGATATATTTTCTCATAGAGCAAAATTCGCCTTCATTTAATTTGCAGGTGCATCAGCCAAGCTCTCTCCTATAATTCTGTGCTCCTACCCTTTCATCGCATCTTTCTGACAGATTTCCATGCCCCATGTTCGATTCTTTTCTTTTTGTAGGTGCAACTACCGACGTTAAGTCATTCCGAATTCATAAAGAACATACATAGACATAGAAAAAGACAAAACCATTGCTATGGCACATAACTCGCAAACAAGGAGCTTTGCAAGAAAACTGAGGTCATACAAGAGTTATTGAACATTGAAGGTAGACAACAACAGGAAAGGTCGCTGAAAATCTGTTCATGTTTTTATGTGGCAATGAAACATTTCTAGTTTTGATTGTATACTTCAAAAACTTTTGCAAAAAGGAATGGTAATAATTCTGACATTGAAAAGGTAAAAGGTATGAGCAAAGTTTAGCCGCAGAAGTTAGCAAAAAAGCCGAAAAAGTCCGAATAGGAATTAAATTAATTTTCCAAAAGGCATATGCACTTTGCATACAAGCATCACCGTCACTGCTTGGGTTGATTTGTCTAAAGTCAAAAAAAATTTTTTTCATAGAAAATGTTATATCTAGATAGCACAAAAAGCACAAAAATTACTTAATCAATGCTACTAGACTCCTCTTTCCCACTGAGAGGTTTCGGGGAGAACCCGAAGGTTTTATAGTCCGTCTGAGGGAGCGAAAAAGGAGAAGTATGAAAAGTAGTTTTCGAATTTTTTTTGCATACTTTCCTGTCAACAGGACAAACGTTCTAATTCCATTTCTTCAGGAAATTACCTAACATTGGCAATTTTTCTTGAAATAATGGTCACAGCAATCCATCGACCACTTCTAAAAGGGCTTGATTCGATTTTGAACGATTAAGTCCTTCAGTCCAAAAGTGCACAAATTTGTGCATCACAATCTGTTGCCATGTCAGTTAGGTCACACTTATTCTGATTTTATGAAAGATAACAGACCAAGTTTCGATTATGTTAGGCGAGGCGCTAGTTCTTCTTATGAATAAGTACTTGATGGAGGTGTAAAAGCGAAAACGAAGTGGAAACGGAAACACTCACTGATGGTTTGAGGTAGATTGACCGGCGCCGAGAGGACCGCAGCAATAGGAAGAAGTAGGACTAATGTCCACATGGGACCAGACTTTGTGGTCGTCGTGTCTATCTAGCTGGCCAGGCTGAATGTGCAGGTCGTGCAGCGCTTCAGGCGAAAGCAGCACTGGGCGAACAGCGGCTGATGAGGGCCCGGTCGGCTTGCCTGTAATACCCCTGGTTGTGAGTTGTTCGTGTGTTCTCCTTCGAATCGATGCCCCCACGACGTTTGGAGGGACAGGTGAATGACGTACATGCAATACTGGTATACATAAACAGTACATCAAAGTGTGACAGTGAGTAAGATGACGCGGCTGCGCAACCCTGCCCAAGCAACAACGAACATGCGCGCATTAGAGGTGGGTAATCACGATCACTGGCCTTTAAAACGTTGTTCTGAGATCCTAAAAACCAGGTCTGGACATTAACGAGAGAAGAAAAAAAATAGCAGAATCAAGTCAAGCAAAAAGCTTCCTCTTCCAGATGCCTTAGGCAATAAAGAGGGCGAAACCCTCTTTCCATCAGCAGAAAATGCAGTCTCTACAGTCGAGCCATTTCTTGCGATCATGTGTGTCACTGCACACACTCTCCACCTTTGGCGTCTTCATCCTGGATTATAGGAGTAGACACTCTTTCAAGTGAGTGTTTTCTTTACGTTTTCTTTCCTTTTAAGTAATAGTCTCCACAAGTGGTGTAAAAGTTAACAATCGGTCAGTCTCTTCCGTTTTTGTGATTGCAAATTCAGGATGGAGACGCCAAAAATGGACTTGGCAAAACAGACATGATCATATGAAATGATTCGACTGTCTTAGAATAGAAAATATGTAGGTAGTAGAGTAGCCATTTGGGTAGACTTGTTTACCTAAAGTTTGCGACGATTGTTTAAAGTTTAAATACCTAGTTGTAATAGACATTAATCAGTCAAGTACTCAATTTAGTCGCTGGTCGCTGGTAAACATTTACTTTTGGTTTTCTTGAGTACAGTGACCAAAAATGATAGTAAAAATATGTCACTGACCATAATTAGAAACCGCCTCATATCTTTTGAGTTTTGTCAACTTGGTAAATGTCACTTTTCTTCTTTACTGTCATTTCAAACACTTACTTTGTTACCAACCTAACGCTTTTGAACTACTTACGAAAATTCTATTTTTGAAGTATAAATTAAGCTAATGATTTTCTCACTTTTTCGAATCAAACAGCAGATTGCACACCAAAAAATGATATAGAACTATGTTTCCTTAAAAATATAATAGACGCAAGGACAGCCTAAGTGTTAAAGTGGTTAAATGCTCATACGGCTTGAGAAAAGTTGTGTACGAATAAATCACAAGTACAATATGTTCCTTATTGTTAGTAACAATAGTATCATGGCTCTCAGTACTGAACATATTATCTTCAAATTTCAATGAAAAAGATTGAAACTTGCATCATTCTAATAAAATGTTTCGAGAGCCACTTTCACATATAAGAAACTCAAGTACCTAGGAAAAGTAAATACTCCGTTTAGGTTCCACTGCTATCGATATAGTTGAATAGAATCACTGTATTGTGATTCATCTTCTAAGAACTGGTTTTTGGTTATTCAAATTCCTTGACATAATTATTGGCCTATCAAATGAACAAACAAGAATGCTAGTGATACACGCGCTCTCACGTAAATCGTCAAGTAAGAGCAGGAAGAGCGTAAAATTGCGAATTACCCAAAGCGAAGGCCAACTCCAGTGGTAGTAGAATGACCGAACATATTTCAAATGAGTAAGGGAATCGAGCCAAGGTCGGCATTCATTAGACATGCGTTCGGTTGCAAGATAACCCCGTAGATTACTTGCAGCGTTTCATAAATCTCCGAATGTTGTAGAATTCAAACTGATCCTAATTTGATGGGAAATGAAGTTTTCTGTCACGAGCAGTACAGAAGTTCGGAAAAAAAGATTTTGTGGAAAGAAAAAAAATTTCAAAGAAGGAATATATAGAGTTGCAGGATAAATCAAAATGGGATCGAGCATTCGCTTAAAGGTCTATCCTTTGATTCAACGAGACTGGCGGCTGGAAGGCGACCGCTCGCGCCCGCGACGCAGTCTGCGTATCTCTAGCGAACGTGCTCTCTAATCATTGCCCCGCATTTCAACCGCCAATCCAGTTGATTGAAAGGGTATCTCTCAAAGATGAAATGTTTTAATCAAATTTTGAAAATCTTCAAAATAAATTGTAGGAACAACCACTGAAGGTTATATTCAAAAGAAAAAGCTTGATCGCAGTATTAACTGGTATACCGTCGAGTCATCTGTAACTTATTATGTGAGAGTACACACAACGCGCGGCAACAGACGGCATCTTCATCAAACTTCTCAGGAAAACCTTTGGTTGCGAACAAACTTTGATACTGTGTGAAGCTGTATATATATATATATATATATATATATATATATATATATATATATATCCAATCAGAACAATAGAGACAGGGAAACAATGAGAAGCTACAGGGAACGGGCAGGTTTTGAACTCACAAGTTCGTCAAATAGCGCGCATGGTGTGCAATACGCGTGTTGAGTTACAAGTGACTTGTGTATGATCAACAGAGCTGAACACTTGCGTACGTTAACTGAGTGATTTTACAAGAGGCGAAGCATCTACTATGTGCCCTTACACAATGAACATTGTGTTTAGAATGTTGACTTCTATAAAGTGAAAAAAGCGTAAGTGAAAAATTAGCTCCAGTAAGGAATTTGCAGCTGAAGGGGCATTCTAAGACCCGGTATTTAGGAAATCAATCAAAGTCCAAAGAACAGGTCTTCTTGAGAAGTTTTTGCTAGGAACTGCTGGAGTCATTTACCCAGCTTACATTCGGTTCTGCCTAATACCTTTCTTGATTACAGCAAATTGTCTTCGACGCTGCGACACATCTGTCATGCCAATGCATACAGTGCGAGTGATGAAGATGAAGAAGTCAAGTTGAAGCTTAGAACGAAAAATGTGTTATGTACTGAATGTGTGAGTAGAGGAAATCATGAGAATTGAAAATTGCGATACTCAAGTTCTAAATTTGGAAAGAAAGGAAGTTTGATGTACTTGAACCAGATATGGAATAGAATCGGACAGAGGAACAACTGCGAGAATAGTTGAGGAAGTACAAAGTAAACAAACTTCAAAGTTTATTTCAGAAGGCGAATTAAGGCATTGATGTGGCAGCATTCTGATCTTGTGGCGAAGTACATAGTTGATACATGGAAGTAAACATATAAGTAGTGAACTTCCAAATATGAGTAAAGAACTACGAAAAAGAAGAAAGGAACCAACACTGGACAGTGGCATCAGTGGTATCAGGAAGGAAGCTGCCATGGTATTGAAACCAGTAGCGAGCTGTCGGAAATCGACGGAAAGCGGCAAGAGGTGGTGGGGGAGCGATCGAGGTGTTATGCGGTGTAAGAATGGCTGGTTAGCTGCCTACAGTCCCGTACGGCATGTTCCGACCGAGCGACCGACGACGACGGGGGCCCGCCTACCGCGCACCTTCGCCCGACTACTCACCGCCACCGTCGCCGCCACCACCGGCGCTGTCTGTGTTTCTGCCGGTGACACCAGCATGAAGAGAGTCACTCGAAATGGTAACAACATAGCGATTGTATCGAAATAGATGCCGAGGCGATAGCGAGCGTGAGAAGCAGCGATCTAGCGGCTCATCTACTCCGGGGTCATGACCGAGTTAGCGGTGAGAAGCCAATTTTTCGCGCCTTAGCGCGCTTGTGCAGCGCGCAACCGGGAGCAATAGACCGCAGAGGAAACAGAGGGGCGATAAATTTTGTTTAGTCTTTGTTTTTAGATCGGATCTAGAAATTAGCCGGGTGCGATGGTGTAGATTAGATGGCTTAGCAGATTTTGCACACCTTGCAAAAATTACGCAAAAGGGCAGGTGTTTTCAACAGTGTTCATAGTTCAGAATTTGAACATACGAAACATAAAACAGCTGCTTGCTGGTGGGACAACCGGCAGTCCTTGAAGGGGACGTGTGGATGTCGCCAGATATTTTTTGCGTCAGAGAAGTAGTGATAGAAGCAAAAAAGAGAGAGATGGGAGATCAGAAAGCAGATTTTCTTCAGAGGCTAAAATTTCTGCTTTTTTTACTGCTATCACGATGAACCCTTTTTAGATCGATTTTGGACAATTATTCTGTAACCGCTGCTTGTAAGGTGTCACTTTTGTGGAAAATACGCTCTCCGCATTATAAAAAACTTTTTTCTAAAAAGTGTTTTCATGGAAAAGGGGACGAGCCGTATATGATGAACCGAACTTTATTAAGTATTCAGTTATCTTGTATACACGAGCAGGGGCTTCGTTTTTAAGGCGAAAAAGCAAAGGGGATATCGTTTTTGTGGGCAAAAATTGCAACGTTTTTTTGCTCGACTTTTAGTTTTCAAAGATTTTAACATTTAGAGCTGAGAGTCAAAGGGGACTTCGCACAATCTCGCAAAAGTCGAGGGGGACTTCGTTTTTGAAAAGCCTAAAAACAAACTCATGCCGCGCCCTGGAGGTGATCCCCTGGGGAAAGTAGTGAAAATCTTATGTTGTTTGACATACTCTAGACCATTATGCTTAGGTATCAGGGTACGAGAACCTTCATAAGCCAGATAGAGAGAGAAGGAGAAAGAAATTTAAAGTAGCGAGATATGTCGCATTCCCCCACGGATCCCCCCCCCCCCCGCCGGGATGTACGTGCATAGGGGCCTAAGTGTAGCTCTCTTGAGCCCATGTGGGGATTTCTGCAGGCAGTAATTTTATATAAAAAACCTAGAGAGATGGACACCCATCTGATACCTGACACGCTAAAACTTCTTAAGACTCTAGCGCTGACTAGAACTCAACTACCTGGAAACAGATACCAAATAGTCGTGCGTATGACACGACTTGACATCCTAATGTTAAAATAAAACAAACACGCGCAGAGCGAGAAGACTGAAACCACCATACATAAATGTTCTTATGAAGAAGTAAAAACTACAAGGAGAATGGAGAGAGTGATGGTGGAGCGATTGATCAGCGTCGACAGTTGGGGCAAAGAAAGGCAAGAAGAATGGAACAGTAGCGTCTTCAACGAGTTGTCAAGCAACAATGCTTCAATCTGTCCAGCATACGAGCGAGGTGTATTCTCTTAACGCCAACCGAAGAGAAATGGG